TATGGTGCGAGGGCAGATATAAAAGACAGCTGTCAGGTTTTTCAGCTGAGCTCAAAGACAGAGATGACCTTGGTCCTCCAAAACGAAAAATTCCCAGGTGTCAAGAAGAAAGATCCAAAATAGACCTGTCCATAGATATTGACGCCCTGCCAGACCAATTTAGATTCAGTTTATCTATTACAATATCCTAGCCACAATTTTTGCTAAGCGATTAAAGTTAGTTCTGGATGATATTATTGAAGAAACACAATCAGGCTTTTTAAGAAATAGACACATCTCAAATAACATTAGGCTTCTGCTCGACATATTAGATTACCCTGATTTGATAAATGATGAAAGCTTTATCCTTTTCCTGGACTTTTACAAAGCATTTGATTCAATTGAACACAACTCTATTTTTGAATCATTAAACCTATTTGGTTTTGGTCATTTTTTCTGAAGTACTATTAAAACATTATATAATAATGGAAATAGTTCAATCAAATTGAAAAACGGAACATCCCCAAGATTCGACTTGAAACGTGGTATACGGCAAGGTTGTCACATTTTCCCTTATTTCTGCTATCAACTCAACTATTGGCTAATCACATAATAAATAGTCAATTGGGTGGAATGTCAGTTCTGGACAAAAGAATTATCAGCCAACTGGCTGATGATACAACAATTTTCTTAAAAGACTCTTCTGAAGTTTCTCTAGCACTTGAATTGATAAAAGTATTTTCTGAGGCTTCTTTACTTAAATGTGAGCAAATGTGAATTAATGGCTGTTAAGAAATGTGAACTCTCTCATCTCTGCAATATTCCAATTAAAGAAACCATTAATTATTTAGGAATAACGTTAACCAAAACACAGAATACTAGGTGTGACCTCAATTTTAGCCCAATTTTAGAAAGAACAAAGAAAAGATTTAATGCATGGCTCCAAAGAGATTTATCCCTTCGGGGCAGAATTTTACTTTCTAAAGCTGAAGGAATATCCAGACTGACCTATGCCAACCCAGTCTCATGGGAAAATGTACCCCCACTACGTTGGTCCACACTGCAAAACGTAGTGGAGGTACATTAATGGCCATTTTTTTGTGGTACTTCTACATTTCTTCTGCCTATACGCTTTCTATTGTTTTACGTCCTAGTCACGTGACTTTCAAGATTCCAGCTGGGAGAAGAAAAAAAAAATATATATGGCCGACATTCGCTCATTTTTTTGTGGAAAGATTAATAACTTGAGTTTGTTTTTGCATTAAAATGAGTTTTGATTACATTTCTAGTGAGAAATGTATAGTTTGTTGCCAGAATATTTACTCAGGGAATGTACATATTCACTTGCTTGTTCGTTTCTTGCAAAGATTTTTCAAGATAATGTGAAACTGTAACGTTTTGGTATAAACATGGCCGAGATTTCTCTAACTTTCAGTGGGAAAATCAATAATTTCAATCAGTTTCTGCATTTAAATGGGTTTTGATTACATTTATAGCGAGAAGTGAAGGGTTTATTTATATAATATTTACTTAGTGAACATACATAATCACCCGCTTGCTAGTTTTTTGCTACGGTTTTTCGGATCTAGTCAGGATTATGTGAAATTGCAACGTTTTGGCTGCTACCCATCGCCTAGCATTTAGCTGCCGCCCCGATTCAACATTGAATTCTTTGTGATTTAACTCCATCTGACGGATCAAACCCTCGCCACTGCGTGCGTTGCGTCTGAGGTTGATTTTCAGATCAATGCATTACGTCGTGGCATACGGCAGAAACTTATGTTGACAAAATGATCATGGGTTAAGCTCGGACGTGTTTTATTTGGAAATCTACCGGATCCTTTGTGCATTTAACTTCCTGTTTGGTGCGATCTCATTGATGGGTTTTGACCAAATTTTGACCAAAGAGGAACTCAAAAAAACAAAACAATTTAAATACACAACCAGCATATCTGGAATCAACGACAGAGAGCGACTGGGACCAGAAGTTTATTAATTTCTCCCCATTGATTTCCATTCAAAATGTTTTCGATCCCACCGGGCTCTAGGGAAGGGGCGTGCATACCGCCACCTACTGTTCATGAGTGTGTAGCAACATTGTTTTACATCCATTAAATTCTATTTTTTAATTTTGCATTCTGAAGATAAATAAATAATGCTTTCCTTAATCTATAAATATCTTTTATATTTCCTTTATTTCCCAGTAATCCTTTAAGACTCCATTCTGGGCCTGTCCTTTCAACTCTTTTCAATTTCTCCCTTTCAGGTTCATATGTTTTACAGTTCATCAATAGGTGTTCTACATTTTCTATCTCTCCACATCCTTCACATTTGTCATTATTTTTCCTCCCTATTAAGTATAAATTGTCATTTAAATATGTATGACCTACTCTTAATCTGATCATTATTATTTCTTCCCTTCGGTTTCTCTCATTAATATTTCTATTTAATACTGACTTTTGTACTTCATATAACCTTCTTCCTTTTTTATCTTCATTCCACCTTTTTTGCCCTTTTTCAATTTCTTTTTAATAAATGATTTTCCTTTCCCTAAAGGAATTGTAATTTTTATTGCCTCCTCTAAAGCCCTTTTTGCTAATTTGTCTGCCTTTTCATTTCCTTTTTGTGCTGGAACCCAACAAAACCAAATATCAATGCCACTCCTGTATAATCTAAATAAACTGTGCTGAATTTCTAATACTAAATCTTTCCTATTATTTCCTTCTCCTTGAATACTTTCTAAAACTGCTTTGGAATCCGTGCAGACCACCAACCTGTCTGCTCTGACCTCCTCAACCCATTGGAAACTCAGTATAACTGCCACCATCTCTGCAGTGAAAACAGACAGTTGATCTGAAATTCTTTTAGAAATGTGTATTTTGAACTCTGGTACATATATTCCTAGTCCCACACACCCTTTTAAATTCTTAGAACCATCAGAATATATTTTAAGGAAATTATAATATGAGTTTGCTTGTTGGAATCATTAACTGCTTTAAAAAAATATTATTATTATTATTATTATTATTATTATTATTATTATTATTACTATGCTTGTTCGAAAAATCGAACAAGCAAGTGAATATGTACATTCCCTGAGTAAATATTCTGGCAACAGACTATACATTTCTCACTAGAAATGTAATCAAAACTCATTTTAATGCAAAAACAAACTCAAGTTATTAATCTTGTCGGCCATATATATTTTTTTTTTCCGTCTCCCAGCTGGAATCTTGAAAGTCACGTGACTAGGACATAAAACAATAGAAAGCGTATAGGCAGAAAAAATGTAACAGTACCACAAAAAAATGGCCATTAATGTACCTCCACTACGTTTTGCAGTGTGGACCAACGTAGTGGGGGTACATTTTCCCATGAGACTGGGTTGCTGCAGTGAACCCAGTCGTGACCTGTCCTGGATCTAATAACCCCTTGGATCAGTTCTTTATTCTCTGTGTTGTTTCAATAAACCTTTGACCTTTTTCCCTTGAGTCCGTGTGTTCTGCATGTGGGTTAGAAACCTTAAAGCAAACATGACAGTTTGTAGACCAGACATAGCTTCTTCCCAATACAAGCCAGATTATTTCTCAAGGTTTATTAACAACATGTAACTGCTTAAACCAAAGTGTTTGTAATTTGTTTTGACTCTGACTACTTTGCATTGTTATAAGTAAGTAGGAACACATGCTGCCCAGGCAAAACAGGCCTGAATACGGACCAGTAAGGCCTGCACGATGACTGTTCTGTCTTTGCAAAGATATAAAAAAAATTGCCGGCTGAGTGAAATCCATCGATCTCATAATTTAGTAAGGGTGAATAGTTGAATACTTTTTCCCCACTACACCAATGTCAGGGTAGTGGTTCTGTTAAAGTTTTCGTTTTGAGTTTTTATTTTTATTTTTTTCTTATGTATTTCTTGTTTACCCTCTGTTGTCCTCTTGTGTCAGTGTCCTTACCCCTATCTCCCCTCTAGTTTTCTCTGTCCAAACCTGCTCCCAATCTGCTGATTAGCCTAGCCTTTGTTCAGTCTCCCCTTTATACACCTCCTGTTTAGTCACTGTTTGTTGGTTCCTTGTTTCCAGGCTCATGTGTGTTTTCCCTGACATCTCCTGGTTTTTTGGTTTTCTTTTTTTGTGTTTGGACTTTGCTTCTGTTGCCAAAAATCCTGCATAACATTTGCAAGAAACCACCTCAGTTTCTGTCTCTGCATTTGGGTCCTCTAGAAATCTCCACACAACTTGACCGAATCGCAGGGGTGGCAGTCCCAGGGACTCCCAGACTTCCCTCTCCCCATTTACCTCCTCCAGCTCCCTGGATAAAGCTCAAGCCCAGGCCTACCGAGAGACATAGTCCCTCCATCGTGTTCTGGGTCTTCCCCTGGGCTTCCTCCTGGTGGGATGTGCCTGAAACACCTCCTGAGAGAGGTGTCCAGGGGGGAATCTGAAAAAGATGTCTGAGCCACTTCAGCAGACTCCTCTCAGTGTGATATTCCTGATGGTCAAGGTCCTAACCCTATCTCTAAGGGAGTGCCCAGCCACCCCCTGGAGAGAAAGCTAATTTCAGCCTCTAGTATCTGGGATTTTGTTCTATCTGCCATGATCCAAGTTTCATGATTAATTCCCCCCACAGGGCACCATTGGGTACACACGTGGACCAGCCGGGAAACGTCCTACGACCCCTCCAGCTCTCTGCAGAGGGTCTGGAGCTGATCTAGTGTTCCACAGCCGGGAACAAAACAAAAATACTCCTCCTGAAGCTGAGGTTCGACCATCAGCCGGATTCTTCTTTCCAGCACCCTGGCATAGGCCTTCTCAGGGAGCTTTATTTTTATTCTCTACCCAGGCCTTCTTGCTGCAAGGCATCAGTGCTCACTACTCCAATGAGCGGCCCCAATGCAGAAATAAATATTTTCTATATAAACTGTGCTGGCCACTACATCCCTTTTTAAAATAATCGTATTGCCTGATGTTGCCTCATCCCCATAAACTACAGTATTATTTATAAAGTGACACATATTGGTTAAAATCATTTATTTGCATTAATAAAATAACATAAATTCTTTTTGAGACACCATATTAAACTTTACAGAGCTGGTACAGAGAAACACAGTAAAGCTACTTTTTGTTGCAAGTTTTAACAAGGTCCCCTGTTTTTTTTAATATACTTCAACAGGTGATATTACAGATACAGAGCAAAATGTATCAGTGAGGACAATTCATATTACAACAATTTGTACAAAGAAAGAGACTGTGCAGTGTAATCAATGTGAGATGTTAAAAATTAAAAGCTATCCAACTTGTTAATTGGACTTTTGTGCCAAAGGAAATGGCAAATTGTAGAATATTCAGTTTCAAAACAAATGGCATGAAACCTTTACAGGAGAACTTCATTCTTGGTGCTATTTTTTTTAAAGAAGCCTGATATTTCCCCATGGAAGGAGGAGGAGGAAGATTGAAGGGGAAAGGTGAGCTTTTAGCAAAGGTGATATGATATATATTTTATAAAATAAAGATATTATCAAGAGAGCGATTACAGACGATCAGCAAGGGACTGAGAAAAGACTCAAGAGGACCTGGAAACATCCAATGATTTTGATCTAATGGTGCTACGGGTGTGCTGGGTAAAAAATACTGAAACCAGTTAAAAGGTGTACCAGTGATATCAGCAGAAATTAATCTCCTCCATAGGGTCTCATATGAGATGGTGTGCAAGACCTTGGTTAATAGTCCAGAGCAAAGTTTTATTTTCATATCCTTTTTTTAAATCATTTTTGTTATTGAAAAAATATATCTTTTTGGTCAGTGGTTATTTTTACTGAATTCCCATATTCTTTGTTGGCTTGCTCCTGCGATATAGAAAAAAAACAACAACTGTTATTTCATGGATGATTTAAAAGGGAAAAACAGTCAAAAATATCCAAGGATATTATGAAAATTACAGAGTTTATGTAATGTGCTAAAAAAGTACCTTTGCACTGGGAGGCTCAGTAAATTGGTAAACATTTACTGGATATTTGATATTGGATTACATATAATGTTCCTCTGAAAATGTTTCCATTTTACCTCGGTTTCTCAATGTCTTCGATGAACTCTGGCAGCTGGGTGTTTAATGTTTCAGGCAGGAGTAAAGTGACTAAACCACAGCCAACCGCCACAGCGCAGTATGTAGCAGCAGGGAGGATCTGCCACACGTCTTCCAACAGCATAATGAGTGGGGAAATGGAGACCCCGAGCCGTGCCATAAATGAGGTGAAGCCAAGACCGTTCTGCCTGGAAAAGGACCAATAGGTTACTGTTACCCCTCCTCTTGTGCAATAACCAAATTAAACATGTACATGTCGGACTGACCGCACTACAGTTGGATAGAGTTCCGTTGTGTAAAGGAATATTATTGTGAACGACGCCTCTGACAAAGACTTTCCAAGGACCCCCACAATGGTACGAGCAACCCATTTATCTGTTGGGGGGGGGGGGTCCACATTGATTAGATATAAACAAAAATACATGGATTATTTAAAACAAGACCGCATGACATGAAATTCTTACCCGTTGAAATAAAAATATTGATGAATAGACAGACACCAGTAGACACTAGAGCTCCCATCTCACAGTACCTTCTACCAAATTTCTCTAGGAAGAAATAGACGCCTATCTTCATCGGCACTTCGATTGAAGCAAAGATGAATTGTGTGAGGAAAGGATTTAGGCCAAAGCCTGTAATGTTTAGACTTATCCCATAATATGTAAACGCTACTCCGTACCTAAAATGAGAAAAAAAAAACAAAAAAACATTCAACGTATTGAAAACAAGGGAAAGGAGGTGGGAAACAAAAGGACTCTAAGTAAAATAACATCTCTGTTGGATAATGTCTCCCACCCCATGCATGAAGCTGCTGCTGAACTCGAGAGCTCGTTCAGTTACAGACCTCTGCACCCTAAATGCACCCAGGAGCGTTATCACAGTTTCTGTCTTAGTTATTTAAATAACATCCTGCTGCCATGTTTGCACATCTCTGGTGTTGCTGCTATTTTTCACATATGCATTACTGTAAAAATGTCCACAGCTGTATATTAATTAAGGGATTTTTCTATTCTATTCTATTCTGATGTGGAATTCTAAGCTGGGGCAATCTGAAAACCGACTTAATATTCTAGTACAGTAGTTCAAGATAAACTTAATTATTTGTTGTTGCTGCCTCATCTAAGTTTTCTAAAGCTCCAATTAAAGAAACGGTTTTAAACCTAGACAGATGACATAATTTCATCGGCTTGGCTAATCACCATTTTGGTAATATTATATGAATGATCAGAGTCCGACAGCTGGCAACATTATATCAGCAGGTCTGTTGGTAGATGAATGACATGTCTTTAATATAAAACTAGCTGCAACAATAAAAATGAAGCTAAATAACTAAAAAAACTGTTAAGAAGATAAATTGAAAACTAATTACATATGGACTTTTTCTCAATCCATTTACTTTAATACCGTTAAAACATGTTATGACTGAGAGTCAAAATTGTTTAGAAACTTTTGAGACGCATTCACTTTTTATCAGTTACAGATATGGTGGCAGTTGACACACCATGACTGCAAATTATTATAAAGTCTGCATTCTTCGAGCATCCTTAGTTGGGTCTGCGTCCCTAAAAGTCAAAAGAAGCCATTATTGCTTATAAAATTTGGTTTAAGCCGCAAGTTTTACAGAATCTATTTTTGATCTATCATATAAATTATACTCTAATTTTTAAAGAGGACAGATTTGATATCTTTATCTGTTTATCTGGGTTAATTTTATTTGAAATAAAAAAAATAAATAAAGATTTTGCAAAAACATGGTGGAAACAGTATTTTCTATTGATATTTTATATATATATATATATATATATATATATATATATATATATATATATATATATATATATATATATATATATATATATATATATATATATGTTGAAACTTATATAAAAACCAAAATTTTTGATCCAATGACAAGAACATAGATTTACAATTGTCACTGTGTCTTTTGTGCATTCTGGAAAATTAATGCAATTTTTCCATGAGCAAGAGACAACAACGTGTCCTTTGATATTTTCAACATTAATGTGAACAACCACCACACAAACACAAAAAGAACTGTAATGAAGTCATAATTTCTACCAATCCAGAATTATTACCATACCCTGTCACATTAAATGAATACATACCATACAATCCCAGAGCATATTGCAAGTTTTCTTATGTTTCGGGTCCTGAAAAGATCTACAATAGTGTATTTATTATCTCCTGTTTTAGCTTCCACAGATTCCAGTAATGCCTGGAAGGAAAAAAAGAGAAGAGAGTCAGAGCGTTCAACTGGAGGCTCTTTATGATTGTCTAAATCTGTTAGCTTATTATCCAACTAGCCTAATTGTTTTACAGAAAAAATACTCAGTAATACGGTATACAATTTGTATTATTTCCCTTTCCCCTCACAGTTCTGCTCTATAAAGTTAATAACTTTTGGATGATAAAGAGGGTTACGTTGGGTGTGATGGCAGTGATACACTTGGATCTGCCGTTCATTTCAGCACACTCCATAATGTAATGATGTGCATCTTCAGCTTTCCCCTTTGTCACAAGCCACCTAGCAGACTCTGGAAGCCACCTGAAATAACAAACGTTAAGACGATTTTGGTGTTTCTTTTGTTCTACTTTTGGTAAGAAGAAAAATTTTACTTTATTACCTCCAACAAAAGATGGCCAGAATAAGTGGTGAAGTAACAACCACTATGAGCATCCTCCAGTCCCTCACAAAGAAAGCAATCCCTGCTAAAAGCCAGTTCCCGAGTGACCAGTCAAGGCTTATGATTACACAGGAGAAAGTCCTGCGCTCAATGCTGCACCATTCAACATCTGGAGAAACAATGGCATGGATGAAAAAGTGAGATCAGAAAAGGAGGATGAACATAAATAGAGGAAGAGGAGAACAATAAAGCAAATTTCCTTACTTAAAGCTATGGAGATGATGCTTATCCCTGATAGGCACATGCCTGTAAAGAATCTCATAATGACGAACATTATGTATGACGAGGAGAAAGCGCTCAGAATCGCAAATGTCAACGAGGATATGTAAGACACCAGGAGCAGTCTTCGTCGTCCAAACCTGGTTGTGAAAAAAATCGATTTAAATGACTGACTTAAAAAAAAAAAACTTCTTTACCCCCCTTATTGATAAGAAATACTTCCAACAGAAATAGATCTATGAACCTCTAATTTATCTTAACTTTTTTGTTACTTCCTTATATGCATCATCATATCATCCCTGCTTTTAGTCACATATAGATTTACTGTGCACTACTGTAAACAAAATATTTAAAGAACTGATATATGTTAATCATTTTTTTTAATCCACTGGCCTAATTAGTGCCATAGTTATCATCTGAGTCGGATCAAAATATTTTAACCAGCCATTTAGGTTTGATGAAAGATAGTAAAACCTTTTCTGTCCTATTATCTCATCTGTTAATATTTAAGGTTGGGTCAACTTGGACATTATCTTGAACTATTTTCTTTGGTCCGATAAGAATAAACCATTTTTTAACAATAAACATGCTACATGGGTTCTGTGTTAAACTAATGATGATCACAGAGAGAAGTACCTCCTATCTACTCTAAGTGTGCAAGGGTTTATGATTTTGTGTTATTTTTTTACCTTTTTAAAGGCTTCAGGCTAGTGTGCTTGAACACATGGCATTATATTAGAGAAAGGTGCTCTGGACCGCTGCTGGAAGTAGGTTTTCCTTGTTTCTTTGAGAAGGACAATTGTCCAAAACATACAGGTAGGTCAACCCAAAAATAGGCCAGTAGTCTCAGTATGGACTAGTAGTCCATACTGTTTATTCTTTGTATAAATCCTTACCTGTCACTGAGAAACCCAAATATTGGGGCTCCAATCATGACACCGATAAAGAAAATTGTAGCTGTGGCCGTATTCATCCCTTTTCTGCTGCAGACAAGATCCCACTACGAAGGACAAATTGAAAACATGATCCATTTTTTCTTTAACCTAATTTATATTCGTAAGTCTTAAACAGGGTGCTAATACCTTTTCTATTACACTCACCTCTGTTACTAGAGTAGATTTAAAGGTGCTGTTGTCATACACCCATCCATTCTGGCATCTTACGAAGGATGCCTCCTTGCTGTTGTTCCAGCCTGATAAATACTCATACTGGGGCTGTGCAAACATCTGACATGAACTGGGAGTCCCATCTCGCTTTGTAGGAATGGAAACCAACAGCTTCTGGTGTAGAGTCAGATTTCCAAAGACGCCTCCATCTTCCAGGGAGCTGATGTTGCAGTGGTGAGGGGGCACTGCTGCCATGAAGTTGTTCAGCAAGAAATGACATGGTAGAGTGATTCGGGAGAGCATCTGGATCAAAAAGAGCTTCACTTGAAATTTTCCAAATCCATTAATTTCAGAAAGTACATTGTCGAATTTCATTTTTGCTGCAGATCAGAAGTCAATCAGCTGCGACAGAAGAAATGGTGAGAGGATTTAAGGGAACAGAGTAAAACTGATACTAGTGTGGTGTTAATCATTACAGATATCTGGTTTAAGCATTTTATCAGGGCCTAAAAAAAAGAAGTTATTCAGTTTTAAACATAGACTTCCTTTTAGATATTTCCCAAGACCAGGAAAGATTTAACGTCTGTGCAAGAAAACAGCTTTATCATGAAGTGTAATATTTTACAGTAAATATCAACAAGGCACAGAAAAAAAGGGTAATTTGAAGATCAACTCTCCATCGAAGTGCAGGGGATTTTCTAGTAGGACATCTACAGATGAAAGTACATCTGTGTGTAAATGTTTAAGGAAATGTTTAACTGAAAATAACAGAGTTTAACGATTTTCAGTTTTTATTACATTATAATTTTTTTTTTATGAATCCTATAAAAGCCTGCTGACAATAATCCAAACAAGACTTTAATTTTCCAAAACATATTTGCTCTTTTATCACTGATTTTGAAGGAACCTCAGTTAGGCAGACCGATTCCTACCTGTAATTACATTTGAAGACTTGGCGACCTCTGCTGGGTGTTAAACCAATTGCATACACGGTCGAATAAAGACATTTTGCTGCACATTTCTTTAGATAGTTTCATATGGAGAAATCTGGAATAAAGGTTTTCTTCCAGAGTGAATTGTTGATTTTAGGGTTTAGAGATTACCTCACATGGTCTCAACCAGGAAGAATAGAACTGTATAGAACAGAATTAAATATAACAGAAAAAATAGAACACAATAGAGTAGAAAAAGAACAGAATAAAATAGAAAACAATAGAATAGAAGATAGTAAAACAGAAAAGAACAAAATGGAATAGAATACAACAGAACCGAACTGAACGCAACAGAATAGAATAGAACAGAACAGAATAGAACTGAACGCAATAGAATAGCATAGAATAGAACAGAACGGACAAGAACAGAACAGAAAACAATAGAATAGAATAGAACATAACCGAACAGAATAGCACAACAAAATAGAATAGAACAGAACTGAATAGAAATTAACAAAACAAAACAGAGCTGAACACAATAGAATTAAATAGAACTGAACAGACCAGAACAGAGTAGAACAGAACAGAGCACAATATACTAGAATATAACAGAATAGAATGGAACAGAACAGACCAGAATAAAATAGCATAGAATAAAGTAGAATAGAACAAAAGAGAACACAATAGAATGGAATAGAATATAACAAAACAGTATAACAAAGAATAGAACTGAATAGAATAGAATTCTAGGTAGAAGTACATTGCAGTGCAATAAAGCTGATTTATCTGCCACTGTTCTACGCAAATAATGAAAATGGCTTAAATAACAACGTAGATACATTTACATGTGTACAAATACATGAGCTAATTATATAAAATAAAAAATTATATGTACACCTAAGGTTATACATACCTGTATTTATGTAGATATGTAAGACTTTATTGCAAACAGTTACATCCAAATGTGTAAACCTGTATCTCTCCCTTTTTTAAAGTTAACTACTTGAGTGAAGAAGTGACATTGGCCTGATTTAATGCTTGCTGGGGTCAGTTTTAGTACCTGTTTTTTAAACAATTGAAAATGGTGCATCTGACTATTTATATGATTTTGGTAAAACTTAGTATGCTGCTGCTTTGTTGGGACATTACATTGTGGCTGCATCTTTTATTTACTTTATTTTAGAGGAACTGTATGGGGGCTTGAAGTGCTCAGGGATTTCATGTGACTGGCTAAGACAGACTGACTCATAAATATAAAGCAAAAAGAAAATGAGACGTTCTTTTCTTTTTTTCTTAATTATCTGCAAGGTGTTATGCTTATTTATCACCTTTGGAACTATTTTTGTAACTTTTTTTTATTCATTTAAAGATGCAAGTCATTTATTCACATTTCAACCATTCCTTTAGTCATTGTTTTTGCCTGAGTAGTTTAATCCAAATTTGAAGTGGCTCCACAGATTCTCTACTGCATTTAGGTATGGCCCATCCAGCATTAACACGATTTCTTATGCATTTTTTATCAACAACTGCTATCTACTAATGTTGATTGTTGGATCTCTGCCCCTTTAAAAGTTATCATGAGCCTCTTGACTGCTTTTCAGCTTAATTCGTTATTTACCTGGTCTATCAGTTTAGCTGCACCACCATGCTTTAGTAGACACCTCAGCTCTTTCCATTTTCAAATGACAAACCGAATAAAACTCTCTGATATGTTCAAACCTTTGAAAAACTGTCTTCACGTCATGATCTTGGTACTGATTGCTAGTTTAATTGCTCATTTCATTTACCTGTCTAGCTCTGTCCTGTTTATCATCACTGCTCATCTAATCCACCTGCTCCTGCTTCTATTTAAACTCCTTGGTCCCAGCCATCAGTGCCATATTATTCCTGAGCCTTTTTTTGAGAGTTTTTATAGAGTAACTTAATGTGTTCTGATTGTCTGATCCTGACCCGTTCTGCTTTTTGACTTTTGAGCTAGCCTGTCGCTGTCCTGATCTGTTTGCCTGAACTGTCTTCGGACATCTGCTGGATTCTACAGTGGAATGAACCTGGATCTGCCTCTTCCCTCCACCCTGTGGATTATCCTGTCTTCCTTCCTATTTGATCTGATCTCCTGCCAGTTTTGAAGCCCTCTAGGCTTTAGCGTCTGCAACTCTCTGGCAGTGTAATCATCCTCCGCAGATTATCGTGCTCACTAATCTGTGTTTCTCTCCTTTGGAGGTTCCTGCCTTAGACGCCCTAGCCGCTGCAACCGCAGATCCCCAGCCTGCTGCATAATAAAAGCTTTTAAATTATCCCACTGTCTGTCTTGCCTGATTACTGGGTCGCTCTGTTATGAGTCTTACACTTCAAGACTTTCTTTGTCAACCTAAGTTCTCCTAAAAAACCGTCATTAATACTCAGCAATTTATCCTGAGATTAAATTGCTCACATGTTGTCTCTATTAATTAGATGACTGCTGATTGCCATTTCACTAGTTAGAAGTATCAGTGTACAAGGGACTTTCCTCTTTATTTCACAATTATGTGGTACTCTGTTTAGGTCAGGGGCACAATCATTTTAAAATGGTTTGTCGATTGACTGAAATGTGACAACACAGGTACAGCACACTAAAATTAAGATTTTATAAGGTGCAAATAAATTGTTAACATCTTTTTTTCCCTTGTTACTACAAAGAACAAAAAAGTGCGTTTCAGATGACTAAAAATATCTTCATAGTTCATGATGTCACCTGGGTTCTACAGCTGCAAGATACTAATTGAGCTGCGTCATGGTTTGTAGGGGGGGGGCGGTTACTTGGGTTTTCTTAAGCCATTCAAAAGAGATACATCATCTAATAAGCTGTGGTAAAGCATGGAGAGATGTTGGATGGGAACTGAAGGCACGCCTTTTAGACACACATCTTTTGCATCAAGGATAGTAAGTACTTTGCAAGTTTTTTTGTGGTTCTCATCACAGATTTATAAACCATTCTGTTTTTTTTGCTTGTTTTTTTAATTTAATTTTTTTTTACTTAAAACAGAAACTAAACCACAAGCTGCATTACTGCAATTTCTACATCACCTCCCTCAAGTGATTCAGACACCCGCCCTCTGTAATTGACATTTATTTATTCTTTGCACTGTTTTTGCACAACGTCACAATTACTTTATTTGGATCTATAGTTATACATATAAATATATATATATATACATATAAATATATAGAGTGTTATATATGTGTATATTTATATTATTTTGTGTAGTTTTGTTGTATATGTTTGTATTTCTGGAGCGTGTGACAAAAGTAATTTCCCTCTGGGAGTATTAAAGTATGAGTCTGCATTAAGGATGACTCGAACATCAGGGTCCTGTCGGTGCCACATTTGTTTCGTATTTAATATTTTTAATTAAAAGGCTGTGATTTTTTTTAAATTGATGATTTACTTTTTTAGCAGTTTATGTTTTGTAGAAGTCAAGCAACGTGACTGTTGCTTGACTTGTAAACGTGATTAAGAAATTTGAAAATACTTGAGCATGTGTGGGTCCATTTGTTGGAAACTTTAGTTCTACTTTTAGCCATTTCAGGCCCTGTGGTGAAACACAGAGCACCAAAAACGTGTTTGTATCTAATAAGCAGATGCACTTGGATGGTCTAAGTGTTGGATTACAGTGACAGCTTAAAAAGCTCCTATATCTTAGTTTCAAGGTTCATCCCTCTGACCATTAGTCCTTTCAGTGGCCAAGGAAAGTGGCTCCTGTTTCCATGACAGCAGTTCAGCACAGTGAAGTTTTAACCATACTAGGAGAAGAAACTCCTGCAGCAGTGAACCTAGATACAGTGCTGGCCAGGAGTTCAAATGAAGCGGAACCGAGTGTAAAGAGAAGCCTGGAGGGGACAGTTTTCCTCTAAAACTTGTCTGGATTCCAAAAAGGTCTTAGCTTTATGTAATGCCACAACTGCATACAGTTATAAGTGTAAACATTGAACATCTTTCTATGTATCTGTGGAGCAAACTGACAGGAAAATCCCACTAGATGTTGACAGCAAGCAAAGTAATTTACACATCCACAGTAAGCAGAGCTAAACCCTACTTAAATTGAGGATAAGTAATAATTTTTTACTTATTTCTAGATCGTTTTTGCAGTGCATAAGTTATGGTCAATACATTGAAATGACTCAAAAAACATCAAAAACGCATAATTAAATGCTCTTCAAGACTTTGAACCGTTCTTCTAGAGAAATTGCATTCGCACTTGGATGGTTCTGGGGGCTCCGCTATAAATGTCACTCTTGCGTGCCTTCTGTACATTTCCCTTCAGGTTCTTAATGCCAGGGTCTCCCTTCAGTTCTGGAGGCAATCTCCAGAACTTTCACGTTTTGTTTTTGGCCTTACTTTGATTAATAAAAAAAAAAGTATTTTAGTGTTATAAAAACCACCGCCACCATCATTATGTTTCTTTATAGATAAGTATTTTCAAATGTTCTTCAAGTATCTCTGAAGAGACATCCAAATAGTTCAACTCCAGTGTAAAAAAAAAAAGAAGATACTTTTCTTAGATTGCAGTGTTGTGCAGAGAACATGCACTGAGGCTTTGTTGGTCAAATGAAAACATTTTGTCATTGGCTTCTCTAAACCTTTCAGCGATGCTATCCTATATCCCTCTGACTATTCTTTCAACCCATTTGTCATAAATTCTTGGAGGAGCTACAACTGAAACCATTGCCCTTATTATGCTTTGCAACAACAAGATTGCAAATGAAAGTAGTTAAGCGTTACCTGCTTTTAACAATCATGATGTTTTGGTGTGGTAATGGACACCTTTTAAGACTGGAGCTCGGCCTGTTTTTCAGTGTAGTCCTGTATCTCTGACTGTTACTAAGTGGATGTGCTCTCTTCATCCTCTGATATGGGAGCTGGCTCGGAACTCTTTTGCCTGGCTGTGTGTTTCCTGGATGGGGTTGCCTACGGAGTTGGTTAAAAGTTGCATTTTGTATCTCTCCTTCTTTCTGTATGTCTGCTTCTGTCTCCTTGGACACCAGATGACCTCAGCAGATGGCCGCTCACACTGAATCTGGTCCTGCTGGGGGTTTCTTCCTGTAAAAAGGGAGTTTTTCCTCTCCACTTTCGCTACAAGCTTGGTTAGTGTGAAGGATTGCCTTCGAGTCAATGAGTCGATGCAATCAACTGCTTTTCCTTACATAGAAAACTTTGAATCAATTTGACCATATGATCTGGTTGAATTGTAAAGTACCTTGAGATGACATGTGTTGTGAATTGGCGCTACACAAATAAAATGAATTAAACTGAGTTGAATTGAAGACTATTTTTTCCAAGACGTAGTCATACGGATTTACCTTTGTAAATGCTCACAGATTGATGCTCTTTTCTCATCACCCTATGCCTTCTTACGTTTCCTTTTCATCATGTATGACTTATTCCATTTGATTTATGGATTTATTTGTTTAATTTTTTTGCATGTATTAAATACTTGTCTTTGTACTCCCATCTGCTTTGATATTATAGAAAGGTAACTACTGAAAGTAAAGTTGTTGGATTGTTATTGTCCTGCTGCAAATTTTATTCAAAACAGTACATTTGTTTTTACCTAAATATGAAACATCTTTTTCTATTATCTTTCAACGCCTTAAAGACATTGGTGCATTTATTAAAATCAAAATTATGCTTTGTGTCGCATCATGTAATGGGCATATCAAGTATGTCTGATGACACTAAAATTAGCTTTTGTGGAGGCTTACAAATATATAAAAAAGTCTGGTTAGCCACAACAAAAAGCATTGCATTATACAGTTCTATGGCACCCCCCTCTGGTCAAATAAAACTTTCTATATTTTTTCATAAAAAAAGATTTTGACAGTTTAAAAAACATCTTACGGAAAAACAGAAATCAGAGTTCACCTTCCAAATATCAGGTAATGATTTATAACTAAACATAAAGGACGTCTAAATGTATTTTGTGTAAAATAAAATTTTTAATTTTCAAAAGAGGGATCACCTTTGGCTTGAATAAAAGAGACTCTACAGAGTGTGTTTAGCGCGTCTTAAATGGGCATGCTGACAGCTGCTGCAATTCTGAGACTAACTGCAGAGACGAATGGGACCAATGGAGGGGAAAAAAGCTTGCTGTGTAAACAAGAGTTCGGGAGGCAGCCACCCAATTGTTTTGCTTATGAGCCTGGACATGAATGCTTTTTTCCCTCCTGGTACTACATACCATTCCATTTACAGCCCTGATGAAATAGCCAGACCAAAGTTGGCCTTCCCAATTGGGGATAGGAATGATTGGAGGAATTAAATGTTTGTGTGTAATGCTAAGAGGGCAACAAGATGCTCCCCTCTGTGAGCATTGGAAATGTAAATAACCAAGGTTCATTTACATTCATCTGGAATGTTCCTGCGTGTAAATTATCTTTCAGCTGGGGACTATAATTTTTTTTATCATTTGACAAATACTCTGATTTTACTTTTTAAACAAACTTTCATATACTATAAATGCTTTCATCAGCTCAAAAATTGGTTACCCTAATGTTCTTAATGCCAGGGTCTCTCAATCGTCCACTCAACATGCTTCAATTGGTCCACAATGTTTTTTTTCCTGACACCTCCATATAAGAGCAATCAAAGTATTCCTGTAACTGTCAATGAGATTTCTGCTCCTCTCAGCAGGTATTTTGGTCCACTCTTCATCAGCAAACTGCTCTAATTGTCTCGGGTTTAAAAGCAGCTTTTTCCAGTCAGCATGTTTTAGCTCCTCCCAAAGATGCTCAATAGGATTTAGGTCACGACTTACAGAAGGCCGCTTCAGGATAGTCCAATATTTTACTCTTAGCCATTCTTGGGTGTCTTTAGCTGTGTGTTTTGGGTCATTATTCTGTTGCAAGATCCATTACATGCAACTGAGATCAAGCTCTCTGATACTGGGTAGCACATATCTCCCTAGAATCCCTTGATACTCTTAAAATTTTATTGTAACCTGCATATTCAAGATACCATGTGCCAGATTAAGCAAAACAGCTTCAGAACATTACAGAGCTTCCTCCATGTTTGACAGTATAAGGACATTGTTGTTTTCTTAATATTCTTTTTTTTTTCTTTTGTCTCATCTGTCGAAAGGACATTCTCCCACATGCTTTGTGTCTTGTCAACATGTAGTTTCCAATCTAGCTTTTATTTATTTATTTTTTTTCAACATTAATTTCCTCCTTGGTCATCTCCCATTAAGTCCACTTTGGCTCAAACAGTGATGGATGCTGCGATCTGACACTGAGGTTCCTTAAGCTTGAAGTCCACTTTTTATATCTTTAGATTCTTCTTTTGTTACCATTCTTATTATCAGTCTATTTGATTTGCTATCCATTTCCAGGGAGGTTGGCTAAATTCCCATGGATCTTAAATTTATGAAAATTATGTGCAACTGTATTCCCCAAAACACTAGACGTAATTTACAATGCAATTCAATCCAGTTGACTTATATAGTGCCAATTTACAACACATGTCATCTCAAGGCACTTTACAGTTCACCTGATCATACAGTCAAATTGATTCAAAGTTTTGTATCTAAGGAAAACCATCGACTCATTGACTCCAAGGCGATCCCTCAAAGTAAGCATACTTATTTCAAGTGCATATTATCTAATTGTCTTATTTTAAGAATAAAATTACTCATTCCCTTTGCAAATCATCTTATTTACCTACTCAAATTACAGGTAAATAAACTTAATTTAAGAAATGCTTACTTATTTCTAGCTCCTTTTTGGAGTGTAGATTTTAGTTTTCAGTCTAAATCTGGTCGGTCTGTCATAGTCTCGATTTAGTCCACAAATCATTGTTGAAAACTTGGCTGTGTTTGGTCCGTCTGATTTTGTTCAACTTCAGTAAAATAACACACATAGAAAAGAAATTGCAAACCCAGCCTGTCACATTGTTTTGTCTGTAATTGTTTTTATGATCTCTGGAGACAACTCTTTCCTTAACTTCCTCTGGTCCATGTTGAGTGTGGTACACACCACAACACCAAATAGCACAGTGATTACCTGTAGCCCTATATAAAGGACAACAGACTGATTACTAGATTTTAGGGATCTGTGATGCTAATTATGTGACACATCTTCATTTAACACATCCCTTTGGTCACATTATTTTCAGCCTTTTTATAGGTATCATAATTTTGGTCATGAAGTGTTTCATGAGCTTATCTTTGAAATTCACGTGTTAAAGCATGATTGATAACCAATATCTGACTTTCATTTGTTTATTTTTATGAATGTTTTTCAGATATAAGTATTTTTCTGTGACCTTTGAGGAGTTTTCTTTCGCTAAACTAGGGCTACCAACAGCTGGCCCTATAACAATAAAAATTTAAGAGCTTCTTAAATAAGGAATACTTTTGAAATTTAGTATAGAATAACACTGTGACATCATATTCCAAATGTCTATCTTGTTCTTTTTTTTCTTATTTCATTCTAAATAATTTGACATTTTATTTATTTTTTATGGGTTTTATACAAACAGATAAATAAGTGAACAAATACTGGAGTCTGGTATATATGACTAATCATGACATATCTTTGTCTTGATGAAGGAAAATAGCATTGGACATTGTGAAAACAGCACGAGAGATGGAACCACAAGCTGGAGACATCGAACACAGTCCTCTCTGGTCAGGTTCGGATGGCTCCCAGGAACTTTGCCCTTCTGGGTCCTATAATGAAGAAGACGACAGTGAATCAGAATACCCCTCAGACACACAAAATGCTCAGATCTCCTTGTCTGGGTCTTCAGAGTGCCTTCAGATGCAAAACAGAAAACCTGCAGATGGTGAAGGACCTTTCCTGGATCATGGTGAACAGGAAGTGTCAGTATCATACCAAGTAAACAATGATTTCTACCTTTCTGAATCAAGAGAATCCATGACAGAATCTCCTAACATCCAAACTTCCCAAATCGCAGCAACCCCACCCCCAGAGCTCCCAGAATCCAAGTCATGGGAGCATTCTCCCTCTTCCTCCTCCTCTCTTGGCTGTGCTGCTGATATGACCAAGGCCCTGACCCTGAGCTCAAAACGGCCCCAGGGGGCAAGTGATAGGCATGGCCCAGGGACTGAGAACAGGAGGGTTGAATCTTCAGAGGAAGGAGGGAGTAGTGAAGCACCTCCTGCTTCTGTCTTCTTTGGAATTTCTGACGAGGGTGCTGAGCAGGCAGAGAAGAGGAACTTGGGGTCTGACAGAGATCTCTGCAGACCGAACAAGCAAAGGGCAAGGTACACACGTAAGTGTCTATTTTCTATCCTGTTCCTGTATTTCAGTGAAAGTAACCATCTAGATTGCAGAGCATGTTTCAGAAAAAAAAATATGGTCAGGAGTGTGTATAATTGATTAAAAAGTCAAAATACTGTATTTTATATTTTCTTTATGTGCAGCCAGTAATTTAAAGATGATATCTAAAGAAATTGATTGCACTGTATCTGTTTAGCTTAAATGCAGCACTAAAAACTTTTCTTTTTTGCTGAAGAATAACTTGCAAGCAGCACAATGCATGTAGTTATTTATATACTATTACATTTGATCTATCTGAGGTGGGCTTAGTGGGGGAGGATTCCCAAAGCTTTATTAGTCTGAGCAGGACAAGAATAAAATATGACCATATGATGAGACTGGCAGAAGCAAGTTTGACAGACACCAACATGTGTCTCTCTGGATGGCCACCTGATCCGTTTTCCAGTCGTAACACTTGACTGCAATGGAAAGTGAGCCTGTTACTTTCCTTGCCTTTGGATCCCTCATGGGTTGGCTGTAAGTAAATATGATGCTTTTATTAGTGTGCTTGCTTCAGCAGGGGAAGATGAAAATAATTTTATTTGTAATGTTTAATTTGAATATCTATATGAAAAAAAAAACTAAATTTTCACTAACCAGAGAATAATCAAACAACTATTAATTAATTACCATCAAATTTAAATTTTAAGATAATAATTTTTTTTTTCAAAAGTATTGTTTATATGACTACTTAAAGATAAATGGATAAATTTTATTAGCAAGAAAATTAGGAAAACTAAGGAAATGTCATGGCTAGACAACGGAGCAGAGCATTGCCAACTGCAGCTTTTTTAAGTGTCAGATTTGCAGTTGTGACTATCTTTCGAAGGTTGTGTAAAAATGAAGCACTGGTAACAATCACCATGGGAGCAAAGGTTGCCCTGTGCAGTCTGACCCAACAGTTATGTGAATGGGTCTTAGATTGCCAAATAAGTAAATGCTGTTTATCCTAGAAAGGTGTCAGAAGATAGCTTATTCCAATGAGATACATAGCCTCAAACCAGTCAGGGTGTCTATAGTGGTCTTAATGTTATACCTGACTGGTGTGTATCTTTGTAAATTTCCCCTTTTCTCAATGCTTTCCTTTTTTCCTTTTTGTCCTCTTCCTGTTCTTCAACTCAGGACTAAGTCACAAAGAGAGCCAATCAGAGAAACACGTGAAGGACACCAAGTCTAAATGTAAGCGAATTGCCCAACTGCTGGCCAATGCACCCAACCCTCAAAACAAGGGAGCTTTGCTCTTTAAAAAGCGCCGCCAGAGGGTCAAGAAGTACACTCTTGTGAGTTACGGAACTGGTTTTCCCTCCTTCGACAACTCATGTCAAACAGAGGGCAAAACTGACCAAGACAGATCCGTTGGTTATACCTTCTTGGGTTCGAGTGATTCTGACTTTGAGGAGCAGTATTTGCAGCTTTATCAGCACCATAATACACGTTTTAATTGGCTAAGTGGCCAAGACATGGATGTGCTACCAGAGACAAAGGGGAAGGGACTTTTGATGTTTGCACAGCGTCGCAAACGAATGGATGAACTTGTGTCGGAGCAAGAAGAGGAGATGAATGAAAGATTTGTCGGGGATATTTTACAAGAAACAGATCAAACAAGAGCACAGAGTATTAATGAAAGTAAAGAAATGTACATGCATGCTGAGGAGACCAATATGAGGAATGCAAGTCAGAAGAAGCATATGGATTATCATGGGGATATTCAAGAAGTGAACCACCTCTCCAGTGCACTGAAACCCATGGTGTCTAACAGAACTGCCAAACCTTTTCTAGGATTTCAGGATAACTCAACTCTTGAACCTTTCACCATGTCTGGTGGTTTCAGTCCATCAATGAAGAAGCATGAACTAACTTTCAAAGTTCCTGCACCAATTAACTCTAACCCCAAGGTTTGGTCTCCAACTGGAGACATTATAGCCTCAAGAGATGAACGAATATCTGTGCCTGCTATTAAGACAGGCATATTACCAGAGTCAAAGCGGAAAACTGCAAGTAAGCACCAATCTGCAAAAGAATCAGAACTTTATAGCCAAAGCAAAGGTGAAAGGAAGTCTTATATTGAGTCGGAGGAGGACTGTTTCAGTTTGGGTGCTGAGGCTTGTAACTTTATGCAATCCAAACCAATAAAACTCAAAAATCCCCCTCCAGTTGCCCCCAAACCCACCATCAACCCAGCATGCCCACCCTGGATAAGGAAGAGTCCTTCCAACGATCCCTATATTCCTTCAAGAAGCACTGTGCCCCAACCCTCTCACAGCCCCGTCGGACTTCGTGGTCAGCATTACTTACAGCAGCAAGACTGGGCTGGGCCTCAACAGATGGCTCAACACTGGGCACCAGATCAGACAGAGGCATCACTTCAAACACCTGCCCATGCCCGAGTTCCGGTCAACTCCTCTTCTCAGTTCAATCTTCAGCCAACTGCAAATAGCTGGAGTCAACAGCCGGCACGACCCCCTGTGAGTAAGCAGGCCCACAGTCCTATTTATAGCCCACTTTCACACTCAAAGAATAAGTCAGACAGTAATCCAAACTTAGTTGTCTCTTGCCCACCGCAGGCAAAAAAGTCATACCCTCAATTATCAAAATCATTAGAGGTTTATCCAAAACTCAGAATCCCAGAAAGAGGTGTTGTTCAGACCGACGATAGCCCAACTATGGCAGGGAAAGGTGCACAGTTGTTTGCCAAAAGACAGTCTCGTATGGAGAAGTTTGTCATTGATGATGAAACGGTGCAAGCAAACAAAACGCGATCCCCTTCCCCGACCTCATCACTCCCTAACTCTTGGAGATATTCATCCAACATCCGTGCCCCACCCCCACTGTCGTATAATCCTCTTCTGTCTCCTTTCCACCCTCCATCAGCAGCCAAGCAGGCCCCTTCCACTAGCCCAATAACTAAACCTAAGTCCCAAGAGAAAGCTAAATCCACCCCCAAGCAACTAAACGCCCTAGATATCATGAAACATCAGCCCTACCAATTGGACTCATCCTTGTTCACATATGATGCTGCCTCTGAGGCCAAAAGCCCCAGTCCTAAACCCACTCCTGTCTCTAAGTTTGAAGTTACTAAAAGCCTTAAACAAAGAGCAGACTCTTCCTATTCTCCTTATAATCCCTCTGAACCTGCCGGTCAAAGCAAGGCAGAGGCCCCTGCTAAGGCTCCTAAATTGGTAAGTACACCAAATTCCTACACTCAAAGCATACAAACAGCTGAGCCACTTTCAACAAGCAAGCATTTGGGTGAGAGGCTTGCTGTCACAAGTGCTGCCCCTCGCACAAGCAGCAAGCAAACACACAGCTTCCGACCTGCAAGCGCATCTTCTCAGAGCTCATCTTTTAGCGACAGCATTGCTTCAGCTTTCTCTCCTGCATCTCTTATTGCCAGAGGAGTGCGTCAGATGGCTCCGAGGCCAAAATTCTCTGCTAAGAAGCCAACAGTGACAGGAAAACAGTGGAAGCCTGTTGCTATGCTTTCCTCAGTATAGCACTGTACATGGTCATGCTTTGGTGTAACTTGAGACGACTGTCACATTAGTGCATGTGACTTCAAAAAAGTCTTTAAAAAAAGGAAACTAAAGTTTATCAGATGTTATGAAAAAGGATATATGTAGCAATTTATAGCTTATGAATAATGAATTCAGACTAAATGTAGCCGCATTTGGGGGATCATCTCAGGGCATTTCTCAGAGAAACACAGCTTTTCCCAAGGAAGAACAGTAACACACTACCTTCCAATAATGTGGTATGTGGCTGCAGACATGGTATAAACAGATAATTGAATGTGAACTAGTTCTCAGGACACACCTTACATGCCCCAGAATGTCTGCACAGGTTCTACTTCTGGACACTTTAGTTTAGTTTCTTTTTTAAGAGACATTGTACAATGTTTTTTGTATGTATAGCAGTTACGATTACTGAGCCTCAGATCAAAGCAATAACAATATCTTTCAATTTTGATTTCATTTGATAGCTGTCTGGATAACAGTGACTGACCTGTGCTGCACCTGTAAAAGAATATTTTTAATCCTTTATACTGTTTTGGGTAAAATATGTGACTGCGTTTTAATTCCCGCACACAATCTATTATTCTTTCAGGCTCATTCCAGACTCTGACTATATTAGATCAGATAGAAAAACATATCTGATGTTATTATTTAGCGTAAAATAAAATTTGAAAGAGAACCTATTTTCTTGCAAATATTTTAATGTTGGAATATTTATGTTAGCTGTGATTTAGAATGAAAACCCAAACAACAGCTGCCCTCTTTGTGTCTCTGTCTTTCTGACATATCACTGTTTTCTGAACTTCCTGTAGCACTGTCATGCTATTAAATTCTTTTTTTTCTTCCTCTTTGTTGTCCTCTTTGTGTGTTGGTAACTTTAAACTGCTTTGAGAGGCCAGAAACTGCTCCTGTCTCACCAATTCACACTCTTTGCAGCATCTGCAACCAGCAGAAGGTTTATCTTGCAGAGTTAAATCACCATGTGTGTTTGTTTCACTGCACATTCAGCCACCTACCTTCAGCACACGGGAAAGGTTTGGAACTATAATCTTTGCCTTTAAGCATATCTTTGGTGTTGTTTTAGCCTGCCTTTAAAACAATTTTAACTTCTTAACCTTATTGTTTAAATTTCATTTCCCTAAGTAAAATGCGTCTAGATTAAACTATAGGTACCATAAAAACCAGTCCAAAGTCCAAAGGGTTTGAAATTAAACTTCTAATGTTTTGGAACCAAACCAACTCAAAGTTTTGATTCAAGTGGGAAAAAAAACTTTAAGGATAAATTGGCTTTTAAAGAATGAAAACTGCTTTTTTCAATGTCTAAAAAGGCAGTTTAACATAACATAAATGCAGATATAAGTTTATTTTAAGTTTTATTTTAAGTTTTTTTTTGTTTTTTTTGTTATGTCATTAAACATCAAGCAGGATCTGTTTCCATTTCAAGCATTTATAACACATATATAATTGCTTGTATTACTTTTAGTGTTAGTGGTAGCAGTACTGTATCAGGAGTAGAGCTGTGTTTAGAAAAGTAATACTCATATATATTAGGGCTGAAACTATTAACCAGATAAATTCTGATTAATCCATAATTTAAATCATCGTCAACTAATTTAGGCATCCATTAATTGTTTACTGGAGTATAGAGACTCTAAAACATGCTTTTAGCTGACAGAGCATCCCACTTAGAGCAGTAATTATAGCACAATTGTTAAAAAGATACAAAACTGTTTAGTTCCACCTAGTTTAATTTCATAAAAAAAACTTCTTTAAGGAACCTTTGACTATCCGATTATTAATCGAATAATCTGAAAAACAAGCAACAGATTAATCTATTCGCAAATCAATCATAGTTGCAGCTATATTATATATGATATTATTGCTACAACTAGCATTGGTGCTTGTACTAGACTTAGACTTTATCTTAGTTTGTCCCTGAAGGGTGACTGGTTTACAGCTTGTAGTATGAACCACCATTACACAAACAGTTATGCAGATGATTTAAAAGACTGGAGGATGTAAGGTAAATTCATAATTTTAAATAGAGGTTGATTTAAAATTTATAAAAAGGTTCTATAAAATTAAAACTCAAGTTAAAATGAAGCATTTTGATAGCAGCTTTGAATTGGGACTTTTGTATTCAGAGGGACAATTAGGGATAATAATTCAGTCTGTTCATATCAAGGTATCAAAACTCCAACCTGAGTTGCATGAACGGAGTCTGTAAGGCCTAGCTGGGTCTTTATAAAGACTTATTTATACTGGGAGTAGAGGACGCTGTAGCAATAATAATAATATTAACAATAATAATAATAATATTGAAGAAGATGACAAAGACTAAAAAAAGAAATATGATAGGAGATGCTCAGAGAAAAGTATATTGCAATGGCATAAAGGTAATTAAATAGTTAATAAACATGAAAAGGTGAAGAGGATTAGAAGAAGTTAATAATAAAATAATAAAAAGTTAAGAAAATTGTAGTACAAGCACAAACTAATAATATTTATTAGATGTTTGTTTATAGGGTGAGCGTCAGCCTTGTGGGTTAGAGCAGCGTGCTTGTGCTCTGAGAAGGATGCAAGTCCCTGGTTCAATCCCAACAGCCTGTACTCTGGGTTCCTGAGCAAAACTTTTAACTCCACACTGCCCCCTGGGCGCCGCACAGTGGCAGCCCACTGCTCCCCAAGGGGATGGGTTAAATGCAGAGAGTTAATTTCCCCATTGTGGGAAATAAAGGGATTTACATTTTATACTTAATCATTTTAATGTTATAAGTGGCAGCATTAATAGTTGTATTAAATTTGTAGCAGAAGTTATATTCTTAAAATATTAGTTCCTAATTAATCAAAATTTACATTAGATTTTCAGGATTTTCAGTTTTTCATTGTGTGATGTGTAATAAACAATGTAGTTATGTGGATTTTCTAAACCCAAAGATTCCTCCTACAGACAGAAATGTAAACATAGATAATGAACAAGGAATGTCCTACTACTCTGAAAAAAGTAAAATCCAAATAAATATTTTTTTCTTGAAATAAGTGCATTTTTTTCTTGCATTGACCAGGTAAGTGAGATACTTTTCCAATAAAACAAAACAATTTACATTTAAAATAAGAAAAAAAAAATTGCAATGTCTTATTTGAAGTGCATATTATCTAATTATCTTGTTTTAACAGTAAAAATACTTGTTCTATTGGCAAATCATCTTATTTACCTGCTCAAATTAAGGGTAAATACACTTAATTTAAGACTTTTTTTACTTAATTCTAGATCGTTTTTGCAGCGTAAGTTTAGCTGTGGCTTGTAAAGAAAGAGGATGAGTCTGGTAAAGAAGTAGTTCCAAGCAAAGTCTCAGAATGTTTTACATTTTAGCTGTCTTTGAAGAAACATCAGGTAAGTTGAGAGATATTTCTGCATTTCTTCTATTTTTGTCTGTTTGTTTTATATACAGAATTAAGGCTTAAAAGTTCCTCAATGAGTTTAGGAGATAGATTTAAATGATATGACAAAGACTTTTTTTTGTATTATATTTTATAAAGGAAAATGGAAAGAAAAAAAGCTAAAGGAAAATGGTTTTTAGGGCGAGGTTTTATTAATGCATTATTGGTGCGACTAATTGGGACACATTTTCTTAATTGGCATATTAAAATATTTGTGGGAAAATATTCCTTATTCATGCTATCATCATAGTCTTTTTTTTTTTTTTTTACTATTATTAAAAAGAGTCACCTGTTCAGGCTTTAATGAAGCCCAGCATTGTCCATACAACTGCTTGTCAGCACTAAGCTCTTGATTCTGTTTTTAGGTTTTTGGCCGGAGCCGCTCACTGAGCCTGCCCCAGCGACTTAACTCCTTGCCTTCTGGACTCCTGTACCCTCTGAGAGCACCTGAATTCCAGCCGGCCTTTCCGTCGACTCAGAGGCCAGCGTCCTTTAACAGGAAACCTCCTACGCCATGGGAGGCAGCTTCAAAGAGTCCACTCGGCTCTGTGGATGAAGCCTTCGTGTTCCAGAGCCCCCTGTCCTCTGATGTTATGGCAGCAGCTCACCACAGATCTCTGCCAGAGCCTCCAGAAGAATGGAAGCGTAGGGTTTCTCTCGATTCTGCTGCTGTCAGTAAGGGTCACCATCAGCACCTGGCCCCTTCTTTTCCGACAGCGTCCATCAGCAGATCAATTTCAGCTGAGAAACCAGCCTTCTACGGGCCTCCATTCAGACCCGCTCAGCCTTTTAGACCTGGATTCAAAATGCAAAGCCCAAATACATTTTCTCATTTTTCTAACCCAAGCCAGAGAAGTTAAAAAAACACTAAGCAAGAAAATACATACAGGAAGCTCAGATTGTTGTCTTAACATTTACGGCTATTGCAAAAAGCACACTGAAAAAAATGTTTGCAGCAGAGAAACGTAATGAGCGACAGAACTTCACTGAGTCTGTCCAAATGTATCCCTACTTACTGTAGGCAGTTTATGCGATCTGCTTAACATGAATAATGGGAGAGAAGGCTTTCCTAGGGGTGTAGTGTATCTGCTGATTTGAACCACAGCGCACATTCCTGTTAGAATGTTTGACAAAAATACACATTCTTGGGATTTTATAAGCAATGATCATGTTGCTGTGTATGACAGCTGGGTCAGCCAGATTCTTTAAGGCTGATTATTTATTTTATTTTATTAGCAGAGGATCATTTATAGCATCATAAATGTGCTCTTATTCCTTAAAGTCTTATATTCAGCTAATTTAATAGTAGAATAAATCTTTATAGATTAGACCAACACAAAGAAGTAACTAAGCAGGAGAAGGAAAATAACGAGCGATTTTGCATTTTATCACACATAATGCTTAGGTCCTACTAGTCCTTAGTCGACACTTAGTGGAACCATCTTATTCTGCCATCAAAGCAGAAGGTCCTCATATGTTTGCCTCTTATACCTTAACCTACACACAGAGGTTTTGTTTTTTCTTTTTCTTATTTTTTCACAAAATAGCTCAAACTCATACAGATTGCATGGAGATAATCTGTGAGGATTCATTTTTAACCCCTTCCAGTTGCCCTGCATTTAGCTCCATCTATGCTCCCATCCCAACTTCCTTTCCTTGCTTTAGAACAGCATTCTATCCCATTCCAGTATTATTGTGCCTCCAGTTCAAAGCATTTATCTGATTCTTCCACCTGAGCTGTCGATCACTACAGCTCTACCATGGATTGATTTTTTTTTCTTCATTTTTTTTATTACATGTAAATTTATCCTCCTTCATCATCACAATAGAATTACATTGTGCTGTTTAATGGCCAGAACTTCCGACTAAATTCATCCAGGTCTGTGGCTTTAATACTTTAATAATATTAAAAAAGAGGTATGATCATTCAATTGGTCAATCTAGTTTTCCTCCATAAAAGTTTTTTCCTTTGATCAGATTTGTTTGATATCACTATACGTCAGTAAAACACCCCAGTAAAAACAAAACGAAACCTGTTGTGTGACCATAATCTAGGCTCTCACTCTTAAAAAAAATCATTCTGAAAGTTATAAGCAAGTGTTTGATTCTCCAACAAGCTGAAGACATCTAACGACATAAAATCTAGTACCGTATACTGATGGTGAAGTCAAAAATTCTGCTGAAGTCATTTAAACATCTTTGTTTTGTTTGTTTGTTTTTTTCTATGATGGTGTGGGAATTTTGTACTTTAAGTACAAATATACAAAGAAGAAAAGTGAAAGTTTATATTTAGGGGTTGGTAACTTAAACTGCAATGCCGGCTTAAATGATATGTTTGGTTCATTTTAAATATGTTTTGATTTTGACTTATAAGATCTGTTGGCTCTCCGTTTCAGTGTAGATAGCATTAGAATTTCTTTTAATTAGTTTTGCGCCAATGCCATTTTTTGGCCTCGATACCTGGCTGTGCAGTATTGGCTGATACCGATACCAAACCGATACCATCTGTTTGAAATTGTGTATGTATTTATGAAGAACTACATGCTACTTGGATGTAAAATAATTGCCATCATGGCTTTGTCAAGCTGCTGCCTACCTTTGTGAAGCAGGAAGAAAGACTAATACAAAGTGAATCCAGTAGAACTTTTATTGCCTACCTGGAATTGGTGACAATAGTTGGATAAACTTTTGACTCTCAAAATGGTATCGGTGCCCTATTTGTTGGTGCTCGCTGATACCGATACCACTGATACTGGTATCAGTATCGGTGCAACACTATTTTTGATTCTTTGAAGCACATCTGTTGTGGACATTGCTGGGATTTTCCAAAAAAATCTTTTCTCAGCTGATATTGGTGAAAGTGTGATATTGTAGACACTGAATTTCTCTATGAATCTGTCTGTAGCTCACCTCTTTTGTTAACACATCTACCAAACATGACACATTGATCCTCTTTTTGTTTCTGCTCACCGATTGCAGTTAAGCTGTTGATAAAGAGCCGTATCATGTACACACTGCTTTTCACATTTGAAAACAACAAAAATTATTTATGCAAGGAAAGCTTTTTTGTTTTAACTAGTGAATAATTTCAGACAGAAATGTATGGATTATCAAATTAATCAAAACCCATGCCGTGTCGTGTTTAATAAACAGAATTATGTCTGCAGGTGTTTCCTTCATGCAGCATGTTGATTTTTGTGTGCACTTTTCTTGGTGAAGTTGTTTTGCTTTGTTTTCCCACTTTAAAGACCATTAAAAATAATAAAACCAGTCAATTCTTTTAACTTTTTTATTGTTGTTGCTTTGAATAAAATGCATTGTTTTTTCCAACATAGAGTATAGAGTAGGATCTTGCAAATTCTTTATATAGGCCGTTCATCTTTTTGTCTGTCAGTCATATAAATTTTTTATATATCTTAGTTAGCAACAGTCTAAAACAAACGCACACGTTTTTTAACCAGCCAGGGAACAACAAATATTCATGATTTCAGAAATTTCAGAGTTAAAACCAATTTATCCTTCATGTTACTTAATTTTTAATCTCAGCTAATTTGTTTAGCCTAAAGAAACAGATTATTTGGTTTTCACAGGATTCAGCTATTAGTTTTTTTAAAGCCTCCTTTTTCCAGGCACTTAGTCTTTATCTCTTTAGAAATGTATCTGGTTGGAGCTCAACCATACTTAAAAATAGATTTGAGGTGCTTTATTTTCATGTATTTGTCTCATAAAATAACCTGGAGTGTTTGTTACTGAAAACAAAGCTCAATTTAAGTCTTATCTAACCAATTATAACTATTACAGACTCCCAGGAACACATTTAAGCCAACTCTATTAAATGCCTCTATTAAAAGTGGATTTTTTCCCCCCAAGAATTCCTCTCAAGGATTTGACAACTCTGATTCAACCTAAACATTTTATTATGTTATTTTTTACATAATCTTTACCTAAAAGTGTTATAAACTGTAAAGGGACTTTTTTTCCCCCTTTAACCTTTCTTCATTCCTCCAGAGTCAGTGGTTAGACAGAATAACATGAATTAAACTTACGGAGAGAATTAGGAGCAGCAGCTGTGCACTGTGTTAACATCTGTCCCTACTTGAGACATGGCGCATTAAAAGGCTTAATCAACTCTCAAAGATGCGTGTCCCTAAAGAGTCAGAAACAGAGAAGCACAGAGTGGTGATCCAGAGTCCATCATCTCCTCTCCTCTCCTCGCTATCCTTTCCCCATGGTGTCTGAAAGTGGCTCTGAGTGTTTGACAGGTTAAATTTAGCTTATTGATGTAAGCTGCATTCCATTCAGATGGTTCCACAGAGACAACAGAGACAGAGACACCCTCAGAGTTTGGCTTTAGTGTCCGTGAGCGTGAAGATCTGCAAAGATCACACTGCTGACCCCTTCGTCTCTGTGTCTCCCCTTCAAGGATACGGGCTGCAACAGGTATGGATACCTCTTAAAATGAAGCTCTTAAATAATCAAACACTAAAACTAGGCTACAATAACGGGCCGTGGTCGTATAAATCCAGCTGCATGTTACATTTATACATGAACACCTGAAAAGATTGCTGATTTTTTTTTATCTGTCCGTGTCATGCATTTTACATTTGAAAGGCTGATTTACTAACTAATCTGCACGTAAAATATATCTTCAGATGAAATTCCTTTAACCAACACACAAAATCAATGATTGAGTAATCCAGCGTTAAGATATTTGTACAAACTAATTAATAGTCTTCTTTGTTTGCAAAATGAACAGTCTGAACTTCACCCACAGCTGACAGTGATTATTCACATTTAGGTTTCAGCACTTCTGTTGGCATTCTGTTGGGGGCCGCCTTTTACAGCTGCTTTTTGTATCTCTGCTTCTGTCTCCTTGAACCCCAGTCGGCCTCGGCAGATGGCCGCTCACACTGAGCCTGGTTCTGCTGGAGGTTTCTTCCTGTTAAAAGGGAGTTTTTCCTCTCCACTGTCGCTACAAGCATGCTTAGTGTGGGGGATTGTATTTGAGTCAATGAGTCAATGCAATCAACTGGTTTTCCTTAGATAGAAAACTTTGTATCAATTTGACTGTATGATCTGGTTGAACTGTAAAGTGCCTTGAGATGACATGTGTTGTGAATTTGGCGCTATATAAATAAACTGAATTGAATTGAATTGAATTCCTGGACATGTTTCATGCATAGCAACTTATACAAACCTAGGAAACAATTCATCCTTGACCTTTCAGACAGGTAATTTAACCTCTAACAAATTTAAAAGACCATGTCACTAATTTTAGATTGCAATGCAACAAAAAAAGAGTGCAGCAGAGATGTGATTAAGAAAGAGATAGCTAGGCAAGCCATAATTGAGGCTATAAAATGGCAAACACTGACAGAAAAAAAAGTTTTTTCTTTTTAAGTTTTAAAAATATATATATTTTAAAAAACAATGCATTGTAAAAATAAACAGATCAGACAGGAACAAAGAGAGTCTAAGGTTAAATAGAGCCCTGATCAGAAAACGCTTTGGCGGAGCCACTGCTTCACTTTTTCGCAGAGTGAATACTCAACATGGTTTAGAGGATATTCCTCCATTTTTCTTTGAAGTTAAGATATTTATTTTCAGCAATTTATGTTTTTTGTGATAGTTCTTGTTTTTAGCTTTTGATTGTTTCAAAGTACTTTTCTTTATCTCCATATGTTCAAAAAGTTAATTGAAACATAATATTTTATTTTGATAGTTTCATTAAAATAATAAAAAAGAAAATAAGAATTATGCTAAGTATTAATAAGTTATATATTTTTGGATGGGGAGAATCCAACATTATACCTGTATTCATTAACAACAATAAAAAAAGATCTATTTAGACAATTTTATTTTTTGACAGGACTATTTTTACTGCACAGGCATAGGAAGCAGAGATGTTTGATCAGCATTTAAAATAAAACTTTATAAAAATGACTGTGAATTTGTTTTATATGACTATAGAAGCAAGTGTATTCAACAAACTTCTAAATTCTCTAAAGGAGCCTGGGTAAGGTGGGGAACCTACACGGAAACCTTCAGGCAACCCTGTGCAGGAGTGCGTCCCTCCAAGCGCTCAGCATCTGTATTCGTCTCAGTATCACTGCAGCATTGCAGAATCTTTTACTTGAAATTGAAAAACTATTTTTTAAAAAATCTAATTCTTTGATCTTCCTGTTAAGCTTGTGACCAAGCACCAAATAATGTTCTTTCTGTAGCCACAGTTTATGGCTACAGAAAGAGAAAGAAAGTGGAACGTTTTGCATACAGCTCCACGCTGCTGCATGGCGTGAAAAAGTGGCTTGTCAAACCAGAAAGTACAAAATGTCAGAGTGGCTGACCAGTGTGAGCCATAAATAAATTGGGATAATTTACTGGGAAGGCTGTCTAATCCTTTGCTGTTGTTCTTTCACTATAAGGCTATTTCTAGTTGAGTGGGAGTGTTGGTGGGAGAGGGGAGGTAGGCTGTACAAACCAACGGTGAAGTTGACTGAGTAGCATGAAGGTCTGCAACAGCTGGGGTACATTCTGTCTGTGCACATGAATGAGGTAACATCTTGTACCCAACACTAATCTCAAATATGATGATGGCTCAATCTGGGAACAGCAGTTGGGATAAAAAAAATGAGACTGGGAGATTTGTGATAACATTTCATTTGAATTTTGTTAAAATTCTTAAAACCTGTTTATTTTCTTTCCATCATCCAAAATTAAGCTAGAGTATACTGAGAAAGATTTAAGCACAATGTAGCCCAAACACGTTTGAAAAAATATAACCCAAAATAAAGAATCAATAAAGGAAAGATTGCCTTCAAAAACATTTCTTTATTAAACATTTATAGAAAATGTATGAATAAATTATGTAAATATAGACAAAAAAATACAATCAAGTTGTTATTGTTTATAGCTGCAATCCAATTGTTTTCCAGAATTTCTGCACCTTCTGAACTTTCAACCTAATGAATTTGGGTACATTTTGCCATATTATGCTCACAGATTTGAACATATTGTTTGGGGGTTGGGTTATGTGCGTAAACAACACCCAGTAGTTCACAATGTAAAGTGGGAGGAAAAAGAAAGCAAGGCTTTGAAAAACTTTTCATGTAAAACCTTAAAAATGTGGCAGGTATATGTATTTATCCCCCCTTATTCAATGCTTTTTAGGGTCAGCTTTTGTAGCGTATGTTGGTTGTGAGCAGAGGTGGGTAGAGTACACAAAAATTGTACTCAAGTAAAAGTAAAAAGTAGCCATCCTAAAAATTACTCTGGAGTAAAGGAGTATTCATTAAATCGCTATTCAAGTACAAAGTTACTGATATACTTAGAACACATGAACATAACTGATTTAAATGTATTACACAATGATGCATTGTTAAAGGAAATTTAGAGTTATTTCACAAATTGTGGTGTTTTAAAGGAAGACATTAAAATATAAACATAACACTATAACAAATTTAGGTGACATGAAAACTCATCAACATACATTCATTAAGTTATTAAACTTTCTAAATCAATTGAAGTAGGTAAGAATAGGGTAATTTACAATTTACTACATTTTCAGACACAGCAAATGGGGGAGAAGCAGTAAACCAATGAGTAAAATGAAGCCTTGAGCAAAAAAATAAGAAAGTCTGTTTTTCCTTGGTGCATATTTGTTTAAAGTTACTTAGAATTGGTAGAGTATCCAGAAAGTTACTCAAGTAAGAGCAACAATATTTATACTTACTAGAGAAATAGAAAGTATAATGCAATAAAATTACCCCTAACTGTACATTTTTTTCCAAAGGTTTCTCAAGTCAATGTAGCAGAGTAAAAGGGATTAGTTACTACCTGTCCTGCTTGGGAGCCAATGGGTTTTTTTCCTACTAGCTTTAAACATATAAAGACTGGGCCCTTTTTTCTTGCTCGGTAAAATTAAATGGAGATGGTATGTGAAAATTACTTTTTAATTTGTAGTTTTAAATGTATAATTAATCCTCAGAAATGTTTGATTTGGACTTTAGCAAAGCTGTTACGGTACTTCTAAACTCATACCCATATGTATGGGGGAGTTGACAGCAAGGAGCTAAACAAATCATATGTTTCTTCACATATTTATCGACTTACATTTACAAATATATGTACAATACATGTGAATATGTATTGACACTTATCTTACCACAAATAACAGTTTTGGCTTTAGCTGTATATGTAGATTTAGTGCCTGGAGGTGTGGAAGCTCTTTTCCTTAAAGGAAAAGTCCGATCATATTCAGAATTCAAACTTCTGAAAGTACTTTAAATATACAATTATTACATACTGTTGAATAAATGACTAGTCTTTAATTAAGATTAATTTTCATTTGAGCGTGCTTTATTGGAGGCATCCATGTTTGTCAAAGAACACTACTATCACCTACCAGTTTGTGAAGTCACAGTGCGGTACCAGCTGAAATGTTGGCTACATATTACAGGTTTTTTCTCTGGCCAGAAGTTCGATGGCAAATCATCCCTCTTCAAATTGGCAATCCAACGACAAACCCCCATCTGTGGAGGATCATGAATTGGAAAGATGAAATATATTTTTTCCACTTTTACCCGATGTTTTGCAACATCAAACTGCCATGCATGAGGGCATTGTAACTTTAACTATAGCTCTCATGAATTTCAATGGTGAAGTCCTCTCAAAATCTAAAATAACTATTGCTGATTGCAGGTGTGTATAATAGTTTGTATTGATTTTGCTTGTAAAGCACGGAGAATGGAGCTAGCCTTACCACACTGTGACGTCACTACAGGAAGATGTCAGACATGAGGTGTTACTATATTTGGGCAAAAATGGCCGCTCCCAGACTCACTGATTACGATGAAAATTATTATTTCTATATTTTTTACTGAAAAACGCTAAATCTATTAAATCACTGTTAACGTGTTATTTTTAGGTATAGATAATGATCCATTGATTATTCCTTGCTGACCAAACTTTTCCTTTAATATGTTTCTTCCTGCATTGCCCTTCATATAACTCCACCCACTTCCACGTCAACTCAGACCAGCTTTCCTAACCCTGTTAAAAAGATAAGTACTTCCTTAATCTTACGCTGCCATTTTTCATGTCCCAGTATAGGGACATTTCTCGTGGATGTTAAGTCAAGTCCTTTGCACCATAATCTTAATCACATAAATATAAGAAAATAATTAAACTTTATTGATCTCACATTGCACACATTTATCTCTGCATTTAACCCATCCCCTTCAGTAGCAGTGGGCTGCCATTGTGTGGCAATCAGGAGTTAACAGTCTTGCTCAGAGGCCGAGAGTGGCAGTGGATTTCGAACTCACAACCTCAGGATTCCAAGCTCTATGCCATAAAGATGTTAGTTATTATTATTTTATTATTTAGACAGCATTTTATAGGTTTATATTAGTGATCAGAAGTATATCAGACATTATGATCAAACTGTTGCTCAGTACTTCAGTACCGCTTTTACTATGTTGTACCTTATCTAAGTAATTTTTCTAATGAGTTCCTCTACATTCTATTCAAGCAATTTTCTAATAAAAAAAACTATTATTTTATTGATTGAAAAGGTCCAACCTTATTAATATTTTTATTAACCAATCAATCTAGCTAACTTTTTTTTTGCCACTCACATTTTACATGTATAACATTTTGTTCCTTAAGTCTTTGCTGAGCTGGTATCTGGAACCCCTGGAGATATTTTTAACTGACAATTATTTCCTTTCCTTTTTGCTTTGGGTAACTTCCAGTGTTAGACCTTAATAATCTGTTTCTCTTTATTTTGTTTAAATAAGAATATCAAACACATCATTAAATAAATACTTCTGGGTGTCAGGAGACGCTGTCATGGACCTGGGAAAAAAACTCAGCACTCCCAAAGACATCATGCTGGAGGAGCTGTCGCTCCTCTCCAACAGAGGGTCCCGGCTTTTCAAAATGCGCCAGAGGAGGTCTGAGAAGTATACATTTGAAAGCATTCAAAACGAGGCAAACGCACTGCTGAATGTAAGTCACCCTCTCTGTGTTGTGAGTTCCTTTATTTACTTAAATGGCTGGAATAGATCCGTAAAACTGAATTATGCTCCTTGAGATAAAAACGGTGGAAAATGTAAACAATTGCTGCAACATCCTGCAGGAGGATCATCTTTGAGGCTGTTCAGGTTTTTCTTTGCAGATCTGCTCCCATTTCTATCAGTGCATGCTGTGAAACTGTAACTGGAAATTTAATTTAATTTAATCTAAATGAAGCGTATTAATAGCAATGTACTTTTTTAATGTATGGTCCAACACCCTATCAATGCTCCCCTTATTTTATTTAGCAGAATGATATTCTGAACCAGAACACACACTCTGTGGAGATTAAAGTGGATCCGCCAGCACATGATGGCTCTGCAAATTCAACCTCAGGTAACTCTGCTTTTTATTAAGCCTGTTATATTTAATAAGGCTATTTCAGATTTATGTTTGCATTTAGATCTACGTTGGTTGTATATAATCAAGATTTATCATTTGAACAGAGAAGGCTAACTATGCCCTACAGTCATTTTTTGATGCTTCACTAAGGCCCAAACTCATTATACAATGAGCACACACTTGAAATGTGCTATTTTAAGTACTAACTGTAGCTATTTTAATCTCATCCACTTTGAAATTTCCAGGCTGCAGAAAACAGCTTTAAAAAAAACAAGACAAAAGGCCCTGATAGCCAAGCGAACAGATCAGCCTGTGGCAATATCAAAGCATTTGTCATGGTAGGATCTCTTGCTTTGCAGACATGGTCACAGAAAAGCTGGACACCACGCCTGGGCACAAAACGTACCACTCACCATGGGAGCAGGTCATCTTGAGCGACCCTAACCTCGCCGATACGCTCCAGCTCAGAATGCCAGAGCCAGAGCCGAAGCAGGATCTTCCTGAATACAAATGCTTCAACCGGTGAGACAACCGTATCCTGCATAAACCTAAGTGATTGAAAGAAATGTAATGGAAAATGGGGCAATCTCTATGTTGATCTGAAATGCAGGGTTGCCACTCCTTATGGTGGTTTTGAAAAGGCTCCAAGAGGAATCACATTTAAGCTCCCTGAGGTGGACCTGAACCCACCACAGTACCAGGAGCTCTGCGATCCGAGAGCAAAGCGGCCTACGTTCAACAGGACGGCCCAGGGTTGGATATCAGAAGGCACTCATCTCATCCTACCCACTATAACCCTGGAGCCTTTCAGTGTGCCTGAGTCTGATGACCTGTAGGTGATTTCACTGAAAGATGGAACATCATGCAAAGGGACGTGGGGATGCATTCACAGTAGATAATATTTTGTCCAATGGAGCTGCCTGGAAATGTGATTTTCCCGTTTTCTGATGATAGGCTGGGTTTTAATGACACATGGCGTAATATGTCCAAACTTTTTCTTATGAATAGGGAAAGTAATTTACATTCAACATCAGAAGAAAAGCTGTAGAATTTAATTACCTTTAATCATAATGTGTACATTATATACAAAATATTTGCAAATATAGTCATGAAGTGTATTCAATAAACTCAGCATCCTGATATATCATTTATTGAAGGTTTTCAGCTTCAAATCACTTTTATTGATCTTACCATTCTGAAATTAATTAACAGATAACCTTTTTTTTCATGCATCAGCAGGCAACTGTTCTTGTATGTTGTCGGTTACGAAGTCTAAAATGATTTCTGCTTTATTTTTAGGAAGCAGCTATTCAACCTCAAAAATTTGAGAAAGCCCAGGTTTTGATGCCCATGGCATTGTAGGCTTCTAACAGGTTTTTTTCAAAATTTCTGAGTGAAAAAAAACTATATGTAGAGTTTCATTAGATTCATCTTTGAATTAAATGAACAGATGTCTGATGGTGCCATATTTGCTATATGCAACTATAAACAGCATGGGATTATAAAGACCCCTATTTATGAAGAAAATAGCTTTAATTCCCAAGAAATAACATCTTTCAGTGCTAGATTTCAGCATCACCTTCAGAAGAGTAGCAAAGAAACCTGGGAATATACTGACTAAAGCTTGAAATACAGTCATCCTCCACAATGAAACTAGTCATGTAGAGACATGGACTGAAAGGCCAATCAGAAAGGAAGAAGCCATCACTCCAAAAGCTACAGAAAAAGCCACATTATCCGTACAAAAGCAAAGATCTTAATTTTAGGAGAAATATCCTGTGGTTATGACAGTAAAACTGAAAGATTTTACTATGGTAATGTACTGGTGCCCTTCACAATGCAAACTATAACTATTGAGACATATTCTGAGTTAAAGAAAAATATTTCCTTTTTATCCCACTTAACAAGGTACTAAAAGGGCAATGCCAGTTAAAGTCTGAACATTTTTTTCAATCAAGGGCATTATTCACTAAAAAATTAAGCATTATAATTGTGTGCAGTGATCAATAAATATGATCACTGCAGTAACAAAGAAACAAGATTATAGATGACACCCTGGCACTGCAATCAAATGGGCTTCACCATCTCTTAATCAATACGTGTCTATAAAAGGACAACCTTTGGAAGCTTAGTCATCTGGAACACTCAGGCCTGTGTTACCACACCATGAGGTTGGAGTGAGGCGAAGATATTGATGCCCACAATCAGGAGAACATGTTGTACAGTGTTCACAGGAATGGACACCGGGCATTCCTTTGTTAGATTAACAATTGAGCACAAAGAAAGGGGGAAAATCCGAAGATCATCACTGTTTAACATGTCAGGTGTTGAGGTTTTTACAAAATTAGTAGGAAACCACAAAATCTTACCTGATCTCACATGATAAATTCTACCAAAGAAACTTTTCAGGCTACACAACCAAGTAGTTTACAAAGATTATTGCCAAGTATTCCTGCAAATCAGATCCAACATTATGTTCACTAAATTTAAAGACCTGGGGTCCATTTCAGAAAGCAGATTTAGTAAAAACTCTGTTTCAGTCACCGTAGTAACATTCTCCCCAGAGCTAACCTGGTCGGTAGTAGGTTTTCATCAGTGAACTGATTCCACTCTTCTTAGAGCCTATCATGCTGTTTTATTTCCTGATTTAGTCAGATTTTGTCATAGTGTTCTGCATAAAAACAAACATTGCATGTCCGTTTGATGAGGATCTTATTAAAGAATGATTAGCACCTTTTCACAGAGAATGTGACAGAATAGGAGATTTATGTATCTTTGGTTTGTTTAATATGAGTGACAGGTGGATAATTTTTATTTATTTATTTTTACCATACATGAAGAACTAATTAAATAATTTTCAGATTACATATAAATAGATTAGTTAATTTTGCGGAGGAAAAGGAATTACTTTAGGGTAAGGATTAGGATTCAATCAATGATAATAACCTAATCAGCCTATTGGCACAATCTGCTGGCATTCTATGGGATTGATAACCACTAATAATGACCATTTATTGGTATGATAACATCCAAAGTGGCTGCAAAAAGTCACTTAGTATTTACTGTGTAAAAGAAGACCGAATCAACATATGGAGGAACCAATGAGATGATCCATAGGTTCTATATATATATAGACTTAATTTTTACCTGCTACCAGAAGATTTCACCTAAATAGATGCATTAATCCACTAACATTCGAGAAATAATCCCTATAATCCCTATTATAAATCAGTCTGGACAGACGTTTCTCCATGGCTCTACCTTTCTCATACCTCATCCAAAATAGGCAGTTATCCTGAGCTAGTTACATGTATGTTTAAGCTGCTGGACGACATAGGGAACACTTTCATCATTCTGCTTCATTTTTATTATTCTCATTCAATCTGCAATTTTTGTTAGGTCCACCCTTAACTTTATGTTTCCTCAGCTTTTTCTCATCATGTAGCATGGTCTGATGCTGTTTGGCTGTGACACCGCCCTGGATTAAAATGTCAGCTGTGTTGCTGCAGCCAACATCACTCTTTAAGATATTGGAGCTTGGCCTGTTTTTCTTATTGGAGCTAACTGTATGTACTATCTTTCATCCTCTGAGAGCAGGCTTGGAGCTCATCTGCCTGGCTGTGTCTTTCCTGGACGTGGCCACTGGTGGAGCCTGTTAGCAGTTATCTTTTGTATCTTTATTTCTTTCTGTATCGCTGCTTCTGTCTTCTTGAACCCTTAGTCGGCCTCTGCAGATGGCCACTCACACTGAGCCTGGTTCTGCTGGAGGTTTCTTCCTGCAAAAGGGGAGTTTTTCCTCTCCACTGTCGCTACAACCATGCTTGCTGTGAGGGATGTCTGAATGATCAACGACAAACTACAAGCAAAAATCATCACCACATTGTCATCCAAGAGGAGAATGTCTTGCAAGTCAATTAGTCAATGCAATCAAATGGATTTTCTTGAAATAAACATTTGAATTGAACAAATTGTAGAACCACCTTTTTCGTAAGTCCAGTGACTAGACTTAGGTATGTCTCTACATGCTTTTCACAGCTTCTGCGTCCTAGAGTTATTAATAACAACAAATAAATATGAAGGGCTTTTTGACTATATTAGTATTTTTGATTAAAAAAAAACAACAACTATGAACCTAGCCAACAGCACAAAGGATGAGTCTGTTATTACAGCGCAGCTCCATTAAGGCTTACATCTGTACCAACTCCAAGAAAACTGCAAGAAAAAACCCAGACATATCCATCGCCAAAAATAGCCTTTGGAACATCAATATTGACACTGACATCTTATCTGAAAAGAGCTCTGGTTTTCCATATTCGGTAAAACAGCAAACAGACTCAGTTACTCCTTTTTTTTTTACCCTTTAGAGATGTACTTTATAAATAATACCTACAATCTTTTCATGTGCCCCAAGGGAGGTTTCAATGTTTATAGCACATCTGACTGTAAAAATATGCAGTGTCACTAAAATAAGCCACCCAACCCATTGCATTCACACTCTCATACCTCAGTGCAGATTGCCACCTTCTCTCTTTGACATGCATGTTTTAGAGAAGAAAAAAAAACTAAACAGCTTTAAATCATCAAACAAAAATAATTTATGATATAGTGTTGGCTACTTTTATCTCAGCCTTTACAAAACTGCTTTGATTCAAATTTTTTTGCATTCTATTTTGCACCCTATATACAGAAATAATAGTGACCCAAAGGTAATGCAGACACTTGCAAAAGTATTCATACCTCCTTCAAGATTTATTACATTTTACTATCTTTTTAACTATAACTTTAATTGGAGAATTGTGAGAATCGGTTTGAAGGACAATTATTATTCGTATACTCCACCAATATGAATGATATGAAAAATACTGTCACAAGAGTTTTGCAATACTAATAAACACAGTGGCACAGTAAACTATTGACATGGTGGTGGCATCATTATGCTCAGGATGCTGATTGGCGTTAATATGTAGATGGTTGGACCTAAATGAAGCCTAAATAAAACATGATCAGAGTTGCAAAAGACTAAAGTGGAGTAGTTCAGACCAAAAAACATTGGAACAGTCCACTCAAAGCACAGGCTTAAATTTAATTCAAAGGAAAGGGCAACATGTTGTTGTTCACTCTCCATACAATCTGTCTAATCTGCAAAGAGAAACTGCCTAAAGAGTTCATCTTTAGATGTGGACACATAAACTAAAAAAAAATTAGATTCACCTATTTGGAAATAACAAGTTGTTTTAGAAAGTACATTATGTAAAAAATAAGATAAATTAAACAAACCAAAGACATATCTGCTTTTGCTACTGCTTCAAAATTAGACATATTTTCACATAAATTCCCAATAAAATATGCAGATGGACACAGGATATGGATCCTTTCCCTGTATTTGTCAAAGCTACCATCAGCTTTTAAAATGTGATTGTCTTTTACACCACATAGCGGCCTTTTATTTTAGGGTGAGGCACCAAAATCTGTTCGAATAAGACACAGTTCAGTGGGACTGACTGCAGCTTGCATCAGCTTCTTTTAGTCCTCCTGCCTCCACTTATAACCTGCGAAGCTCTGCAGCCTTTCCCCTGCCAGGCTCTCCATCTGCCCCATTTTTTTCTTTTTTTTTTTCTGCAATAAGCTGTCTTACTGCAGCATTAGAGTCCCACAGATATAGACAACACAGATTTACTCATTTTCAAATGTTCAATATTAAATATTGATGATCAGTGTTATTTGCACCTTCTGTAACTTATGATTTATATAAGAAAAGAAAAAAAATGAATACTGCTTTTACATATTTTTTCTTTATACTTTATTTTTTTATATATTGAAGTCTGCATGTGGATTTTTATATTTTACAGAGAGGATCTCCACCACACAGGAGGGGTTAGTCCCCACAGTGCGGCATGATTATGAAACCAGTGCGGTCATGTGATGTCTCCTCTCATCACCATCATGACAAGTTGGAAGTCTGACCTTCCTCCTGCACACAGTTTACCATGCAGCCACTGAGCATTGCAATGGAGCGGCAGTGCGCTTGAGGATACACTAGGGGCGGAGTTTGACCTCTCAAAAATTTTAAAACATCACTAATCCGCGTCGGACATTCTGGCACAGGCCAAGCATTGGATCAGCTTTTGCAGGAGGGGGGGAAAAATCACTTCCTTCACGATCTGTACCCCAGCGACGCTCTGGAAGGAAGGAGGAGCTGGGAATGCTGCACGGATAACGCTGTTCCATATCGCACATCTGCAGCGGTTTCTACCCGGGTTTGTTGTCAATATTCCAGGAAAATTCGCGGGATTTGGCGCGTTGACAGCTGGAGCCTGGAGCGCCCTGCAGCCGTCAGTGTTGGAGGTGAGCGCAGCAGCGTTTGGCTGCTTTTCTGGACACAGGAATGCAAGTTGCGGTATATTTTTGTTTCTGATGCTGGAGCTGGAGCTGCAGAGCATCTATGGATGTTAGTACAGCAGCGAGGCTCCTGCAACGACAGCACTAAGCTTTTATCAGCTTAAAAATAGGAGAATCAGAGGATCTGATCATGAAATCCCGTTCAATATAAACCGCAAGATGCTCACTTATCTAAGGGCCTTTAAAAGCATCACATGGTGCTGAAAACTGAAAGTGATGCTGAACCATTTGACTTAAAAGCTTTGCTCGAATAGATTTAACACACAGTGTTCCTGATTTGCACTGCGTTTTAATTAAAAGTTGGAGGATTGCAGGATTTTAAAGTTTGTCAAACAACTTTTAATTTTTAACCACAATGCACTGTTCAAATTATTGGGTTAGTCCAATCAATTTGCTTTTATTTAGTTAAACTCAATGGTAATATAGGCTACTGATCCATCACAACAGTTTTGGAATAAGGTAATTGCAATGAAATAAAGGGCAGTAACAATTTTTTATATTTTATAAATGGTAAAAAGCATACTCTCCAAAACCTACTATAAAGAGATAATTATTTTTTTTCTCCATCCCTATATTTATGTAGCCAGGATTGAGAACTATGGTGGTAAAATTATCATTGCTGAATACTTGCTTACAATTTTCTATGTTAAAGCATGTACAAAATGAATAAATAATAAAAACAAACAATCAATTTAATATCAATTTTTATGTGCAAGTACAGGAAAATGTGCTATAATAAGAGCTGAAAGGTCATCAATTAAAAAGTGTACATCAGTTGGACTCTCCCATGCCCTAAATATATGTTATGTACTGTTGTAAAAAATAGAAAATGATGAAAATTGTAAATAACCACTATAACTACTTTTTGAAGGAAAACAAACAAACAATAAAAGATTAGATTTTACGGCTTTTTCAGTATTATTTAGTTTGAGTTTAACAAATATGACCACGTTTCGACTTGGTCATATTTGTCAATCCTTCTTTCATGCAGTTTATTGGACATTTTGTGTCCACAAACAACTTTTGATGCCAAATTGCTGCCAGATTCCCATCTAAACCCTTGCCAAGCCATTTTGTAAGTTTTAGATTTTATTTTTTTGCTGTTCTTGGTCTCACTGTGTTGCTAAGAAATGCGCTCCAGCTTTAGCTTCAGCTTAGTTGCAGATTACCAATGTTATTCCATTTAAAACTGTCTAGAATGTCCTAGTTCTTTATCATTTCATCCACCCTGAATACAGCCTCAGATACTTCTTCAAAATAGTTACCCCACAGCACAGCCAATAATGGGCATGCATAACTCTTTCTCTGCCAAATATACTTTAAGTAATTGTGACCAAAAAGTCCCAATTTGGATTCCATAACATGTTACTTCACACATTTCCTCCAGTGATGCCGATCCTTGCTGACCCAATGTAAATATATAACTTAGTTTCTTTCCTCTGTGTTCTTCTCCTAACGGATATCTTTGCACACTTCGTTCTTCAAAATCTGACTAACCTCTATTCTTTAGTGAAAGGATGAAATGAACAACTCAAGAAATTCATTTTTTAATTGGATTCACTTTAATTGATTGCACTAACTCTAAACAGTATGAAGCTCTTCAAAAACAAATACCGTAAGTTTAAGGATATGCACACTTGTGTAAATTACTGGGCCTTTTCTGTATTTCATGCTTTCCCCCTTAAAATGGTAGTTTATTTATTATTTGAATTGTGCAGGAAAAATGTTGTTAGAGTCTGAAAAGATTATGAGAGGATTTATGATGATTGGGCCATATTTACATCACAGAAAACAGATATTGTTGAAAGTAAAAGGGATGTCAGTTTATGTGAACATTTTCATTAATGTGAACTAAAGTCAGTAAAACTACTGACTAACTTCGTTTTTATGCAACATAATTTTGTCATCTTTGTATTTGTTTATTTGAAGTGGAAGAGTGAACTCTGATCTAGTTGCTGCATAGTTTAAATTGCAGGTCTGTGATTAACCATGAGCCTCCATATCTCTAATCCACCAGAGAGAGTCCCACAGCATAAAACACAAGTTTGGCTTAAAGAAATGACCCAGCTGTTTTTGTGTGTTGTAAAGGTAGAACTAGAAGCTTCCTTAACTGGTCCTCTGGCAACAAATAACTTGTAACAATAAATGAATAAACAAATTAATTAATGAATTAAACAGATAATTTTTTTTTCAAACATATTGATTTTTACTTTTTCAGCAAAAAAAAAACAGTAAAGAGAATAACAAAAATTAACATAAAGTGAGGCACATGCCAATAAAACAAAAACTTGTTCTTTTGTCCACCTAAACCGTGTTTTAGTTTGTTCCTTAAATCAGAGCTTTGACCACAAACCCACCCACAGGTAAAGTGGAGGATGTTCTTTTACCAGGTGGATCATCTAAGTAAGTGGTCCCCCTAACTGTCAATCATTCTGGTGATATGTTTATGTAAGATGTCCTACCAATGGCGTAACGACACAACAATAGGCCCGTAAGCAGCATTATCTGGGTGGGCCACATATGAAGTACAGTCAGTCTACCTGGTATCAGGAGGGTTTAAGAGGACATATTTGCATCATTACATCTGCAAAGAGACATCCTAGTCCTTAATTGCGAAGGGGGGCTACTAGATGTTATTGACAGGGCCCCTAAGCAACTGCAGTCTCTGCTTACCGATACTTATGCCATTGTGTCCTACGTCCTTGTCCCCAATTTCACTTTTCGGTGGTGAGTATGACAAATTGCAAATCTTCATTCGGAAAGTAAGTGTGTATGAGCGATGCAAACAGCTACTTTTTTCACAAGCCCATTTCTCCTCGGGCACACTCTCGTATGTGTTTAATCTGCATTCCCTCTGTGGAATGGGTACAGGGTTGTGCATGTGCATTGTTTTTTTCTAAAGTGCAGAGTGTGGGTCTTTTAAAAAATTCACAAAAATCCTGCACTAAACGTTTAACTCTCTTCTTGTTCCAACTTCTGAACACATTGGAACACATGGATTTGCTCATTTGTATGCTGAATGACCAAGCAAGCCACTGTGAGCATTGCAGGTTAACAATCAGAGAAACAAAAATATGTCTTATCATGTAAGTGTCATCTCTGGGATCGGACCCTCTCAAGTTAAATAGACGAGTTTTTAGGAACGACAGGGGGCCTTAATATGCACCAAGTGCTGTAGATCCCATGACCTGAGAAATCCCATGATGCATTGTTTGTTTGTTTTTTCTTTTTACACTGGAAATGAAGGTGAGAGGTGGTGTGCCAGCAATAAGCTTCCTGCGTAAACTTTCCCCAGGCTTCATCTGATAAAAAAATGTATTCAAAGAAAAGAAAAGTAAAATGCAGAAGTTATATTTTATGTTATTTCACAAAATTGTGTTATGTAGGGGAAATTAGGGGACATTTTTTGTAGGTATTGTTATAATTTGTACGTGTTTTGCACAGGAACCTAATGGTAGGCTGGTTCTGATTCACAGAGGCAGTAATCATTTAATGTGAATCACAATTCAATACATATACAACAAAGGTTTAAAAGTTTATGAAAATCTTTTTCCATTTTAAGGGAGTCTCCTATACATTTGGCCCACCCCAGGCTATAGCTTCAATTATTAACTAGTGGAAAGATTTTACCTCTGGAAAACAGTTTTTACATGTTTTGACACCAGCTCTAAAATAATCTCTCTTAAAAAACAATGCATTTACATAATTTTCTTATTCCACAAATAGAAACCAAGCATACATTTCCATTTCAGAGCAAAGTCCCTTATTTTCACTCTCGGATGAAAGGTTTTAAAACTTTACTAGCTTCTGCTCATTCCTCTTCAGTTATGTTTCTGCAGTAAGATTTAATGGCTGTTGCTGAAATATCTTCTGAACCTGTTAGAATCCTGCTTGGCTAATTTAAAACTTCCTGAACACTGTGCTTGCTGCTTACAGATGTCTCTGGGACGAACTCCATGAGTAACAGAATCAAAAGAAGTCTGCGATTTGATTCTGTTTGCAGAAACTCTTTCCAAACTTTAATTTCTTTCAAGCGAGATTAACGTGCAAACAGAGACTCTGGATTTAAGAAAGCATTTCTTTACATCTTAGACACGAATTGTAGGACTTAAACAGCAGTAAAGGAATTTTGAACAAGAAGAACTCAATTTGAGCTCAGAAAGCCACTGCTTGGGAGGGAGATGTTTATTTATTAGCAGGCGAGATTTCAGTTTTTTGTCTATGAATCAAAGGATTTATGTTCTTAAACAGAAAATACATGATGTAATGTTTAAAAAAAAATAAAACAAATTTGTAAAACTTAGTATGGTATCTTAAGTTTTAAAATCAGTAATGCAGTCCAGCTCTTCCTGTCTGCCCATTAGCTGCTGTTCAATGCCCAGTAGGAAATGTCTGAGGCTACCCTGTGGATGATCCCGAACATGCTTTCCACGAACCGTTGTGGAGGAGCGTGGGGGTGAAAATGGATGCAATCAGTTCCCACACCCGAGGAACAGCTCCCATGTTCCAGCATGTCTGGCTGCAGCAAGTCTCCCGCAAACTCCGGAGAAGGTTGGTGGCGGGGATTCATCAGAGATTACTTAGGTCACTGATATAAAAACAGTGTTGAAGATGACCCGGATTAATCATCCAAGAGCCCTTATCGTGTCATGAATTAATTCTTTTTTTCATTTCATGTCATAAAAATGAATACTCTTATATTTCCGGAATGCTTTGCGTGATCAGAGTCTCGTTTCTTCAGAGATGAAACACTAATACGATGTCGGGGATTGAGCCTGTATCTCCTCCAAAGATTTCAGGTTGTTGTTTTTTTTCTTTAGCTGCAGGTTCTAACTCTATGGCATGGGTGAAGAAATTCAAAAAAACTGGAGGAGGTCTAAAAAAGTCCTACCAACCTGGGAGCATGGTGTCCCTTGCACTAACTAAAGGTCTGCTAAATGAGCCCGGCCAGAACAGCTGCTTTCTCAACAGCGCTGTTCAGGTGAGAGTCAGGATTCATTACTTATTTTTTTTATGCCTGCATGGAAAAAGTTTCGTTTTCGTTCCTTTTTTAATCACAGTTGTAGAATTGAGTCTGACTTTTTGTGGTCCTCAAACAGCAGCAGTAAAAAGATAATTTGCATAAAAAGTTCGCTAACAAGGTGGTGTTTTTTTTTGTTTTTTTTTTGTTGGCTTTTGCTGAACTTGCAGGCTTTGTACATTAAACAAAAGCTGAGACCCACCAATCGATTGAGCAGTGTCTAGAATCAGCTGAGCTTCAGCTTGATCAGCTGGGTTTGCCAAGCACTCAGCCAGAGAAAAATATAGCCGACTCTGTCAACTGAACTTATAGCGGTTCAGGTATCTCCAAAGTTAGAGTCTGTAACGTGGGAAAGAGTTTGGGTTTAAATATAATAAAAAGTAAAGCAGCTAGTTTGAAGAACGACTCCAATGAAAATTTAAAGCTTGGAGCTTTTGATTTTCAGGGATTGAAGTAAGTTTTGTACAGTGACACTGGAAAACTAGAAGCAGTTTTCTGGAAGATAGATTCTTTGAAAGATTTTTTAAAAATGAGTAAATATTCAAATAATTAATACACCTACAATAAATTCAAGTTTTTTAGCAGCATCACAATCTAAACCAGATAATTTAAGAAAATTAATTTGAGCACGTCTTTCATGTGGAAAAAAATACAGCTTGTTTTGGCATCATATTACTCTATCAGCCAGCATGGTTGTGTTGGTCAGTCTGGAATGAGCTGAAAGCCAAAGCCGATCCAATAAGTGCTCAGAGGAGTTGCACATTCTGAAGGCAATCACCCAGATTGCCTTAATCAGTGGAATTTTACAACAAGATGCAATATTCTTGTGAAGATTCTCTGAGGACAACCTTGGAGTAATGTCTGAGTAGGAGGAAATGCTTAGAAAATTTGCAGATTACAGGAACTATCTATGTTTTCTAAGACATAACAAGGCTTTTGTTGGGTATTTATATAAAGCCTAGAGCTCCACGCTACTCCAGACATATTGATTTGAGAAAGCTGTCCGGATGGGAAGCGAAATGTCTTCAACTTGGGGAGGGGAAAAAAAAGTCGAGGGGTTTTGTTTTTACATTTTTTTTGGAAAACAATATGCATTATAGTCGGACGAGTTTGATTTGTCATTAATCATAGCGGTGTTTGAGAGTTTTTTAATTTTCCGTCACCAATCTTCTGTTGAACAGGTACTTTGGCAGCTGGACATTTTCAGGAGGAGTCTGAGGCAGCTCTCTGGTCACTTCTGTCTTGGCGATGCCTGTATTTTCTGTGCATTAAAGGTAATTTGTTTTTTCAATTAAATGAAGATACCAAAACATGTTACATATATATTTTATACTATGATCATTAATTTAATCAGACATAAATGGCTGCCTTTTTCTCTTTCAGAGTATATTTAACCAGTTCCAGCAGAGCAGAGAGCGGGTCCTGCACTCTGACAGCCTGAGAAACGCTCTCGCTGAAACCTTCAAAAATGAGCAGCGTTTCCAACTCGGCCTGATGGACGACGCCGCTGAGTGCTTTGTCAGTGTCTATTTGGCTTTTGTTCAGTACCATATTTCAAGGCCCTTTCTCCTTATCTCTCTAATATGAGATACTAAAATTCACTTTGTCATTTTGCTTTACGTTTCAATGGTTTTCTAGAGAAGAAAAGCCTTTAAATTTGCTTACCTTATGTGTTGTATTTATGCTTATTTTGTACAAACAGGAGAACATTCTGGAGCGAATTCATTTGCACATAGTCTCTGACACAGCAACTGATTCTTGCTCATCCAAATCCTGCATCACTCATCAGAAGTTTGCTATGATGCTTTATGAGCAGGTAACCAAAGTCATCTGTACATCCTGTGCTCCTAAACTCTAGAAGTAATTTTAAGTTAGAAGTAAAAGTACTGTGTAGAACAACAATGTAGATATTATAACTAAGTAAAAACAGTTGTTTTTGTTTTGCAGTTTGTGTGCCGTTGTTGTGGTGCTTCTTCAGACCCACACCCCTTCACAGAGTTTGTTCATTATGTGTCGACTACGGCTTTATGGTGAGTGTTTGGACGTCATGTTTACTGTTATTCAGAACTGATTGAAAGCTCAGTTGCTGATAAATAGATCAAGTTATCATTTTTAATGAGCATAACTATTACGTTAATGCCTAGCATTTGCATCCTGGCCTTCACTATCTTAATAACATCCAATGATTTCTTACGTGTTCAGTCACTTGAAGTGTTTTTAATGAAACAGGTCTAAATAAACCTGAACTAATTGACTGAGTTTTATGTCTTCATAGTCATCAACTTTCAAAGGTGATCTTCCTTGATACTTTGTGTTAGTTTTGTATTATGTTTAAAAAACCTCAGTTAAAGAAAAATCCTTCTCCCTGGTGTATTTTAAAGACAAAATAAGTTCAGTCACCTTTGGCTGTACTTAACTTACAGTGGTTAAAGCATAAAGTTGGACCTGAAAGGTTGAAACTTAGACATGACTTGATTGACATGCAGGGAGGTGTTGACAGCAGACTTCTTCCTAGTAACAACACCAAAAACTAGTTGCAACTTCAGTATTTGGGGTATGAGCCTTCAGTTTGCAGTACTAAATTTAAACCAAAGAGAAAAGATTAATAGTTAAGTTTAAAGTAAAAAGAAAGTCTTTTAAAAGGTCTCAGCTGTGATAAATGTGCTCCTGGACCCTATAAATGCAAGTAAACTAAAATAACAGCAGTCACTTAAAGGAATAGTACACCCAAAACATAATTAGCCTTCATTTTCTACTCACCCCCATGCTGAACAACACTCTGGAGTACTTTTTTGATATCTCAAATGCATCTGGAGATCTGAGAGGCTTCTTGCTGTCTGCTGAAATTCAAATAATGGAGGTCTATGGCGCCCGAGACAGAAAGGTCCAAAAAAGTCCACAAAAACGTGTCAATATTCCTCCATACTGCTCGTCCAATGTAATCCAAGTGTCCTGAGTGGGTAGCATCCAGAATTTACTCGAAACGAAGTCATTTAGAACGTTTTAGAGCCTAAACAGTAGTGTATAGGATTTCCTAATAGCGCCCCCATGCGCGCTCACGATTCTACGGAAGCCGGCAGACCAAACCGGAAGAAAGAGCGCATTCAGCGTCTGCTCTGCCGATAATGCAAGCGTAGAAGAAGAAATGTGCTGTTTACCTGTGCAAAGAAAGAAACAACGAAAGAAAAATGCCTGAGGACTTCAGTGTTGAGGAAAAGCAGGAGTTCTTTGCCGAGCCTTTTCTCTATGAACCAGAATACACAGATGACGAACTTAGAGACATGGATGAGGCAGCCGCAGCTCAAGCTGAGCCGCAAACACCGTTGTGCTACAGACGTAGAGCGTCAGAAACGTGGTGTAAATGTGGAAATTGTCAAGCAATGCCAACAGAAGAGGAGAGCATTTGCTGTGTGGACTGGGACTTGTTGATGCCACCACTGGAGGATCTAAATATCTCCACTGATGAGACCGAGAGCACTAGCCAAAGACTTTGTGTCACCCAAAACACGGATTATCCACCATTACTGACCCGTGGCGTTCTGGAGATGTTTTTCCATGTGCCCAAAATCAATTGGAAAAAGAGGCCAAGACCCGCAGGACCAAACAACACGCTCTCTGCAGAGTAAGTTTTGTGCAACAGGCCTATGCCTTGCTAATAATATTATTATATATATCATATATATATATGATATATATATGATATATATATATATATGATATATATATATATCATATATATATATATATGATATATATATAGATATATATATCATATATATATATATGATATATATATATATCATATATATATATATCATATATATATATATGATATATATATATATATGATATATATATATATCATATATATATATATAGATATATATATATATATATATATATATCATATATATATAGATACATAATGTTAATGGTACTCACTGTGCAGTTTTTTGTATGTGATGCTAGTACTAAAGTCTGTTTACTCAGCATCTTACCCAGCTTGTGTCCTGGATGAGATGCTTTCTTTTTCACTTGTATTGCTAAAATAATGGCTCCATTTTACCCCCCCCCTCCCCCCTCCCCCAGTCAGTACAGGTTGGTGGCCTACCGTGTGGTACTCGAGTGGATTCTGAAAGGCGAGAGACTTGGCAAGGACAGCAGAAGAGTTTTACCAGCCTGTATTGTTACAAGCATCCATCCCAGCTACCCTTCACCAGATGGAGTGTATACTGGTTTCAAGGAGGCAGAGGCAGCTTTTGAACAGTTGTAAAGACTATAAACAAATCCTAAGAGACTCTTCCATATTAATTTGTACTACTTCATTATATTTCATATTTTTTCCCAAATCACAAACCTATACTGCCTCATTATAGATAACATTTCAGAATTTATGTAGCCGATAACTGTAACCTTTCCTGTACTATTGTGTTGTTTTGGAAATAAACAAAATGACTTTGGATGGTAAGAAAGATGTAACTCTGTTCCTTTGATTAAATATTTATTCTAGACCTAAGTGTGAAATGCAGACAAACCAACCACAGACACATGCCATTTTATTTAAAAATGTCATGTCATAACTATATTAAGTAAACCCCTTATCAGACTCTGTATCCCAGAATTTTGAAAAAAAAAAAGGTTAAAATTACATGCCACCAGCTAGACTTTTTATTTGCATAAGTACAAATATAAAAAGGCAAGAGTAAAAATACTGCACCACTCAGACTAACTGCTGTATCGGGAAGTATGTTTTTGTATGGCTTCCTCTTTGGCAGGTTTTGGTTTCTGAGCAATGTTTTCTGGTATGGGAGGGATAGAAACATATGACTGGGGGTCTTTGATCTTGATGTTGGGCTCCAGGCGTCTCCGCACAACTTGCACCACCAGATTTTGCCGGAATGTTTGTGTTGTTGGAACATAGATCTTTTTGGCGACCCATTCTTTTGTTTGTTTTGGGCAAACCACATTGAACCGTGCTTGTCCTAAAAAACAAAGAAGAAAATGTAAGACAGAGGAAACATTAATGAAATAACATAGCTATTATAAAGCATTCAAAAAGTTTCGGTTTTAGGTTTCAAAAAAGGAACCAAGAAATTGTATCCAAATAATTAGGAATCTGGTACTTGTAATTTTGTGGTGGTGAGAATTAGGACCATAAAGTACCATATTTGTTATGCAGATCTTAGTGCAGCAGCTCACTAAACAGGTGCGGTTCCCATTGAAGGTTAAATGTAATGTTTGCTGTTTTTTCAATACAGCTCATTTTGAGGACATAAATGAGTATATGACACTGAGCACAGCGCACAAGGTTAGGTTTTTTTGTTTTGAAGATACTTTCTTGTTACCTGTGTTGGTGTAGGCCTGTTCACGCTGAACATTTTCATTGTGGTCCATAACGGCAAGCTGGGTGCGAGCTTTCATTGTTGAGTAGTGGAAGTGCAGTCTCTTCTCTGTGTATTTCAGCATAGATGCATGGAATACTTCAAGCTTCCCTGAGAAAACATAATATCAATCAATCAATCAATCTTTATTTCAGACACAAAAGAGGTCCATAGTAAAAACAAAAGAAAACAAAAGAAAAAGAAAACAAAAAGAAGCATGACATGATGCATGATCAGTTATTATCATAACTTTATGTTGCCTAAATGTGAAGAATGTGATGTTACTCACATCAGGGTCACCTCCACAAGTGGAACAGGCGTACCACAAGTGATTGCAGATGGATTTTATCCATGGTTGCAGGTTGTCCTTTTTGTTGGATGCTGACAGCAATTTTTTCATTAGCCCTACCAAAAACAGAACAATCGTCAATGAGTCTCAAGCAAGCATAAAATATGGCAACTGGAGTAAACGTGTGAGTAGAAGATGTTTTGTCTCTCATCCAAGAAACTTATTCCTTTATAAAATAGTCTGGTTGGGGAGTACAAGAAATGTATCCACCAGGTGTATGGTGGCAACGTCACTGAGGTGGCACTAAACGTTAGACAGGACATGTTGTTCATACAGGTGGATCAAAGAGTTTGGGAAGGATCAAGGGAACCAGGTGTTAGAGACAATATTGCTTTGTTGTTTCGAAAAAAAGAAAGGAGTGTTAGCTTTTTAAAATATTTAATTTACCTTCTGGGATAAATAAAGTATTTTTCATTTAATTTAATTTTAACGACAATGGGGAGCTCAGGGCTCAGAGAGTGTAGGTGATTGGAGATGTACAGTCCCAACAGACTGCACTTCTGCACATGGGTGACGTCAACATAGTCTTGGTGGGTATGAAGTACAAGGTGGGAGCAGGTAATAGAGGAGTGTGGGATCACAATGGGGCTGTGTATAACCTAGGCAGGTGCCAGCGCTTTGGCAAGGGAGGGGTAAATTATGTAAAAGTTTATGTGGCTGTACAAGGGCTATCCAAAGTATATTGTAAAAACATTTTCCTCATTATAGTAATTCCTTTACCATTGTACATTTACAAATTACAATTTGTCAGCTTACCCTTGACAACATGCCAGATGTCAAACTCATGGTGGATTTCCGGATACTCTTCGCGCATAATTTTTCGTATAGATGGTGATCGGTCAGTGGTTACCACCTCCACTTCAAGACCTTGCTCAAGGAGATAATCAAGTCCTCTCCTGAACCCCACTGGCTCCATGGCAGCAGAGCTGGATGCCTCTGTCACCTGTACCACAAAACAAAAATTTAATGTTTAAAATCATTTTCATACATCTTTGATGGGACAGTGCTTGTCATAATCCGATAGCAACATTAATTTTGTAATATGTTCCACATATTACACATACATTTATTTACTTCTTTAATTTCATTCCGCACATGATGAAAATGAGAAACATTACCCCAAAAAAAAGGAAGAAAAACAATATAATAAATGCACCAAAATTGATAATAAATACAATAGATAATAATAATATAAAAAAAAAGATACAATAAAAAAAGAAAACTGAAAATAGATAAATATAGAAATTTAAAAAATAATGTAGGCTACATTTATCAAATTGAAGAACGAAAACGAGTGGGATTAAGTACAAAACCAAATTCAATCCCACCCTCTAAAAAAAAAAACATATACATAGATCACAGTCTTCCGCTTCACAATTATTATTTGCCAATTAGAATGACCAAAATCCAAATAAAACTACAAAATATATGCATATGTATCTTTGTGCAGTCAATTTGTAAACACACAATTGACAAGTGTTCTCATATTATGTTGTAATATGAAATATGAAATAATAATTTCCCTTACCTGCACTAACTGAAAAAGGATTATTTCATTTGTTGTGTCCTCCATGAAGCTGTAGGTGTTGTATTTTGCGGAGAAGCCTGGGCTGTAAAGACAAAAAGATAAATATTATTTATTTATTTATGTATTTTAAATCATGGATCACATTAGTATTTCTCTGGGTGCTAAAAGTTGAGTTATTATCATCCAGATTTTTATTTTTTATTAACTCCTAAACACTAACAACTTGCAGGCCATCAATGATCACATTGATTGATCACAAAATTAATATAATGTCACACTGAGCTGTGGAGCGGGTGTTTGTCAATAGGTGGGTTGTACATACATACAGTGTAAAAAAAATCCGTATGATAACAAAGCAACTAAAATAACATGACTTGTAAAAAATTCCATGATTGTCCAAATTGATGTGGAAGTTAACATTTTTACTCAAGTAATATTAGCGTGTTTTAACATTTTAACGTTTTTTAAAAAAGTACCGGTAAAAATACAGATCATATACAAACGTGTAAGTTACATAAATGGTTTATAAAGTACATACCTCTGTCCTTAGTTGTGACACCATCGACACAGCTGTACTCTTTAATAAAGCTCTTCCTTTACAGGTTCGGAAATCATCCGCTGAAAAGTGTTCACTACAGACACGGAGAGAATCCACGTTAGCTGTCCTTAGATCTTTTCGTAGAGCTATTAGCCACAGTTTTAGCCTTTCAGGGTCCCGAAGAGGTAATTTGTGGAAAGTTACGGAATGGGTTATTCCACACTGCCGCTTCATCTGATTGAAGCATCCAGGATAGGAACGCACTCGAACCATCTTCTTAATTTCACGACTAAAATCACTAATCAACAACTTTTTCAAACTCTGAGAGAGACTGACCTCGTGCTCACCTGGCTCAGGGCAGAAAATAAACAGGTGAAAAGCGGAACTTCTTCTTCTACGCTTGCATTATCGTCAGAGCAGACGCTGAATGCGCACTTTCTTCCGGTTTGGTCTGCCGCGGTTTCCGTAGAATCGTGAGCGCGCATGGGGGCGCTATTAGGAAATCCTATACACTACTGTTTAGGCTCTAAAACGTTCTAAATGACTTAGTTTCGAGTAAATTCTGGACGCTACCCACTCAGGGCACTTGGATTACATTGGACGAGCATTATGGAGGAATATTGACACGTTTTTGTGGACTTTTATGGACCTCTCTGTCTCGGGCGCCATAGACCTCCATTATTTGAATGTCAGCAGACAGCAAGAAGCCTCCCAGATCTCCAGATGCATTTGAGATATCAAAAAAGTACTCCAGAGTGTTGTTCAGCATGGGGGTGAGTAGAAAATGAAGGCTAATCATGTTTTGGGTGTACTATTCCTTTAAATCTCACCTTGAAGGATGGCAAATCCTTGTTATGAAAGCTTGGTGTGAAAATAGCATAGGAAAACTGAAGACAAAGGTGTAACACTTTCTAATTTATTTTATTTAAAACATGTCTTTGGTTACAATCTCCTTCACCATCTGTATTTTTGGAAGCAGAAGATATCCATCTTTTCTATCAGTTTGCAAAACCTATTTATGAATTGCAACAAACCTAAAAAAAGACAGACATTAACAGAGCTAAATGCAGTAGTACAGTTTTAATAAATGTTTTAGTAAATTACTTTTCAGCCTGTATACCACATTTTCCAGACTATAAAGCGCACCTCACTATAAGCCGCAACAACTAAGAAAAAAAAACGAAAAAACTGCAAACTTACACATATGAAACGCACCAGCCTATAAACCATTGATATCCAACGAACTGTCTGCCACCAAACCTGAAGGGGGACCTTGATATATATAGCCCCTGGAGTAGGGACAAATAAAAATGCTAGCTCCTGTTAGCTTGTTGGCTCGTGGCAGTAAGGGCTTGTCATGAAAGATGGGGCTTGTACCTACCCAATCCGTCCCAGTTGCACGATCCGTTCTGCGCATCCGCTATCGGCTCATATGCACATGAGCATCCAGATATACATCTGGGTCACCCTCAATTTTATTTTGTTAAAAAGAACTTAATGACATTTCCCCCTCCCCAAAAAATAGTAAATGTGCTAAAATATGTGTTAAAGGTTAATAATGTATTTCCTGAGAAAAGAAATGCCTTAAAATCCTTTGTTTTAACACTCGGCTATGCCCGATCTGCATCGGAAATTAAATCATACGCTACTTCCGGTGGCTAACGTTTTTGGCTTTGGATTTATACATAAATCTATTTTATTTTATTTTATTATCTTTTCTTTTCGTGTTAACATTATGGTATATAGTGCATAATCCAAAGAAAGAAACAACTTAAAAGCGTATGAACATGGTTTAATAATATTTTGCCGGACTGCTCTGAGCATCTCCCATGATGACATCAGAGAAGCAGTTTAACGAAGGAAAAGCATCAGAAATGTCTCACAAAAGTCAAGAAACAGTTTTTGAAGATGTGTATTACTTAGTATTACTTAGTATTCTTTAGTGAATTAAGGATAGAAATAAGTAATTTTAGTACCATAATTACATTATTTATGTACACCTGGATGTATATCTGTTCACGCATGCGCAGGACGGATCGTGCTTCCGGGACGGATCGGGTCGCGACAGGGCTTCATCAGTTCTTTATTTCAGCTCTGCCGGAGTTGCACACATTGTTCAACAGCTTTAATGCAGCAAATAAATATAAAAATGTGTGAATTGGGGACATTTGTTCTCCATTGTGCCTCCTGCTGACATGTGCTTGTACTAAATGAAAATTAGCCCCTTCTTTGGTTTCTAGCTTCTACCCCTGGCAGTTTGGAAAAATCCACAGACAAGCCGCATTTTGAAATAAGCTACATGATTCAAAGCATGGGGGAAAGTAGCGGTTTATATTTAGTAAAGTATGGTAATCTATGGGTCTACTTTCTGTCTCCCTAATCAGCCAACAAGTTGATCGGACACTGGGGAAGAACGAGCGGCTCAGGTCGGACATGTTTGGTGAACTGCTGCAGGCGGCAAACAGCACTGGTGACTTCCGAAGCTGCCCTGTATGTTTATGCTTTTATTGACTTTTTGAAAAGATAAATAAATATAGTCATAGTAAATTAATTAGAATGTGTGTTGTGATGAAGAATTTTTGAACGACTAATAATTACATTTTTAAAAGTAGTAGGAGTATTACATGTCCTTTTTGTTAAACCCACATTTATGGATTCACTAAATGATGGAAAACATTACATTGATTAATTAGACGCAAACTGATCATTTCAAGACTTTATGGTAATTGTTTTTTTTGTTGTCTTTTTTTTGCTTATGATTAATAGTTGCATCAGACCAATACAAAGATTTGAATGCACAAATGTTACGGAAAACTAAGTTTATTAGCTGCTTAAAGATTATTTTCAAACGTTAGTTTTTATCTAAGTGTCTCATAACACAGATTTTAGTTCATAAACTGTGAGGTTATATTCTAATTGGGGTGTCTTCAGTATGTTTTCCTGTTGAACTTTTGTCTCAGACATCCATCTGAATTAGCTTGTTATTGAGAATGTTTTATATTAAAGGTGGCTTTGAATGAACCCTTTGGATGATTGGGTTGTTGTTGACATAAGAAGGAGGCAGAATTTATTTCTGTGTGGTTCACAGTGGAGCCTGTGATTTTCCCTTTTTTGCAACTCAAGGGCTGGGATGCAAAACAAGAGTGAGGATAGGGATAGTCGTAAAGGTTTTATCCTCGTTTTTTTCTCTTTTAAATTTGCTCCCTTTGCCTTCCCTTTCAGTTTCCATTAGTTTAGTGGAGCTTACTGCTCTGTTCCCTGGAACCCATGAATCTTCTCCAATCTCCTTCAGCTGCAGTCTGCTCTTGATGAAATAGGTTTGCCTTCTTCTTTTCTGCCTTTACTATCCTCTTGGTAGTTTTTTGATTTCATTTGAGACCAACATTATCTTCTAAGGTATTAAATAATACACCGCTACTTTAATTTGAGTAAAATCTTAATTGAAAAGCCTAAACTGTATCTTCCATCATCACATTTATTGGACCAAGTGAAAGTGAAATATGTAGTGTTTTTTCTTTTTTTCTGCAGAAAAACCCCCCAGTTTGGATAAAAAATGAAAAATGTTTGGATATTTTCTTTGTATCATGATCGTTTTTATTGTTGTCCATTTAATGTTTGCATAGTTTACCGGTAAAAGTTTGCAGCATTCCAGTAATAGTGAATTTGGTGGATAAAGATGATTTCAAAATCTTTAAGTAACATTCCTCCTCTAAAAATAATTGAGCTTTGTTTATGTCTGGGAAACCCAGATCTCACACTCGTTCATGATGCTCTCCAGCTTTTTCTGGAATTCCCATGTTGTTCACAGATGAGAAATATAGCTTGTTTACAACAACTGAGATTAGGGGCTGTTCACACTGTAGTTACTGTATGTATTAACTATATATACGGTATATAGGGCTAGTAAATATATTTAAAGACCAAGAATGAGCTAAAAGTTCTTTTTGTTACCAGCTTTTTAACTTTTTAGCATGTTGATGAACTTTTTAGCTCATTTTTGTTTGCAGCAACTTTCTTCCACACCTATGCTGCAGAATGATAGTGGCCAATATAGTCCTAATTGATATCAAGGTGTGAAAACTTGCGCCATCGTACCATACCAGAACTGCCCTTCTTTTGTACGTTTCCCAGCCCTTCCTCATAGCAGGAGGATGGGTGATGGTAGGGACATTGTTAGGTCTCAGTTACAGATGGTGAAAGTTTCACACAGTTATACGTCACAAAAACATGACCTATTCCATTCAATGACCGAGCAGTAAATTGACAGCTTCCCTTTTACCTCGTCTCCTTCATTATAACCACGCCATTACCTTTATTATTAAAGAAATCTGTCTTAAAAACCATTATCAACCATATATCTATCACTGGAGCAATAAAGTAGGTTGAACTCCTTGGATAACAAGCTAACAACCAAACATCTACTTCTCAATAGGTTATTGTCATGCTACCAAAACAGCTCTGGCCTCCAAGGTCATAGATCAGGAACGTCTGACAGGATTAAAGGATGTCTGGGCAGCAATTAGAGATCGTTAAGCCTTGTTTACTACAGCTTAATCCTCAGTAAACCTTTTCTCAGAGGTCTCAGGTAACACTCAGACGGATGCAAGGAGGTCATTTTTCCCAGCAGTTGACTTTTTACGCTCCATGTCTAGAAAAAGGGCTACAGATGTAGTATTTATTCTGCAGATGTTGATAGAGACGTTTAGGTGGAGCACGTCTGTGTTTCTGTGGATCTAGAGAGGGAAAAATGACAGGATGCAGGGTGAGGAAATATGGCATTGTATTTAGGAAGTCTGCATCTAGGTTCAGTCATTAACAGTTTGCAATTTCACTAGAAACTGTTTGTATGTCTTGTTCTCAATTTATTTTATTATTTTGGCAAAATAATCATGTTTCCATGTGGAGTTCTGGTTGTTGGGCCTATAGGCTGTAACAGTCGGGCTCATCGGATGATTTTAAGTCTATTTGGATATTTTACAAACAGACCCGGAAACCAAAGCAAGATACCATCTTTGATGCCATTCTGACTGAAAATCCCCAAATCAACAGCATTCAGGGGATCTTGTCGCAGCTAATCTTTGTAAATGTTGGACTGGACTCTGCTTCTTCGCACATGTACATAACTGAACCTTTTACTGCCATTTTGTGCCATTATTTTTCTCTGTAATCATTGATGATTTATTTATTTATTTTTTTTTAAACAGTTTCTTCTTGCAATGCATTTATTTCCTACCGTTGCAGCATTAAACATTGTCCTTAGGTATTATTTCATTGTAATTTCTTTACATTGCCATGAGCTGAATGCACCAAAGTTTCTAATATATCTTCTTTCATTTGTGAATGCAATAACTGATCACTGTAAACTGATTTTTTTTTATTTGTTTCTATACTTTTTTTTTCTTACTTATATTTTTTGTCTGTTTTTGCAGAGTGACTGTGGTCAGAGCATTAAGATCCGTCGTGTTCTCATGAACTGCCCAGAGATCGTCACCATCGGCTTTGTGTGGGACGCGGAGCAGTCTGACCTCACGGACGATGTGATCAGGTTTCTTGGTCCGCGTTTAAACTTGTGTGGGGTGAGAGCTGCATTTAAAAAAAAAGTAAAAGAATAATGGAAGAGTAATGTGTGTTTTTTTTTTTAAGATGAGGGATCCATATCTGTGCTGTGATACGTCATACTTTTGCTTAATTACAAACGTTGTATCTTTCAGCTTTTCAACCGAGTCACGGATGAAAATGCCAAATGCAGCGAGCTACATCTGGTGGGGATGATCTGTTTCTCCAGCAAGCATTACTCAGCCTTTGCTTATCACACCAAATCTTCTAAATGGATGTTTTTTGATGATGCTACTGTAAAGGAGGTTAGGATCTTTGCTGTAAAAAACCCCACTATTTGCTCCTTTTCTATCACTTTTTTATGTAGCACATGTGCCTTGTTAATGCTTAGGCTTCTGTTTATTAGATTGGATCCAAATGGAAGGATGTCGCTTCAAAATGCATCAGGGGACATTTCCAGCCACTTCTTTTGTTTTACACCAATCCTGAGGGGAGTCCAGTTTCTAATGAAGATGCACCGAGACAAACCACCATGTGCCCTCACTACAAAGCCCAGATAAATGGAGACGTGACCAGTAAGGACACCCTTCACTTATTAGCATGAGTACTTCACTATAACCCTTCAAAGACACACAACACAAGAGCTTTTTGTGCTTCTCTTCTAGCTAGTGAACTAATTGCAGCTCTGATTTTTACCAGCAGTAGCTAAGTGGCTGTCAAATTTAGTGGAAAGGTTCTCAGGCTTCGTGCATGTACTTATGCGTTTAATTTCTGTCCATTCTAGGTCAAAACCAGCTTAAAGATGCTAAAAGTTTAGTAGGACTGATCATTATGAGCATCACATATTAGTTTTGGAGTAAATTCAACCAGCATTCTCAAAACCTATTAATTTGAAATTACATTCTGAAGGTATAACCTCAATTACCTCGGTTTATTAGTAGTATAAAGGCGAGGACACACTGAATAGCGCTCTTTGAAAGTCAGTGGTAATGACCACACCTGACACGATTTTACGCAAGGAGGCTTGATTAGGACTGAGCTAGACCCAAGGTCTATTTTAGTTGGACTATGCAGCAATTCAGCAGCAACTTCATGTGTTTGACAGGAAGAGAGACACAATTACAAAGCCGGGGAAAATACAAAATAAAATCTCTTAATTGCACAGGGAAAGAGTCGGTTCTGGAGTCGCACATTGCGTAAATAGTAAGTGGGACCGATTCATGCAAAAATAATTGTTATATTAAAAAATAGAATACTTTACCTCCAATGGGAATTCAGGAGGACAGAAAATGGATAAAGTAGTGATCCTCTTTGAGTCTCGCAAAAACAACGAGGGACAGAAACCGTAGTTTATCAATTTCCCTAGAAAAAAAGAGTAACTTAGGGAGGAGAAAAAAATGGGTAAAACAGTGATCCTCTTTGAGTGTCACAAAAACCAAAATAACGAGGAGCAGAAAGAGCAGGTAAGTTACAGTAGGCATTTTTCTCTCAATTCTATGAAACTAAAGAAAGAAAAAATTCCAAGATTTCTCTCTGAGAATCACCTCTCTCTGTGTCAGTGAGTATATAAACCGACCTATGGAGCTTATTGCTGTGTTTTCCTTTTCTTAGATCTCATGATGTTTTGAATATTCATATGAACATTCTCTATCTGATTTGGTTTGATATGCAGCACAGACTCTGCTTTGCTTTATTGAATGCAGCATTATAACTTTTTGTATTCTGTTCCATTCAAATGTGGGAAATTATTGTAATTTTTGGATAGAACAGAGACAGAAGTGAAAACAATCTGTGCAGATCTGCCCACCCTGCCACTCTACGCAGTCAGTGTGACATGGAAATAAAATCGGACCGGGGATTAAAAGGTCATACGCAACTGGTGTTTTCAGGCCTTAACAGTAAGAAGTACTTCAGCAAATAAACATCAAAATGGGTTTGCTTGATGTAAAATCATAAGCTTGATTATTAAAAGTGATGCAATGCTTTTAAAAATGGATTCAATACTGTTTTCATGTCACAATCATCTCTTTGTATTGTTTTTTAATCACATTATGGTATTAAATTATCTCTTTCTTCTGAGCACACACACAAAAAAAAAAGAAAAGGCGCAGGTGCTGAGAGAAAAATGTATAGATGTAAAATAAAAAATGAGTAGAAGACCTGACACATTTATTAAACCAGGAGGCTCCATTTTAAATTTAAGATCTCATTTTACAAGGGACTCCTGGCTATCTTACAGATTATGCATAAAAGATGAAGCAGATTATCAAACATTTAATAGTGAGACACAGGCTAAAACAAATAGAAAACTTAAGACTCTCTCACAATTATTAGTAAAACAAAACTGGATGATTCCGAAAACCTGTGGCAAACTGTTCTGTAACATGTTTGGACAAAAGTAGAACCATGTGTCTCTTTGCTTTTTACTGGCAAAAGGCTCACACTGTAAAGGTTTGTTTTATTGATGCTATAAATAGATGTATAGACCATCGTGTACAGAGTGTAAATAACATTCTTAGAGTGTGTTGGTATTTGAATAGCTCTAACCAGCTGGTAACCAGTTAAACAGAAACCAGACCCATTTGGAAGAGCATCCAGCTAAATCTTTACTTCATGCACTGGTGTAAACAGCTAGTTGTAAAGTTCAGAGTTCAGCTCGACGTGTCATAAAATGTGGTTTAAGTATACCTGCTTTACTTTCACTGCTTTCGGCTTGTTTCTTTAGTAACACATTGCTGATGTTTTTAATGACTGCTAGTTTTCATGCTATTTAATTTTCTAAGTATGCTCATACTACAAGTTTAATGTAGTCATTAAACCAGCAACACTCTCTAGCCCCATTTCATAAACGGAAAGAAAACCTAAAAGTGTGAATTTTACCCACTGGATTGCGGAGAATTTCTTTGAAAGAAGCAATGGCCGACTGTAGGATTCTGCCATTAAAAATCCCAGAGAAATGCTTCCCTAGACCTAACATGAGGATGATGTCTCTGTTGCACGCAGATTACCACCCACGCCTAGCTGCCTAATCCCCATTCCTGTGGCCAAAGCGCCAAGTGCTCTCACTCCTCCCCTTGATGTTTCAAACATTTTTCCTCCATTATTTATCAGCCTGCATATCTTTTGGGAGGCAGCGGAGGGGGATTTATAGTCCAATTTAGTTGGATTTGCTTTGCTTTTAATGTGTTGCTTTGGCAGGGAGCAGAATTCTTACTTTTATGATGGTCAAGGTGAGTACGTAAATCTGGGCTTTTCACAGGAAACAGAGGCATTGTTTGCTTTTTTGTATTTTGCTCATTGCAATTCTTTTCTTTACTTGATCAAACTCTAATCAGGTTTACATATTAAAGTTTCTTTATTTTGCTATTCAGCCCAGCTGGCTCCTGCTGGAGTTTTTGCATAACTGAGTCTCTGCAGTGAGAAAGGCGCCATGATGCATGTACATTAGTTAATTACTTGGCAGATGTTAGGCACATAAAGGTGGAATTGAGTCCAAGATCGCTTTTAAAGGGAACTTCCTAAATGTCAGCATCACATGTGGATATCCATCAGTGCTGCTTTAACAGTAACACAAATGTATTTTCCTTATTCCACCTTTTGATTTAAGCTTCAGATATAGTTTCTGTTCTCAAACTATCATCCTGTTTTGTTTTTTTTTGACACCCTGATAAAGAGGCTTTTTAAAGTTACAATACCAGCTGAGTAAAAATAGATGCAGCTGTAAATGGAGTCGGAGAAAATGATTTAATTAGGAGGAGTTGAGATGTGAAAGTGAATGACGGCAGCTGTTAGATGTAACGCGCTCGTCTGAAGGCAGATGCCCGCAGTTCATGCCGCGGCTGCTCCTCGCTGTGACCTGCTTGCCAGGCAGAGGAAACTCACCGCAGGCTTGGCAGGAGAGGCAGCGGAGGTGTGTTTTTATCTGTTAGTGATGCAGCATCTGTTCTTTTCTAAGACTTTGTTTTGTTTCCTGCTTTTATTTGGAGACAGAGAGGGGAGGGTGGGGATGGGGATCTGTGAATCTGGAAATCTATTTGAGCTACTTCTATATTTGTCCTGTCTGACAAATTCACTTACAGGAAAGGCTCCTTTTTATAGGACCCAACCTTCATAAAACAAATGGAGCCAATGAATGACTGCGTTTTTAGGTTAAACTGTAATTAATCATCCTTTGATTTACAGAGTCCAGTTTTGCCCAAACTTGGTTCATATCTGTCTATATTCTATTTTCATACATTTATTGGGGGTTACAGGTAAAAGCACTGCCTTGTGAGACTGCTCCCATATTAAGCCACATTACAACCACAGACCTTCATGTTGAACATGGTTCAACAATCTGTGTTTTTAAATCTCTTCTGAAAACGCATATATACTGTCTGGCATTAAATGCAGTATTATCTTACGCTGCATATATACATGTATATGTGTGTATGTATGTATATGTATATATATGTGTTAGTGTATATATAATATATAAATATATATATATATATATATATATATATATATATATATATATATATATATATATATATATATATATATATATATATATATATATATATATATATGTTTCATCAATAGGATCTTTAAGATTTAGACTATTTAGCACAACATGGGGCAATAACCCAATCTTCCTCAGAGAGGTTGAGGCTTTGACAAAAATTTTGTTTCATTCCGTTTTGATGCTTTAGTGCCTGAACTAATATTTCGAAGAGCATAGTTTGCACCTGTGTATGATCTAAAACTTTCTTCTTCTCTTTGCTATTTTGCAAATAATTTTCAGAGATTATTGCTGGCATGAGTTTCTCTTTGTTAAATGTTCTCAAGAATTTGATTGTGGTCGATTTGAGAAGTGATGTAGTCCAGACATTTTCAGCTCAGCTGTTCAAATTCAACAATAAAATAACAAAAAATACATTTATCACAGCTGATATTTAAAAGTCTTTTCAATATTTTCAGCATTGCAAGATTTTCTAATACTGACCATTCCTCTGTTAAATGCAGTATGTAGTTTGTAAACCTGCTATTCATCTGCTCTTTGTTATTTTCTGTCCATAGTCAAACATCCCTTTGGGAGTCCTCGCAAATTTCAGAATCCTTTTATGGAGAATTTACAAAGACCAAGTGAAATGTCAAAAAAGGACAGAGGACATCGACGATCTGAGGCTTCACAACACAAAGGTAGGTGCAGGAGGGACAACATTAAAAAAGGCAGTGAGCACAGAACAAATCTGAATGGCAGAGAAACTGTTGGTTTCTTAAGGACATTTGTCGACTTTCTTCAGAGACGACTCATACGAGATCTTCATCTCCTCCAGAGAACGGGCCCAGGCCTCCTGTGGAGAAAATAAAGAATTACCTACGCTCGGAGAAGTCATCAAATCACTCCAGCAGAGCATCTCAGGATCCCCATGGACAGTCCTGCAGCACACAGAGTGGGGGACACATCAGAAAGGCCAACATTTCTCCAGGACGTAATGAGCAGGAGGGTAGCAACAAACACTGGGAGAAAGGAGGCAGCGGGAGCCAAAACAGGTCAAAGTCAACTTGGAGACCCATCAGGGAGGTGTTGAATGTAGACACAGTACTGAATGAACTGGAGCAGCGGCGGCAGCAGCAGGACAGCAAGCCTTCTTCCCAGGAGAGAAGTCGCACAGAACCAGGCAGGGAGCGTGAGCGCGAACATGCAAAAGCTAGAGAAGACCGTAAACAGAAGTGCTTAATGACCATTTATGAGGACGAGCAGCGTCATGAGACGGAGAGCCACAGCTCAGTGGAGTCCGAGAGCAGAGCCAGCCAGCAGCGGGGAAGCAAGCTCAAAGGTGTCCCAAAAACTCTGCTGCGCAGCGACACCTGGACCATTCAGAGGACAGAGTCCGGTTACGAGAGCAGCGATCGGCTCAGCAGCGGCTCCACCAACCCTGACTCGCCTGGGGTTGATGGCTCCGGCCTCAAACCAGATCAGAGGTTAACACCTGAGGTCCTTTTACCAAGGTGAGAGAAGTCTAATTCCTAAGTGCATTTCATTTGATAGAACAACACAGAGATCATTGAAGCTGAAACTTGACCAGATCGGCCAGCTGGAAACTTTGTCCAATCATTGAAAGCACCATACTTGAACAGGTTGTGGTAAAACACCACTCGTCCTAGTGAATAATGTTGCAATCTTGTCGGGAAATACACCCACATACATCTGTTTAATTAATCCTAACTATGATAATCATTTATATTAAACAAAGATAAAATCTCCCTTTTGTTATCTCCCTAATTTGAATTATTATTGACCACCCATCAAGAAAATAAGAGTGGAGAAAATGAGAAAATGCTGTTGTGTCATTTTACGTTTCAGTCAGCTGCATCAAAGGGAAGGCGTTGCAAAGTCAAGTATAACATCATCTCTTTCCCACAACAGTAAGTCCAAATGTTTTCTGTACTTAAAGTTAAAGTTTCTAGCTGATCATTGTTATTGCAATCATTATCCTGATAAATCGGCTGTGGATCTACTCCTTTCATTTCTTTAACTACGGGGGAGCACACCTCACTGTATTGTAGATTGATGTTGACTAAAACTTATTTAACTTTTCACTGATTGAAAGGAAGCCGATCCTTTTTGATTCATATTTTTTATATTTATGTAATTTCATGTATGTCATATTTCTATTTGTATTTAAACAACAAAAAACTAAACAAAGACAAAGCAAAGACGGCTCATACTGAAATCTGATTAACTGTTGTATGGAAACCTGTTAGGGTCAAACCTCATAGGTTCAGAGCAACACGTAAACTTTCAACGGTTAAGGTAAACCAGAAACAATGCTTGCTGGGCTAAAGCTGAATAGGTAATAAGGAAATTGGCTGCATAAATGACACATACACAACTGGGAATAATCTATATTAATAATTTGGATTTCTTATTCTAATACTAGTTTATAATCATTTCAGATACATCAATAGAACAGTTTAAATAAATAAAAATCAGGGAAGTTTTTATCTATTCACTGAACCCTGAGAGACATAACTTGCAGCTGGTACTGAAGTGCTGCTGTCTAGTCTGCTTTAGGAAACATCAGTTTGAGCTAAAAATAATTTGTTGAAAGAGGAAGCCAAATAATATGAGCCACCAACTTCAGATGTAAAACAGGACCCATGATTTAAAACAGAGCACAGCAGCAAACGCTTGACAGTAAAGGTGGATTCTTTTTCTCTCCTGTAACTTGTCTGCAGAACCTTTTGGAGAGGCAAAAAAATATATATATTTTTTACCTACCTCTGTCTGGTAAGGACAAGTAGGACTTCTGGGATGCTTGGATGGCAACTTCCGTACTGTTATTTTTAACCCCTAGAAATTATGTGTAACGTCATCTGATGCTGTCAGAGTATAAAAGATTGCAAAACCTCTGGGTTGATTGCTGCTCCTAAACTTGTTATTTACCCCTATGCCCCCATCTACCCGGCACAGACATTAATCTGATGATAATCCCACAAAGCTCAGATAGCGCAGCTGGACACAGCCTCTGACATTGTCACAAATAGCATTCTGTTGCCAAACTGTCTTGCATTATCCAAAGCAAGACTGTTCTTTAAGAACAACACAAAAAGTCTTAGTATTGGAATAAATCTCTTCAGGGTTTTATTTATATATATATATTATTTATTTTATTTTTTTAAGCCTTATGTCTTTGCTGTTGAGTGGTTTTAGCATTCTAAATTAACTGCTGCCACCTAGTGTTCAAACAGAGCTCAGCATTTAAATCAGGTACATGTAAAGTTTTGTGCTTTCCTGCCTTACAGTAGTTGGGTAAGAGGATTAGGCTCAAATGTTTCAACTGCAATATATCTGATACTTTTGATTAAAGAGTTACATTTATATTTTAGGCAGGCTTGGAATTATTTTTAACAAAATTTTACATAAGTTTATCTCCAAATTTAGAGAAAGAAATTGGATTTCTTTCAGTCACTAATCTGCTTTTTCATTCATGTTTGTGTGATTATTGACATAATGTTCATCTGATGCAAATATGTCTTTTGTAAGCATGCTTAGTGTGAGGGATTGCCTTTGAGTCAATGAGTCGATGCAATCAACTGGTTTTCCTTAGATAGAAAACTTTGAATCCATTTGATTGTATGATCTGGTGAACTGGAAAGAGCCTTGAGATGACATGTGTTGTGAATTGGCGCTATATAAATAAACTGAATTGAATTGTAACTTTTCATCTCTTTGCTTTTTTTTCACCTGCCTCTTAGGTAAACATCAAACTAAACCTCAGGGGAACTCTGATCAAGCTTCACACTCTCAACTAAAGTGCAGTCCGGGTTCAAGGTACTGTTCCTATCTGTTAATTATTGGGGTTTATTATAGGCACTTTGTTGGTAGTTAGGCTTTATTTCTAAGTAAAGATTGACTTTAACTCCTGCAGGTACAGCTAAATCCAATAAATTGAAATCTAAGTGAGTCAATTTTTCTTTACAGTAAATGCATTTTTTTGATTGAGCAATAATCTGTCGATTATTTTTTCGATTAATTGATTAACAATTGTATAGCCAAACATTCCTTAAAGAAGTTTTTTTTTTATTAAATTTATTAAATAAAATAGATATTTTTCTACTTGAGGAGCAGATTGACAGATTGGATGGATGGATGGATGCTAAAGTTCACTTTTTTTTTTTACAATTTTGTATTATTATTGCTCGGCTAAAGGCATGTTTTACAGTCTCTATACTCCAGTTAACGATTAATAGATTACTAAATTAGTTGATGATTATTTCAATGATCAATTAATCACAATTAATCTGACTAATTGTTTAAGCCCTAATTATCTTACTGTAAGTGTAAAAATGCTCATTCCATTGGAAGATCATCCTATTTACCTACTTAAATTAAGGGTAAATTTAATTATTTGAAGAAGTTTTACTCATTTTTCTTAAGATCATTTTTGCCGTGTGGAATCAGCTTTTTTTATAGATTTTTTTTTTGTTGTCATTACACTGTAAGAAATACAGTGCAACAAAATGAACTCTCTGCATTTAACCCATCCCCTTGGGGATGCAATGGGCTGCCATTGTGCAATGCCTGAGCAGTGTGGGGTTAAGGGTCTTTGCTCAGGGACCCAAAGTGGTAGTCTGTGGGAGTGGGACTCAAACTCAGAACCTCTGGATTCCAAGCACAATGCCTTAACCACTAGGCCACCACTTCATTAGATATCTATAAGTGCTTTATTCACAGCGCTGTCTCACATATTGTCAGCACCTGTAATGATGTTTAAAAAGCCTTGGGAATAAAAGGTCAACCTTTGAATTGTAGTGTAGCTATGTAGTGTGCAATTAATTCAATGCGTTTATTAAATTGCTAACCTCAATGTTTCACATAGAATATTATGATTTAAAAAAAAAAGTAATCAGAATGGGGCCTGATTCTCTTCCAGACTCTTTAAAATGTGAAGGACAAAAGAAGAGGTTCCTAAAAGACAGATGTGTGTTTTTTTTTTTTATCAGGAAGTGGCTACATGAAAAAAAAAAACACTTCCCTAAACTTGCTATTGTCAGCCATAAGAGCAATCAGTTAAAAAGAACAATGTTGGAGAGCAGCCAAACATTAGACGTAAAGGGGACCCAAGTTTACCATACAGTAGGGATGATACAGAGGGAGTTAACATAACCTTTGGAAAGATGTTAAAGATGTACCAATAAATGTAGCTAGTGCTGCTTATAAAAGGGATGCAAAATGTAGCGGGATTAATATCGTTATCAGCCAGTGTTAGACATGTTTATACATATCGGTGAGTAACTTCTAGTTATGTGGTTGTTGTTTGGTCGTGTGAAAGTGATTATATGATGTACAAAAAGACTGTGAAAATGTATGATATTGGTAAATATCGGTCATTGACCATAACAGCAATATTATTCCAGTATATTTTAGTATTTATAGTATTTTTACATTGATAAATCCCTTGTATACCCCTGTCTATGGTCAAATCTAATCCTCGTACTAATTAAAAACACTTCAGATTTGAAGTTCCAACCACTGAAAAGAAGTGTTGAATTAAAGGATAATTGTATGCTGAGGAGATATTTTCTTTCCCTCAGTTGAAGGATCAAAGGAAGCTCCTCTAAGCAATCCTAGGAGTGTATCCCCTTGACCAGGTGTCTGCACCCTAAAATGAAATTAAGAGGCAACTAATGTGTTTTAATAACAAATACCAGTTATAGAAGCTCTGTGAGTTTTTTTTCCTAAGAATATTTGATTGAATTCCCCCAACAGAATCACATTTAAAAAACCATAAATATGTTTTTAGATGAACTTTTGTTGGCATAAGCTTGGAAAGTATGTGGGTTTTCATCTTGTTCTCTTTTTCCATCAAATAATGTCCAGTGAAAAAACAAAAAAAAACATGCTGCATCTTTATCAAATGTTTTTCTTTATATTAAAAGCTAAAAATACAAAACAACTGTTCGTTGTTTGAAATTGCAATATATTAAAGAGATATAATGAGCTTTGTTTTATTTAAACCCTTCATAATATGCTCTAAATTACTTTTACTCAGTCCGACTTGGTACAAAAGATTAGTTTTGATGGTATTATTTTTCTATTCCAAAAAAAAAAAACTGAAAAACTTGAGCATGTATTGTTTTTTTTCCATCCTTTATTTAGATATCTAAATAAATTCAATATAACTATGTTGCTTATGGTCTGTGAAGGCCTCTGAGTTTTGTTGATTCTCAGTAAAGAAAATCATGAGAACCAAGGAATACTACAGAGAGTTCAAGTACTGTGGAGAAGTTTAATTAATTTTTAGATCATAAAAAAAGAAATGCTGAGGTTATTTCCAAACTGGCAAAAGACACAAGGAAGGGGTTGACCCTTTAAACATACAACATGGTGTTAAATGGAACCATAGAATGGCTCAAAGTACAGACCTAAATAAAATAGAATTGGTGTAAAGATTTTTAAAAAATCTATGAAAAATATGTTTGTTATCCAATCAGTCCAAGTTTCAGAAATTTTTAGGAGATAATTATTTATCTTTGGGACAGAAAGCAACAAACGTAAACTGCATCGAAGGTAAAGACTAAAAAGTGGCTGAATGCATGCCATGCTTTTAGATTTCATTTGGTTAAAAAAAAGTGAACATTTACAAACTGGACTTTTCCTTTTTGCTAATAAAACATGGATGTCTTTTGATTGTTAAAAAGACAAAGAATGAAAAAGCTTTTGAGAAATGAAACATTTGCATGGCGCTGTAAAGAACTGCACACGATAACTTCTGAGATTTCCTTACCTGCTTTTTCTCCCTTGTAGACAGAGATCAAAATACACGTCTAACACATCTAGAAAAGCTAAGAGTTCAGCCGGATCGGAGAGCAGGCAGAGCGAGCACCAGGATCCCACTAACTGTAGAGGACACGGCAGGGAGAACAGCACCCCAAGGCACATCACAAAGACCAGCAGCTCAGAGTGGAACAGCTCAGATGATCTTGTTCTCTCGGAGTCGGAGGACAGGGAAAGCACCTACCTGTCCAGTAACAGCGAGGCTGTCACCTCCGATTCCCCAAGTCCCCACGTAGACCTGCCATACCACCCGCCCTGCAGCGTGACAGCAGAAACTCAGCTCGGTGCAGCAGGGTCACCTTACCTTAGACCCAACCAGCAGGCCTCTCCGCTCCACGGCGAAACAAGCCACGCAGCGTTTCGCCCCAGAATGCTTCAGGAACCCTTTCCACCGAGCCCTCACACGCCCCATTCATCATACGTCAGCCCCAAAAGGAGGCCTGACATTTCCAGCCTCCGAACCTTCTCAGATGCGAGCTCAAAGTCCGGGTCCGACCCAGAAAGGAGCACTCAGGCATCATGTGAGAGCGAGGAGAGAGTGCCGGGGAGCCGAGCTGACGAGGCAGCGCAGGCTCCAGAGGTTTCTCTGACCACATACTTTAACGTGGACAACTGTATGACGGAAACGTACCGCCTCAAGTACCACAACCAGAGGCCTCTGGTCCTCTCCGCCACAGTGCCAAGGACAGCTGCTGAGAGTGACCGCAGAGATAACAGCCACACACTTTCCAGTGATGCACACTCACATGATGTGCTGAAAGGCCGACCAGAAAAAAGTAAGACTTAGAAAGATAAACATTCAAACAGAACGAAATACCTATATAAATTAGTACTCTGTAATTCTGATCAGCTATTGCCCTGAGAACCTCCATAAAATACATTTTAACAACAGAGTTCTCATCTTTTTTTCTGCACAGGCCATAATAGCAATAAACCCACTGCAAAATGGAAGCCAGTGACAGCCAAAGGACTGGATGAGCGAGGTTTTTTATGAGTGTTGACTTGGTAAGTTTTGTTTACATGAATGGACAGCACGACTGGATGCCAAAGAGTTTACAGAATGGAAATATATTCAGAAGCCCCGCCCCCCCCCCCCCCCCCCCCCCCCCCCCCCCCACCCGATGTCTCCAGACTGGGTGGAACCTGTTTATGCAAGCTTGTCACATAAATACAACCTTCTTCTAAATGCTGTTGAGTGTTTTTTTAACAGATGATCAACTTTCACATATATCTCCCACTGTCCTGTTGTGTTGAAATGAAATTGGTTTGTTCTATACTTTTTTTGGGGACTTATTTTTTTTGACACATCATGTCAGGTTTGTCTTGCTTTGTTTTATTTATGGATGAGTTCTGCAGAAAGGTTAAAGAACAGGCAAAGCTCTAATACAGTTAGATATAGCCATGGCAGATTTAGATTTAAATGTTTTTTTATTTTATATATATATATATATTTTTTTTTACTTTTTGGTAAGGAACAAAAAATCATTTAAACCTGTCTAAAAAGGTAAAGGAAAGTTGAAAACGGTTTGAAAACATCAAATCTTTCGTATAATAGCTGACCCACTTTCTTCATGTATCATCTGGTGTTTCGATTCGGTTTCATGTTCAGTACAGGACTCTACATAAATTATTCAAAACTTAAAAATTACTTATTTAGAAATATTTTGTTGTTGAAATGAAAAGGTTTCTTTAAATCTGTTAAATATGATGGATTTCACTGTACAGGGGGAATGCATGTCTGATATCTGTTGATTTTGTCTGTGTTGCTCACTTGGTAATAAATGAACAGCCTCTAAATTATATGGTAATCTGAATTCAGCGAAGAAGAACTGAATGTCAAACCAAAATAAACAAATTTATAAACTGGTTTCTAAGCTGTTGAGGGAACTGAACGATTGATCCTGTGATAAATCATAATAAATAATAGGAAAAAAAACAAACTTCACATCTGTATGTAAGTAGTTTGGTCACAATGTTCGCCCAGGAAGTTTGGTCCTTCAGTCTTTTAAATAAATAAGAAAACTTAATTTTCAAGATATCTTTGCTTTTATCTGACAAGTCAGAGATTCAGTTCCCTTCAGAAAGCTTTGGCAGGATTTAGGTCTAGAGAAAACTGAGGCCACTTTCTACCTCTGTTTGATTCATCTTCAGCCACTTCCTTCTTACCATTGACGGGTGTTTCTGGAGCAGCCATGTACTGAAGTAAAATGGATGGTTATCCTGTTTGTCTTTTCTGGTGATGAACTGGTGACTTATCCAGCGTATAACGTCTCACAAACACAGACCACTGGAGAAAGTCACCAGCTGCCACTGCACACTATCTAGGGCTTAGTGGTTAAAAATAAAAGCTCTGGGTAGACTTCTTTGAGAGAACACCTTTCATCTTCTCTAAGTCTGCTAATCTAATGATTCCCATTGATGGTCTCATTCCGGCCTCTTGTAGATCCTCTGCCTCGTCCCTTTAGTTATTTGTTCTGTTCCTGGTGGAGAGGTTGGTTTGGATTGACCTAATTCAGGACTCACGTGTTTTTGCCATACACGAATGGCTGAGATTAATATATTCTATAACCGATCCTGTTAGGTGGATCTATAACAGATATGCCTAACAGATCAGGCGGATCTGTTATAGAATAGAATAGAATTCAACTTTATTGTCATTACACTGTCACAAGTACAAAGCAATGAAATCAACTCTCTGCATTTAACCCATTCTTTTGGGGAGCAGTGGGCTGCCATTGTGTGGTGCCCGGAACTGCAAAAATATATCTAAATAAGTAATTTTTCCTTAAAGTAAGAGCATTTTATCTTGAATTGAGGAGGAAGGTGAGACATTTTGCCAATAGAACAAGACCAATTACATTTAAATTAAGAAAGAACAATTATTTCAAGTGCGTATTATCTAATTATCTTGTTCTAAGAGTTAAAAATCTTATTCCATTGGCAAATCGTCTTATTTACCTACTCAAATTAAGGATAAATACACTTCATTTGAGAAATTTTGACTTATTTCTAGATCGTTTTTGCAGTGTGGGAGCAGTGTGGGATTAAGGGTTTTGCTCAGGGACTCAGAGTGGCAGTCTGTGGGAGTGGAGCTTTAACTCGGAACCTCTGGATTCCAAGCGCAATACCCTAACCACTAGGCCGCCGCTCCCCGGATAAGATAACTTTTCCATTAAGTGAGTGAAATTTGTCACATGATCTCCAAACCAGTCAATGGGAGGATAAATTCGGGCTTCATTGGGACCAAATACTTAACCCACTGACATACCAGTTAATTATTTTATTTAATGTTTTTTTTTTCTTTAGATATTCTCTCATAAAACTAAAAGAACCATAAGATTTAGAGGCTGTTTCTTTATGAGTCAGCAAGCTAACAAATCACGAGTGGACATTGTAAACAAAGGGAGCTGAAATCTGTGAAAAAGTTTCATCAACAGAGAGGAATTTGAAATTAAAAAAAGAAGTGTACTTAACATATTTTGTGTGATGGTTGTGTAAGCAGAGCAAAAAGTCCCAGTTTAACTTCACAGCATTACAGCAGTCATTATTAGAATGGATCAGGCATATATATATTTTTTTTTGTCAAAACCTTGGCAGCTCACTAACTTTATGTATACTTAAATTTTTTTTACTGTCACTAGATATGTCTCAGCAGCCATAGTTAGTTACTGATGCATTAGCGTTTACCAGCTGTTTAATAAACTTTTAAAAAGTTAACGTCTGACTGTTGGCTGCCCCAAAGCAGACAACCCAGTATTGCTGTGAAAATCTTCTCTGGTATCTGGTTTATATAAATGACTAGTAAACATAAAGCTGACGATTGAATTTGTTTTTATTTTTGGTTCATTGAAATGTAACTTTGCATGACAGAATTCAGTTTGTGGTGATCAATAAATTGAGAACAGCTAAATAATCTGGGGATCATTAGCTGGGGCAGCCTTCAGGTCGGTCACTAAAAGTCCAAATCACACATCCTGGTATTTTCTTTTACCCGGCTGGTTCTTGTAAACTGTTTTCTGTACTTAATCCTGTCTTCCTCTGTAAAGAAATCCAAACAGATCTATATTTGCAGGTATTTTCATAACGTAACGGACCCATCTGATTATATTACTAACTATATAACTCAACACACTTTGTTGTTCTGTTCAGAACAGTGATGTTGTGAAACCTGCATGTGGCCTTTATAAATCATACTAGCTGTATGTGCAGCATTAGCATGAAAATGCTGGACTCTCGAGTCCTCTTAGCGTCATAAGAGATTCTATCTAATTGTAATAAAATTTATTAATTAAATAGCAGTTTGTAACCCCGGTTGATCTGGAAGGTGGAATGTTGGTATTTTTTCTTCTCCTGCTTGCACACGTATACAGTCGTTTATGCATTTGAAAACAGTTTGCTGGAAGCCTACTGACTGTCCAGGACACTATGCATTCACCAAAAATCTTTTAAAGATGATTTCCAGTGCACATATTGGTGGAATAAGTCTTTGTAATGAATATGTTCTCCTCATCTCCAAGAACATAAGATTTTATGTTGTTTTACTTTCAGATAAACATATTTATAAATCAATTTTTGTTTCGCTCACCATACTGCACATAATCTGTTGTTTGTTTTCCTTTTTTTTTTGTGTATTTGTTCCACAAGCTCAACGAAGCAATAAATGTGTGTGTGCCGTGTTAGTGCTATCAAACGCCAAATTAAAACATTTAGAGATTAATTTTGGAATGTCCTGTAAGCATGAATATTCTGATTTCCTAATGATCTTCAACAGATCTTGCACTGCAAAACACTAAGTCAAATTGGACAGGCTTTATCCTAATTGGTAACTTATTAAAGTGCAGTGATGATCAACTGTAGTGAGAATATTATTAAAAAAGTAAATGTTGAGATTTTTGGACAATTAACAGCAATACTGTACTCATCAGAGTACATAAACTGCAGTTTTTTTTTTTTTATTTAATCTCTTTTTGTTTAAAAAACGAAATGTTGCGTCTTTGGTTGTAACAGCGGTGCCTTTACATTTTCAGTGCAACACGTATGTCTCGTGTGTCTTTTTGCGAGTCAACCAGTGTCAGGAAATAATGCAGAGAAAACGAAATACAATTTTCAGTTGCCAGTACAGTAGAAACTACTTTCATCTTTTGTTCATTTTTAAGCTACAGCCAGAAGCTTCAATGTAAAGTAATCAAATTTTAGCTGTAAGCATTTACAGGAAAGTCTCTCTAAAGTTTGCACATCTATTGACTAAAATGTTTTTCCAATTCTGCAGGCGAAATAGATTGAAGGGAAAGAATGTATGTAGTTGGTTTTTAAGTCCATCCATGGTTCTCGGTTTTATCAACGAACTATGTTGGGTGGTTTTAAAACATGGTACTTTGATCTAAAACTTTACAATGTTGCAAAGCTCTACATTTTGTGCTTTGTTTTTTTTTTTTTTTAATCATTGTCTTAGATTTGATTAAACAGCACTCTATGAAATGTTTTTATTTTATAACCTAAATGCTTTAAATTTTGTCATTACTTTTTCCCCAGCCTTGCTGCTGTTTTTTTTTGTGTCTTCATGATGTTAGTTCTTTTTTCTTACCGAAAACAAACTCTTATGGACGGTTGCACTGAAATTTTTTTTAAAAGATTAATACAAAAAGCTAGAAATTTTTCTTTTCTTTCCACAATTTTTCACCACATTGTGTTCATATATGTCTTTAAACCAAAGTAGAATGCCCTGTAGCTCCTGGTTGTGATATGATGAAATGTAAAACGCATCAGACATATTACTTCTTGTACCAAAAACTTTTAAAATCTCTTTTCTGGATGGATACGGTTCTGACAGCAAGCAACAAAATCAGACGGTTGGAAAAGTTTACTATATCCTAATATGCAGAGAATAAATCTGTAGCATCCACTTTTATGTGTGTTTGTTATTAAACATAAAGGGTCTGTATATAGAATAAATGCATTTGCTTACTCAAGGTTTGATTAAATTATTGCAGTTGTAAGAATGTGTTTGTTGAACAAAGGTGGTCGGTCATAAGGCTGTTTCCTGCATCTTGTACAGCCAGAGCCTAAGATCATATGGAGAGCCCAATGCACTCGTCTACTCTGTTATCTCTGCAATACAAAGTTTCAGTGTTTTCTATTAATTGCTGTAGATCAATTACACATCATACATGAAATATTACTCCAGCAACTTTATAATTTGATTATAAACATAATTTCTCTGCATACATTATGATTATCTTTTTTGCCACTTGTTTTATGTCTTGAATACGTTTTAATTTTCTTAAAGGTGTTACAGGTTAACCTTGGAAAATTAAAGTTGGTTCATTATTAACTATTCACCATTCTAGCTTACTTAACTTTGGGTTGGCTCTGTGTGCATTGACAGCGTTGACAGTGTTGCTGTAAAACATATCCTGTGTTTTAAAACACTGCGTCATAATCAACTTCCTTTATATTCATCAACCCCAATGACGGAGCTAAAGAGGATATTTTCCAAATCATGTCAAAGATCTTTTCCGATCTTGTGCAGGCTCTTGGGTCTTGTAACTTTTCAGATACCATGCAGGAGTTTTACTGGATCCTCCCTTTATGCCGCTATCTGCTCTGCTCTGGGGAGCTGTTAAGAATCCCCTCCATGCTTTCTGACATGTCGAATTGCAGATTTAATTCAACAAAATATTTATTGTTAAACATGTCTTCATCTTTTACTATTGAAGATAATATAAATTTATTTTTACTTATTGCTGAATAAAGTTTTAATGACTGTACCACTATTAGTGTGTTATGATTTCCCATAGCTCCAAAGATATTTTGTTTTCACTAAAAAACAACAAAACAAAACAGTTGAAAAAAATCAGAAAATAGGCAGTTTTAATTGTATTAATACAGGTATAAAAGTGCTTTGTAAACCTGGATCTTTTGACTGTTAGAGAATTTGACAGTTCAACAAAATACTATACGTAATTTTAAAATCAAACACAAATTAGTTTCATTTCCTGGAGCTGATGGACCTAACCCCTCTTAAAAATCCTCTTGGCGTCCACACCTTCATAGCTGTAACTCTGTTGGAAATAAAAATATGAAAATCTACATTAGAGCTTACAACCTCAGACAATTTTGGAAGGTAAAATGGTACTTTACTTTGTTAAAGTGAAGCGCTCAGACTTGCATAGCAACCGAATTGAGATCCCTTACCTGAACGAGTTCATCTCCTTGGATGATTCTGACTGTTGTCAATTGTTTTCCATTGTCTTTTCTGGTGAAAACCCCCTTCAGTGTGTCCCCCTCCATGTTCCATGCACCCTGTGGGTTAAAAAACACATATATTTATATATCTGTCAACTATATATATCTATATAGATATATATTTTGACCAAGACTCAGAGGGATGACTGCTTTTAATCCTCTTGTTAAAGTCTGTAGGACCTAATCAATCATTAATACAGATATGAAGGTGCAGCCTTGAGCCGTCAGATACGAATAACAGAAGTTACTTGAGTAATAGTCCTTTTTTCTTACTGATAGCTCAGTTCCATCTGCCAGGCTGTACTCGAAGTTGACCCCCAGGGTAAAGTTGATCTCTATGCTGCGGAAATTGCTGCTCTCCTTCACATGAAAATTCTCTCCATTCTGTTCAATGGTGATCTTCAAGTTGTCATGAGCAGCGAGCTTCCTCTTCACCATATTAACTCCTATCATCAGACACATTGAACATGTTCAGTTGGTTAAGTTTGTGTCTTTGTTGTCTCAAAGAAGGTGCAAAAACCAAGTCAAGAACAGAAGCAACCAATAGTTTGCAATCAAAACTGTGTTCAGACTTCATTGCTGACACATTGAACTGTGATTATCAGATTATCAGTCCTTCATTAAACATCTTATCAGTTCTGAGGAGGTTAATGTCTCCAAAAGCTCACCCATTTGCTCCATGAACTTCTCGTAGTTCTCACTGCGATCAACCTTCCAGGTGCCGTTGAACGTCATGGTGACTGTGTGAGGGCAACTGTGCAGAAAGGAGCGTCCTGCTGCTATTCTGATGCTTCTTTATAGCCGTGCACTCTTATCTCGTCATCTGACCAAGTGATGATGTGGCTGTTTCAAGCTCGTTTTTTTCCCAAGGTATTATCAAAGGCAAACTCTTTATGAATAACTGAATGCTTGCCTTTCTGTTCAACTTGTGTGTGTGTGTGTTTACAAAGGGTGGTGGCATTGTGTGTTCAGCAAACTGATATATCATTGCAACACAGTGGTACTTGGGCGTGTAGATTTCTGACCGTTGAAGAAAACTTTAAACAAGGAAATCAACAGCACTGGATCTAACCTTTTACAGCCCCTTGGGTAAATGGTCTTCCTCGTACCACCGGATGGACATTTTAAAATATTTAATTTCATTATGATAGAAAAATTATGATTGGTTGAAGGATTGGTTGCAGTTTTTAACTTCGAAGATGTCAAGATTAATTTGAATTTCAAATAAAGAACTTCCAAGTCAGAAGATTCCACCAACTCCAACATTTAAATCCAAAATGGTTGCCTTAGATATAAAACAGTGAAAAAAAGCATTTAAGAGAAATTTATTTTTTTCAATTCAAGCATTTTTCTTTTCAAGCAATTTAAACAATGATTGAAGCTCTGAAATTCAAAACATAGTTTACACTTTTCCCAAGACTTCTGCTGCTTTTAGAAGGTCTCTGAGTAGAGATTAATTCGCTCTTTTGCTGTTTGCACTTATTGGTTTTTCATAACAGCGCTTATTTTTGTGACGGAAATTACTGATTAAAAAAATTTTCCTACAAATAACCTTTCGATAAAGATAGCAACAATCTTTGGTGCGTGTATCAACATTTTTTAACTATGACAGCGAATAAAATGTGCCTTTATATGTGATATCTTGGTGAATTTTGTAAACACCAGAATTTCCCAATTGTGGAACAAAAAATGGATTTTCTATTCTAAACTTGATCCATTACTACCACATTTTAGTTCAACGAACCATGCAGTGTTTATACATCATGTAGCTTGGTAAATTAATTGATTTTCTTATTTTAAATAAAGTATTGTATAAAAAAGTAAGTAACTAATAAGCTAAATATTTAAAATCAGCAAGATAAGTTTATAATGCCAACTTTTCTTAGCTGTTACAGGTTGGAAGAACATAAATATCTACACAATCAGCACTTTATCCACCAAAGAGCATCTTGCAACATAATGATAAAAGTTTTTCACTTGTCAGTGATTTCCATCTTGTCCCTGATCAGTGACCTTTTTTATTGGAGTTCCTTTTTTGTCCAATATGACATAATGAACCATTGCCTGACCTTCACCTCATTATCTACCCTTTTATCAAAGTGAAGACTTTCGATTGAGATGATGAGAGAAAAAAAACAGTTGAGCTGGAAACATGCTTGATGAGGTCCATTGGGAGGTGTATCGTTATCTCATTTATATCCTAAGCTGTCTATCTCAAGTATAGTATCAGTATTTTTATCAATTGTCTTATCAGTTGTACTGGTGAAGGAAAAGCAACGTGATAGTATAAAAGATGACACATTTGGCTAACCCAAATCTAGCTCTCTACTATGTGAGGAAAGTTGCTTCACTCCAGAGAAGCTGTAATCCTAAGAGTTAAGATGCATTTTAGTTATATCAGTTCAATTTCACAACAAATTTCACCTCAAGGCTCTTAACAGAAACCTATCAGCCTGTTAATTTTCAATTATCAGCCTCATTTTCCCTCCTAGATTATTAACCATAAAGTACAATGGCTCCCTACGTTTTATCTATATAACTGCATGGTCAGCATTACTATTAGGGCTGACCATATACAACTTGTTCACTTCCAATACAATACCAATAGTGTCCCGAGCCCGTAACATCATCAATGACCCCTCATGCCCCCGTCACGGACTGTGCTCCCTGCGGTTCAGCAGATTCAGCAACAGCTTCTACCCCACCGCTATCAGACAGCTTAACTGTTGTAAAAGCTCTTAATCCTGTCACTGACTCCATATAACACTGATAGCACCAAACCAAAATACTGAATATTTGCACCATACATGTTTAATGCTCTGAACTTCCATATCAATGCATTTTTTGCACTATGTTTTTTCTCCCATACTGTTTACATTTGATCACTGCTGCACTTTAAGGAATGGAAATGTTATGATAGCTGTGCAAAACGAAACTTCCATATCAATGCGTTTGATATAGACAATAAGAGTTATCTAAGTCTAAGTAAGTCTAAGTCCATTCCAGATAAGTTTAAAAACAATCCACTGGACTTTGTTTCCAATTTTGAAGATGTTTTGCTTCCCATCCAGGAAGCTTTTTCAATACAAAATGAATCGATGAATTAGCACTGAGTTCCAGGCTTTATAGAGTAACCCAAACAAAAGCCTTCTTATTGCTTAGAAAACATGCAAATTTAATTGAAAAACAGATCAACCCCTTTGTAATGGGGAGTCATTAAGGTCATTATTGGCGTGGCTGACTAGGCGAGATGTTTTGGTCCCCTGCATAGCAGGAAAGAATCAACTCTATCGCTATGTTTCAGGTTTTTAAGAACTGGAACCTGAGACCAACCCCTCTGTTTAAAGCTGTTTTTTCCTCTCTTAGTGTAAATGGCTTCCTTTCTTGGACCTGTTTTTTTGGTTCATTTTGCATGTTTTCTAAGCCACAGCAAGGCTTTTGTTTGGGCCACTCTATATGCCTGGAACTCAAATCCTACTCCAGATGTTTTGAGAGCAAAACGTCTTCATACTTGGAAAACAAGGTCCAGTGGCTTGTTTTTTTTTTTTACTTTTTTGGAATGACTATTACCTCGATGACTGAGAATCTTCACCAGCAATGCCAATATTGCAGCTCTCAATATTGACCCATACCGATATTGACAGGATAAAATATCAGCACAAATCAAGCACACTTTTATTATAAAAAAAAAATGGTTGATCAAGTAATATAACTCAGAGTACATCAGTCAACAAAAAATGGGAATGAGAACAACTAAGCTGTTTATTATTTACCAACAGATCACAAAAACTTTAAACAGAAGCAGGTAGAAGCAAAGTGTTTCTATAAGTATGCTTATATGTTAGATAGAGGTACATTACATTCTCTTACTCAAATTATCTAGCTGCTATCAGACACATTTCCAATATTAATAATAACCCTAAAATGCTATTATTATTGTGTTCCATTTAACTCTGTCATCACTATGTTCATGATATGGAGCCTAGGTGAAAGTTCAACTGAAGAAACTCATTGCTCTCCTAATTCCACCTGCGACGCAGCCAATCAGCTTTGAACCACACCTCCATGAAAGCCAATCGGCATCCAAAGTTCATCTTAAAAGGCCTCCGATACGCACCTGTCTGCTCTGTGCGCAGGTGGAGGATGCCACTGTCTCAACCCACCTCCAGCCCCTCCTCCACCATCGTAGCTAAAGCTTCATCAGAGTGTCAATCCTCCCGGACTCTTTCTGTGTTCCCTGTCTCAACTCAACCGGTCCGGCAGAAGACCGCCATGTTGAGCCTGGTTCTGCCAGAGGTTTCTTCCCAATGGGGAGTTTTTCCTCTCCACTGTCGCTTCATGCTTGCTCATCATGGACAGGTTCTCTTAACCTGTGTTATCCAAGCTGGACTTCCATCTTCCAGGTCCTTGAGTGAAGCTCTAGTATCAGCTCACGCAATTCACTGGGTCTCCCCATAAAGCTCAGCATACCTTCTCGCTAACCAGCAGTACACAGACAGACCAACTTCATCCATCTCCACTCCACCACCAGTTTCAGGCCTGGGGGGGAAACAGCCCTATTCTCTACTCCTGTTCATGCATATCAAACAAAATTCAGCGCTATGTTTCCTGTTGAGGTGTGAGCACCAAAGACAAAGTAATTGTCTTTTCTCTTCAGTTTTTCAGTCATAGTCATTCCAAAAAAAAAAAAAAAGAAAATTCAAAACAATCCACTGGACTTTGTTTCCAAGTTTGAAGACATTTTGCTTCCCATCCAGGAAACGTTTTCAAATAAAAAATGTCAGGAATAGTGTTGAGTTCTAGGCTTTATAGAGTAGCCCAACAAATTCGAAACAGACGAAAGGTTCCACCCATTTGGATTGCAATACCCCATACCCGTCTGAAAGTGTCTGAAAGGTCGGTCGTTAAAGGGGATTGTTGGCCTGGCTGAATAGATGAGGTCCTCCACTCTCCTGGACACAGGGTGGGGCTGCGATGATAACGGGAAGAGATTAACTCTATCACTACATTGTAGGTTTTTGAAAGCTGGAACCTGAGCCCCCCCCCCTTTAAGGTTGGTTTTTCTTTCTTAACATAGATGGCTTCCTTCACACCCCTCTCAATCCACCTATTTTCTTCTTCCAAAATATGAACCTTCTGGTCTTCAAAAGAATGTCATTTCTCAACAAGGTTTAGATGTACTGCATTCTTGTCCCGAGGAGTTAGCTCTTTTGTGTAGGTTCATGTGTCTGTGGAGAGGTTGTTTGGTTTCTCCTATATAAAGATCAGAGCATTTCTCACTGCACTGAACTGAACTGCATACACGACTCCTCTCATATTTGGTTTGGGGGGTTTGTCTAAGGGTCTTGTTTGGTTTGAAATGTACTGGGATTTTGTGTTTAGAGAAAATCATCTTGAGTTTTTCAGAGACTCCCAAAATTCTCTGTAATTACCTACAGTATGCTTATTTAATAATTATTATTAATAATAATAACTTTAATTATCTCACATTGGAGAAATTTACCTCTGCAATTGACCCATCCCTTTTGGGAGCAGTGGGTTGCCATTGTGGGACACCCTGCTCCCTTTAACTTTTTATGGTCATAGTTCATCATGCTTTGGGGTGTGTTGGCCTAGTTAGAGCAGTGCGCTTGCGCTCTGAGCAGGTTGCAAGTACCCAGTTCAATACCCACAGCCTGCACTTTTGAGTCTCTCAGCAAGACTCTTATCCCCACACTGTTCCCCAAGGGGACAGGTTAAATGCAGAGGTAAATTTAAAATGTAATCAATAAAGTTCAATTATTATTTTAATCTATATGTATGTCCAGCTTGCTGTGTGAAGTGCTGCCAGAAGGGGGCAGTGTGTCTAGCAATTTCAGATGTTAATAGTTAAAAGGTAAACTAAGGTCAGATAAAATGATAATCTTTTTTTTCCAAAGTGCAAGTAACAGCCCCCCCCCCATGTGTTACAGCCTCTTATCAGCTAGTCAAGGCAGATAAAGCAGCACTTTATTTAGACCGAGCTTTAACTCTTTTGAAAATCATAAACTATTGCAACAGCTGAGTATTGTATTATTTCAGTTTCTATCAAATATAAATTCTTACATCTATTGAAAATAAAACCTCATATCAAATGCATTGTTTCTATCCTACCAAGAGTTAAAGAGGAGAAAAGATTTGACTCTTATCACTTACCGTTGAATGAGGATAATTTCCATCAGCTCTGGTTTTACATTAACCCAAGAATGTTAGACTTCACCTGCTACATTGCGTCCTCTTTATACAATTAATTCAATAAAAAAGTAATTATGATAATGTGATGAACAACATGCAGCAAAAACCTAAAACATGTGTAATGTATCCAAACTACCATATTTGGCCTAGTCTGAGTTTTTCTACCTAAATCATCACGCATCCTAAACCAGACATTTTATGTAATTCTCCTACCTAGGGGTGCCTGAACTTTGAATTTTGACTTGTTTCCCCCCCCCCCCCACCCCAACAGAGATTGCAGAATTAATCCCGATTAGATAACCCTGACATAAAAACAGATATATAATATGTTTCAGTTTGGTCAATCCAGAAGATTGATTTAGTTGTTTTTGAGCCATTTCTGCAAAGCATTTACTGCATGTTTGCAATTATTATCTTGCTGGAAAATAAATTTTTCCCCAGTTATAGTAGTTCTCTGACATTTAATCAGATTATTATCAGAAATTACCAATATTTGTTCTATAATAAGACTTCCAGGAACTGCTCTGAGTGAACCTGGAAAGTATTCACAGAGTTGCACTTTCTGCACAGAGCTACACTTACACCCAGCACTCAAGTTGAGGGGGGGGCGGCATCCCCCTCCTTACAACAATCTTAAAAATCATCCCCCTTCTTAAATGACCATCCCCCCATACTATCCTCTGTGACATTTCTTTGCTGAATGTGTAGAATTTCTACTATATATTAACAGTAATGACAATATTATTTCCCTTTCAACATTTGGCAGGCTGTTGGCTTACGAGAAGCTTGAGCAAAATAAATAAAATAAAAGAAGTGGGCTAACATGAATATTAAGCTGATCCCAGTAGGATATTAGTCCCCAACTATTTAGGGGCAGCAATAGCCCTGAACTGCTATCACTATAATAGGGTAGAACTGACTGCAGTTCTACTATAAGGTGCTTTGGTCAAGGTCAATGACCGGTATACCTGACATGTAACAACCATACCATGCATATTGCTTTAAGTTAATAGACTATATTAATTAGACTATTAATGCATCAAAAAAAAAAGAAAAAAGAATTCCACCCCCATCCGCCGTTTTTACACAACTAGACTACTTCTTACACCTATAGTCATGTTGCAGCATAGAACAGGGGTCCTCAAGTCCAGTCCTCAAGAGGAACCAATCCTGTAACTTTTAGATGCATCTCTTCCCTAACACATCTGAATCGAAAGGTTCAATCCCCTCATTTTGCCCATCAAAGAAATGGTTATGAGCCACTCATTTGATTCTGGTGTTAAAAAAGGGTTGCATCAAAAAAGTTGCAGGACAGTAGCTCTTGAGGACTGGACTTGAGCACCCCTGATTTTGAATAAACTAAATAACAAAAATCAAACTTTAAAAAGTGAACATTTGTGATGTTTGATAATGCTCCTGCCTTCAATTGTCCTTTATGGATTCATGTTGCTTGTGTTTGAGGTGTTGGTAAAATTATGTGATGTGTTTTTACCCTGTTTTTTTTTTTTTTTTAATCAACCACTAAGAGCCTACAAGGTTTCATAAGCAAGTTCTGCCAGAAAATGCACAACTGAAATGAATAAATAACAGTTTACAGTGGGACTACTATCACAGCTGTAGCTTTAAATAAATTAAGTCTTTAAAAAGTTAATTGTGATTCCCAGTTGATCCACGAGATGGCGCACTTTACAAACTAAACATGTTGCCAAGTCCTTTCTGTGGTGAAAAGCAGCAAAGTGACTACAGAGCAAAACAACTCAGTGATGAACAAGCTGTAATTTCTCCTGTCTGCTAAGAATTGCTCATATGTTATGAGAAAAATACAAAACAAATAATCAACTTAACAAAAATTAAGATAACTGTTTATTTTATCAGCCCCTCCTCAAGAAAGAAAACAAACAGATGGCCAACCATAAATAGAGATACATCTCAAATGCTAAAAATCAAGTGAGTGAATAAAATGAGATAACTCAAATAAAAGGGAAACACACTGATCTCATCAGGCACATTAAGCTGGTTAAACAATTTAAATCTATTAGAACTAAACCATCTAACACAAAAAATAATGAATGAATCAAAAATAAATAAAACACATATTACCTTAACTATTAACAAGAAATAATCAGATCAGCAGATTCAGTCCAAGTAAAATGTATTTATTCATTTTTATTTTTTTTTACAGGTGATCACTACATCTCAAGTTATTTTTTCTTTTACCGGTACATAAAAGAATAAATACTAGATAAAATGAAACAAATAATAAATATATAGTAAGACGATTTCTGTAAGAAACTGCAGACCTAGAAACTGTTTCCTTGTATTATTGTGCTGCAGGAACCATAAAATAGGGAACAATGAGAAACAATCAGAGCCAGGTGGAATAAATGTATAAAACTAGTGTTCATATTTATTGACAAAGCTATTTCAATAGTTCTGGCAAAGATGGTAATACAACAATTTTTAATCTTTGACTATAAAAAACTTTATCTTTATTTTTTCTTCTTATTGGTTTACTATCTAAATTAATGAAATCAGCCAAAAACATAGAACATCTGACATCTAAATTAATGTCATTGATAAAGAAACACAATCAATCATCATGACGGCAATAAGCTCTTTCTCAATGTAAACAGTATTTTGGCAATAATGAGGTGATATAAACACACCACCAACACTTGGCACTCTAAACGTTTGTTGCTGATTTTAAATATTTAGCTTATTAGTTACCTACATTTTGTATACAATACTTTATTTAAAATAAGAAAGTCATTGAATTTACCAAGCTATATGATGTATAAACACTGCACGATTCTATAAACTAAAGTGTGGTAACAATGGATCAAGTTTGTGAGGGAAAAAGGGAGGATGAGTTCAAATACAGTTTAAAACACTTTTCTTTAAATATATTAAAATATCTTTTTAAATGACAAAAGAACCTAAGGAGCTGAATTCCTTGTTGAATAACACTGATTTTTGAGGTTTAAAGTTTAACCACAGCAGACTCTGATGTGTCATTGGTCTTCCTAGAAAGAAACCACACCTTCATGGGCTCCTTCTTTCCTTTCATGGTGATCGGGCCGCGGTACTCCAGATCAAACTGGGGGTCGGCGTTCTCAGCGGACTGCAAACACCTGGAGTACAACATTAACAAGCTTAGAGCATCGTTTTCCCTGGCTGCTGTTTTACATAGACCTTAGCATGCCTCATCCAATACATCATACAGTTTAAAGCATGATTTCCCTTCATATAACACTAGCTTAAAATGTATATACTGTAAGGCAAGCCTTTTTAATACATGTCTGACATTAAGAAAGTCATCTTCTTTTCCTTTTTAGGTCATTTTTGATTAAATAAAATTACGGACAGCCAAATGAGAGATTATTTTTAGATGATCTTTTATTACTGATAAGTTAATTGGCAACATGGAGGCTCACCTGTGTATGTATAAGGCAGCACCGCAAACACATTGCATATTTCTTTGAAGAAATCCACCCAGATATCATTAAGGATCAGTAAAAAAAGTCAACATTCGCAGTTAAACTTCTCACTTTCACTAGTATTCAACTAGTATTCTACAGTTTTATTACCTATAATTAAGCTGTTAAGACCACCATTCTATTAGGAGCAAAAAAAGGGGGGATTACAAGCCTGAGAAAACCCCTTAAGCTGTGAGTAACAGGGGTGGCAGCCTCATGATGGGTTAAAGCTCATCAAACTATTGGGAGAAGTTACCCAAAAGGTTTGACCAAAGCCGTCTAGTTTAAGGGGCAATGCTTAATGTACATTTCAAGACAGTTAAAAAAAGAATTTAAAAATAATTTCTAAATATTTAACAGTATTTACTGATCAAAAACAAGTTAAAAGGGGGGGTGGGCATGCAGGTGTCGCAGTGGTTAGTGCGCACCACCCATGTACGGAGGCCCTAACCCTCAACGTGGCCCACCTGGATTCGAATCAGGCCTTTGGTCCTTTGTCGCATGTCTCTCCCCCTCTCTTTTACCCCCTTTCCTGTCAGTCTAATGTCAGAAAAACGGGCCACTAGTGCCGTAAAAACTTATAAAAAAAAAAGGGGGGGGGGGGGGGGGGGGGTACCTTTTTATTCAGTACGTGTAAATATTTTTTTCTGCTGTCTGTATAAAATGAATGGATGTTTTATAGGACTTAAAAACATGGTTAGTAAGCTGTTGATGATCGATAAGGAAAAAACTGGGACTCACCTGTAAGTGTATTCTGAGACGTTAATTTTTCCCTTCTCGCCCGTCGTCTCAGTTCGACTTGTGAGGTTGACTGTATTTCCAAAAAGGCAATATCTGGGCATCCGTTGGCCAATCACACCTGTCACTACCTCTCCAGTATGGATCCCGATCGTAATCTAGGATTATGAAAAAGATTAAACATATAATATTAAATAGGTCGCTTATGATAAACCAAAGCGTTAAAAACAAAATAAGGGTGTTTGAGCCTCCTCTAGATTTTTATTACTCCAAATGTGAAAATTAGTTTTTTCAAATCTGATTTGTTTACTAAAAACTACAGAAAAAGTGTAACATTGTAAATAGTAATATGAACAAGTGTTTGTGTGGAGCTTGCAAACTATATTTTTAGTACCTTTTCAGCCTTTTTTCTTACAACTCTTAGCCATCTAATAAAAAGGTGTAACATTTAGTGGGTGGACATACGACTCAATCCGCCAGTGAAAAATGCTAAAAAGAATGCTCCCCTTTTTCTCATTTAAATCTACAGAAACAAATATTTCTAAGCAAACTTTTACCTAATTAAAATAATAATATTTATCCTCTGTGCTGTGAGCACTTTTCATAGCTTGTTTCTTGAGAGCCTAAAATGTGCAATGAGTCTCTGGGACGAACAAGCATCTATTTTCGTCCTCAGCATCATGAGATTGTTTGAGCAAGCGCCTGCTTCTTAAACCAGACTCATCTTTTTGCCAGGGCCATCTCCTAAAATAAACATGCATTTGTTAAGCAGATATTATCTCACAGGGTTAGATCTCAGCAGTGAAAGCTAAATAATGGAAAGCAATCAGTAAAACAAATGTTTTTAACCTGTCACTAAATTATTCCTAAACAATCAAGAGGAGAAAACTGAACAGAGCTATCCATTCAGGGGAAGAAAAAAAAGAAAAGAAACAGCATATGTATGTATGTATGTATGTATGTATGTATGTATGTATGTATGTATGTATGTATGTATGTATGTATGTATGTATGTATGTATGTATGTATGTATGTATGTATGTATGTATGTATGTATGTATGTATGTATGTATGTATGTATGTATGTATGTATGTATGTATGTATGTATGTATGTATGTATGTATGTATGTATGTATGTATGTATGTATGTATATATATATATACAAACAGCATCTTATGTATAGTTAAGTGGATTATTGCACAGGATATCTTTGCAGTGAAGTCTGAGACTTCTCTGTCACCAGTCTGATCTTGTGTATGAGCTAAACTTTACTAAGTGCTTTGGTCACATGAGATTAAAATATTATTTTTGATTAAAATAAAAAAAATAAAAAACTTGGTTGGTTTTGATTTTAAAAAAACACATGAATGTAAAGAGGAGCGCCTCAGACATACTGTAAAGTATGTGGAATAATCTATGATGCTGTTTGCCTTTTTCTCCACCAAAGATAAACTCTTATGCTGTCATAAGAACAAAAAAACAGAAATAATCATTCTGTTTTAAATTAGGTATCTATCCGACTCTACCAGCATTAGTGGTGGGAAGTGATTCAAATTTTTTATTGAGTTAATTACAGGATCTGTAACGAATTAGTTCGATTTTAATTGAAAACCATGCAGTATATATGCAAAATATATGACCTTCTCAATTCAAAAACCCTTCTTGCACAACAAAAAAAAGAGAGAAGCATTTCTAAAGTATTATGCTTATCATCTGTTCAGTGGAACGGTGGGTAGCACTGGCGCCTTGCAGTCCGGCTCTTTCTGCATGGAGTTTACATGTTCTCACTGAGCATGCGTGGGTTCTCTCCGGGTACTCCAGCTTCCTCCCACACTCAAAAAACATGACTTTTAGGTTAATTGGTTTGTCTAAATTGTCCATAGGCGTGAGTGTGTAATGTAATGGTTGTTTGTCTCTGCTTTGCCCTGCAATGGACTGGCGACCTGTCCAGGGTGTACACCGCCTCTCGCCCTTTAGACAGCTTGAGATAGGCACCAGCACCCCTCGTGACCCCGCTTGGGATTAGTTAGAGAGGAAATGGATGGATGGGTTATAATCATTAAGCTTGTTTAGAAGCCTGTGATAATTTATGAAACTTTTTTAGAATAGTTGCATTAAAATGTATTATAGAGCATATATTAAAGAGAATAAAGAATTAAAATAATATATATCACACTCAACAGAGATGCTGATTGTTTCTAAACAAAATCAATGCTTCTGTCTTTGTGCAGGAAGTCTTAATTCTCCATTTAATATAAGCCACTGAGACCAGAAAAGCTTTTAACTAAAGCCAATTTAAAATGCAGATTGTTGCTAGCTTAACTTGGCTGTAAACATATTGTTATGGTATCATCGGCCAGCACTGCTGATTTTGAAGGCCAGGGGTAGATTTGATTGACATAGCAACACACAGAGGCTGAAATCCGACTGGACAAAAATATAGCAACGACATAAATGGAATGGAAGCAGCACAGCCGAAAGAAACGCTAAAAAAATTAAGAGAATGGATTGCTTGGAATAAATGAATACAGTTGGAAAGAAGAAAATTGAAGATTAGGTTTTGAATGTAGGTTAGGGTTTCTGATTGATTTCAGGCAAGCAGTGAAGGCCTTGAAGGCCCTGACTGCCCACCCCTGTCCAAACCTAGATATCTCCAATACCTTTTACAGCCACATAACCTTCTGAATCCTTAGCTGTATGTGAAGTGTTTTGGATTTTTTTTTTTCTGTAGACCAGTATTCTGTGGTCTCAATCCCACCTGTACTGGTTCATCGTCCACTTTGACTTGTCCCGCAATCTCCATCATATCGAGGGCGAGGTGACATATTGACTTGGCATGGTGCGTGCAAGGCTCCGGCAAACCGCTCACTGTCATGTACTTATCACCCACTGTTTCCACCTGTAACAGACAAACATTTTTCCATTTCAACTCTAAATCACAACTAAACCAGCTTCTCTTATCTTTCTGGAACATGAAAAATGATTAGTTCTCACTCCGTCTCTAATGGGGGAGCCTGCTTTAGGTGCCAGGATGAACTGAAATGGCACGTGGTAAACACTTACATCAGCTTCCAGACATTCAGGTCTGAGTCCTGCAAAGATCTCAGGACCACCAAGCCATTGTGCTTGTCGAGTAAATATTACTTCTTTTGGTGACCCAGTGCCTGAAGCCCATCCTCTGGAAGTGCCGGGGTCTGTTTGACTTCTCAAAGTGCATTCTTGTCTGAAAGCCTGAAGAGTAAATCTGCAGCACCGGGCCTATAAAACTGTGCAGTCGCTCTGTAAAACTCTCAGTTTAGGAGTAAGTAACGGTCATAAAAAAAAAGGGAAAAAATCAAGTCAAGTGATATAAATATTCCTACTGAGTTGTATGTGCATGATTGTATAATTACTATTCATCACATGAGTAGACATCACCGGGGAACCAGAGCAGAATGTGTCAGCTTAAAAAAAAAAAAAGTCTAGCTTCCCTTTCTTAATCCCTCCTGTTTTCCTTTAGTACAAAATAAGATTACACAAAAGCCTGACAAACGACGGCACAAACGTTCCTGCTTCCCACCTTGTATACATAAGGGTTCTTCCGAGAGTCTGTCAAGATGTCGAAGCGCGTGTAAACATCATTGAGCAGGTTGACTATCTTGATGGCTCCCTCGGCCGAGGCGTGCTTGCTGCAGAAAGCGTTGAACCCAACGATGCCGCTGAACAGGATGGTGACGTTGTCGTAACGCTTGGCTGGGACCGGGCGCTTGTGGCGCAGCTCGTTGGCAACAGACGGTGGCAGAACAGAGTAGAGCAGTCTGAAAAGAAGAAGAGGAGTGAGAAGCATGGAACCAGCATCTTTTTCTTTTTTTTCTTTTTTTGCCTTCCCCACCACCTTTTGGTCACTTCACCATGCAAGCTGCTCACGCAAAAAATGGACAGTGTTTCTATGGTAACGGTTAGATCATGGCTGCATTGCTTAAAGCAAAAAAAAACTTCCCTGATGCATTCTACTTGTAGCTGCAGAAGATGTGACACCGAACATTCACCTATCAAAAGCATTGAATGTAAACATTGCATTTAATGGGATGCAATTGGGAGCTGCACAGTTTAACAGTGGGAAACACTGCTGCCTTGCAGCAAGAAGGTTTCTGGGTTAGATTCCCGGCCCAGGGTCTTTCTGCATGGACACTGTGCATGCGTGGGTTCTCTCTGGGTACTCCAGCTTCCTCCCACTGTCCAAAAACATGACTGTTAGGTTAAATGGATTCTCTAAATTCTCCTTTGGTGTGAGTTTCTGCATGAATGGTTATTTGTCCTGTTTGTCTCTGTGTCGCCCTGCAACGGACTGGTGACCTGTGCAGGGTGTACCCTCTCGTCCGTAGACAACTGGAGATAGACACCAGCACCCATCGTAAGCCCAATAGGGATAAGCGTGACGGAAAATGGATAGATAGATGGATGGATTGCATTTGGAAAATGTAGAAAAAGTATGATGTTTGATGTGGTTTTTGTCTGATTAGGAGCAAATGCAGCTTAGTCTATAATTCTATACATACATCTATATGAGTGTTTCAGTTTAATGCCACAAGCTTTCTGACATTTCAAATAGAGAGCAGAGTACTGGTCCATCCCACAGCCACCGACATGTTTGGGAATAATGCTCTTTTTCCGCTGTGAGTACAGTCAATGGTGGAACTTTCTGGTTTTAGTTCTCTTGAAACAGATTTAATATCCTTTGCTTCTAAGATACTGTAATTTTTTAGATTTATTAACATGCTGTTAGAGATACTGTTGATTGTTCTTTTTATGATTCAAGTTTCTATTTTCATGTTTTGAGTTTTTTTAAACAGTGCTGTTTTGTTAAGTCCTTTATTAATAAAGTTGGATATTTAATTCTGAAAAGCTGGGCTCTTTTTGTCATTGATCTAATGAGAGTGCTTTGGATAAGGGTTTTGTTTTGTTAATTTTGATCATTAGTTTATTAAATATTTTTTTTTATTAAATCAAAATTACACTAATCTATTTATTTATTGAATCCCACATACATAAGAAGTTGTAAAGCGGCTGCTGCTTACCTAAGTGTTGAGAGGACTTTATGGTTAGCGGATAAGACCCTCTGACCACAGCGTGTCCAGAAGAATACTGTAGCTATACCATGGCAACGAATATGTCAGTTTCTTAAATGTCATCATACTTCTGTGATCATATCCAGCTGTTGCCCACTGCTATGACAGGTCAAAGCCTAAAACCAGCTTCATCCTAATAGGGCCTGAAGATTAGTGTTGGTAAATATCAGCCTGCTTAATCAGGTCTGACCCCATGTGCTCCTGTTGCCATGCAGCATTATCAAAGCAGCATGAGAATGAAACCTGTTTCTTTTTCTATCTCAGCAGTTTGTTCCGAGCAGTTTGGCCTTAAAAGGGAAGCCTTGAAGCAACTTTTTTTTAATAATTTTTATCATTGCACTACAACATGCACTAATGAACAATCTCTGACACTTTGTTTTAACAGCCGTGCAGCAACATAATGACTCTGAGGCTGACTCACAACATCGAGATAATGACCAAGCTTCTAATTAATTTCCTACAGCATGCAATACAGAGAAGGGGTGCACAAAATGCTTGTAATAGGTGTTATAAAAAAAAGAAAAGAAAAAAGTAAATTGTGGAGAAATAAGTAGTAAAAAGTAATCAGCAGTAAGTAAAAAGTAATAGTAAATAAGTAGTCTACAAACATATTCAAACAATTCGTTGGATTAAAAAAATAAAAGAAAAATTGCTTTTCTGAGCCTAAACAAACTTAAATGAGATTTCAGGTGCTCACTAGCTGATTAAACTACACAGAGCTACTGTCACACTGTTTTCCTATAGTACCATGACATCTTGAAAACCCGAAATGTCTAAATGATCATATAAAATATGTCTACCTCCTAAGTATGTAGCTCCTCTTTCAAAGCATATGTGTATCTTTTTTTTTTTTTTACTCTGAAAAATGAGTCAACCTGAATTAGTTAGAGATTAAAATTTATTTGCTATGGTTCCAGATGTGTAGGAAGAGCATCGGTGCGTACTGTACTTTGATCTGCATGCCTTCCAACGCCACTAAAACCCTAAACAAGATACGGGTACAAGACTCTCAACTCAACGCTAACATAATACCTAAGCTGTCGTAAAAGTGCTCAGAGTTTCAGGCTTTGCATTAAACAATAAAAAAAATATATGTCTAAGGTTAAAGAAGCTCTGGTTGGTATATTTACTTAATAACATATGGTCAGGTACATCTAAAGCAATATATAAACATTAGATATCCTCCTACAGCAAACGTTTTGTTCTCTCAAAGAGAAACAGGCAGATCTCTTTACTGGCAACAACTGAGTAACTTTGTCAAAGCAACAATTGTAGTAACTTCAGGTAACAAACTGTAAGTAGGTTAAAAGTAAGAACAAAAACATATTTTTCTCTCCAGGAGCAGCACTTTGATACATGACTGTAGAGAAAGTGGTAAAACTGACAGAGATCAGAGTTAATATAACAATGTGTTTGGTCATTTTTACAGCTGGAAACTGTTAGAATCCCTTACATCTGCTTAGTTTTTTTTTTTTTTTTTTTTTTTCTATTTGATTTATTTTAACCTAAAAAGACAAAACAAAAGGATACAAAAACAAAAACTACGTCTATTAAATACTACTGGCGCCATTTGCAAAAATAACTAAATAAACAACCACATGATTGCGATATCAAGTAATAAAATGTAGACTAATTTAAGAGCAATTCATATAAAGGGGAACAAATAGACTACCTCCTCATTTAAAAGCCTCAGATGTTATTTAATGAGCTGCTGTTTAGAGATGGGCGTTTATCATGATAACAATTTATTATCTAAAAAAAATTGGAATTAGATATGATAAAAAAAACTGTTTTTAATATTTTTCTTCTTTCTTTTTTTTTCTATTTGAGCATTGGCAAATTTGAAAAAGTTGAATAAATTAGGCTAATAAGGGATGTTTAGTGATTTAAATTACACTTCTTTATGTAACTGGTTTCCTGAAGAAGATATTAGAAATTTGCATAGTATTCTTTTAGGAGTGTCATTAGTTTTACTGTCAGTTTGATATGAATACCACAAAATATTGTGATAAGATTTTAAGACCATATCGCCCAGCTCTACTGCTGACACTCTGTGGCCTCTCCAGTAAAACCTGTTAAAATCCTTAAAAATAAATTCATGTTATACATAAATAGCACAATCTCACATTTATGTAAATGCTTGTTTTGGCTTAGAAAACATGCAAATTGAAATCAGAAGAAAGGCTCCATTCCTTAGGAATGGGGAGTCGTTTGGGTTGTTTGTTAGCCTGTAAAACCAAATACTGGTCAATGCCTCTGAAAAGGGGTCGTTAGGGGCAATTGTTGGTCTGCCTGAGATGACTGAGAATCTTCCCAAGCATATTCATTTCGTCAGAGAACATTTGGCTTTAATTCATTTGCATCTGGCTGCATGAACATCTTTGCTTGTGAACCCAATTGAACTTTTAATGGATTGGACTTTGGGGCCCACACCAATGGACACGACTGTTCTAGGGAATGAATATTACAAAGGCTAATTTCTCTCATCTAGAGTTGAAAACGGGAAGCCAAGAGAACATGCTGTTTCATTAGAGGTTAGAAAACTGCTCCTTGTTCAAATGTTAAGTCAGAGCAATTACCAAACATTTCACTTGCAAACAGAACTGTTAGGAAAAAATGTGATGGGTTTAAGAATATATATCTATGTATATGCTCGTGAACTTCTGAAAAAGAATCATTTTAGGGTTTAGAAATTCGCCATCAGAGAATGTGATATTTCAAGGCTTTTGGAGACACACTCAAACAAATTTTGTTAGCATAAGGAAAAGGAAACCTGTCTGTCTTCTTCTTTTCATCCTCCAGGGCCCTCAGTGTGTGCTGAAGACGATCTGTCAAAATTTCCAGCTCCTGGGTCAGCTTGTACTCCTCACGAAACTGTTCCCCTAGCAGCACCAGGTCACGCGTGGCATCATGCAGCGGGATGTCACTGAGGTAGAGCCCCCTCCTCGTCAGATCATCCAGGTTCATAACACTAACCACAAAATCACAGAGAGGTACGGGACAGAATAAAAGAAATGCTCTTGTCTGTTAAAAGAAAAATAAAACACACAGGTTGTTGATACTCTTATCAAATAAATAGATCATAAGGCCCTAGCGGTGAGGTCAGCGTCTTGGCAGAGCCGTCTGTCTGTTGATAAATGATCTTCTTGTACAGTGAGGTCAGACATGGCTCTATATGGCTCTGCCTGATAAGATGAATACAGACTGCTCCTCGTAGTTCTGTCGGGAACAGGCAGACTTTTAGCAAAACCACTTAAAAGCCTGTTTAGACAAACGGGACCATGTCCAAAGGACACTGCTTTCCTGCATCAATTATGTCAGTAAATTCCCTGAATAGTCACAACGGAGGCTAACGGAGGCCAAAACAAATCCTACCGAGTACCTTCGTGTCGTGCCCTAGCATATTTTTGTCCTTTATAATTTAACTGCATTTGGGATCATAAAAGCCTGAGGGGACATGATTAGAAATTGGTAGCACTTTTGAATTTTTTGTAGTGTCAGGCCAATATTCCATAACCCCCTGAAAACATCATCCCTTCTACAAAACACTTTGGCGGCACCATCATGCTGGGGGTAGGTTTTGCCCAATCAGCAAAACAGCAACTGGATGGAGCTGATGGAAAGATATATAAAGCTATGTGGTGATTCTGGAGGAAAACCTGTTACAAACTATAAAAGATGTTAGTCTGGAGCAAAGGTTGACTATTCAGAGAAATAAAATTAAAGTGATAATCAGGGCTACAGTTGAAAGGTAACCACATAATGATAGCTATGAAAATGACTGATTTACGAGGGCTGTATATAGACACTTCATTTTTTAATATTTAACATTAAATACAAATCTTGTAATATTTCCCTCCCACTTCTACATGATACAATGTGTTCTAGTCCATCACATACAAGCAACCACAATCTGTTTGCAGGCGTAACGTCACAAAATCTTCAAATGTTTTAATGCGAAGGGATTGGATTCCTGATCAGTCTTCAAACGACTTATTCTAATCTCCTCCTTGCATGTTTACATTTTTGTGGAGTCTTCATGCCAAGCTGTGGCAGAACCAATCGAATCTGGGTTATATAATAAACTGTTGTAACAGAACAGCCTCTTCTCACCGACCTTCTGCTGCAACAGCAACTCTTTTTTTTTCCATTTCCGCTCAGCATGTGATTCACTCACTCCTTATCCTAACAAATCTGCATCCTGACAGGGTCAAATCTGGATATTTAGGCTCAGAAAGGTTGGATGTAAAGGAAGCAGTGGATGGGGCGTTTTTGTTCAGTCTACTTGTTTCGCTTCTTTTGCTATGAAGGATTTTGTATAAACATTTTTCATACCTCTAGAAAGTATTGCTTTGCCTATGAAATAAGACTAGATTATAATGAATGCAATAAAGTGCTTAAGAAAATTTATATCCTGCTAAAGTCCAAATATGGATACTTGAAATCTCATTACAGAGGGAAGCAATTACACTCATGTTAAAGCTGAGGCAGCTAAGATATTAATTCCTTTGACCTCCCTCCCTTTGTGTGACAGAGTCCACCCTAAAATAAACAAAAAGATGTTACCTATGAACAAAATAAAGCTAAACTTTAGTGTAGATTGGTTTGCTTGTATGCCACACAGGGGGATTTATACGCATTAGAAAGCTTGCATTTAAGGTGTAACTTAAGGTCTTGGCTGTGCTTGCATTGGTCTGCATTCTGCTGCAAGGCGTATTTTTTAGTCTCCAAGTATAAATCAAACAAACATAGAAATTGATGTTTAGAATACTTCTACCTATTCATTTTTGTTTTGCATTCCAATCTTTTTGTCTATCCATGATTGCCTATGACAGCTTTGGTGATGTAGATGTTGGATGCAGCTGTACGGACATGAGAAACCCTGAGAGAAGCTCTCTATGTGGTGTTTTTGAACTAACTGATGGCCACATGAGGACTGGAGGTCTGTAGCAACTGACCTTTAGAAAGCTGCCGACTTCAGAGAACTTTGTTTTCCATCATCTGCTGACTCTGCTCTTTGATTCTACCCTTCCGCTGCATCATGTCTTAGTTACTGTCATTAGTAGGGCTGGGTATTTTCGCCAAAGTCCTGAATCGATTCGATTTTGATTCATACAGTTCTAAATCGATGAATTTCGATTCAATCTGTTTTTACAATAATGAAAATGGTTCAATTGTGTTTCAAAATACTCATGCATTTTATTTTTTTCCTGTCATATTAAACAATAAGTGCAAAACTATCTCAAAACTATCTCAAAAGTGCAAACCTGTTTGTAAAAAGTGAAAAAGTGAAGCCTCACATGAGCAAGCAGACATGACACAGCGGGCACACAGCAGACATGCATGAGCTGCATTATCTCCACTGTACAAACCATATGTGCAGCGTTGTCTGTAACAACTACAGGGTGTTTGCTGGTCAGCCCCCATTTATTAATGTCTTTAGTCAACCTATTGGCTATATTTGCAGCTGTCTGGCTGGAAGTCATCTTTGAGAGCATCTTTCCTGCTCATTTGAACGTGAACGTCACACGCGTCACTATAAAACGACTTGATCTAATTTCCTAGACATAGATTTTGCAAAAATGTAAAGGAATCGATTCAAAATCGATTAAATCGATTGTTTTACCCAGCCCTAGTCATTAGTTATGTTTCCACTACAACTGTGCACATATCTATGTTAATATTTTTCTCATTTTGAAAATGCAAAGTTTCACAATTACGTTATCTCCAGTGAATGACAATTGCAATTAAAATTGCTTGTCAATGCATTTGTTCACGCGATAACTCTGAAAACAACATGGCTGTGGCGGATGTATGAGATAATGCATATTATAGATAATGATAACACATGAGATAATGGATATTAGATAATAACACGAGATAATTCATATTTCAGCATGGCTCTAGTGGGCGCCATAATACTTCAGCTAGTTCTTTGTCCTCTTTCGCAGCAGTGAGGTCCAGCAGCAGAAAATTATTCCCATGAGATATGGAAATTTGGACAATTTGAATTTTAATGGAAACACAGCTATTCCCAGCTGCTTCTACTAAATTAGAATACCAGCAACATTAATGGTTGAGGTGTTGGGTTTTACACATCTGTGGACATGGAAATGTTTGGAAGATCAGAATTTGATAATTTGGATGGACGAGCCAAAACCTTGTGGCAAGAAAGTGTAGGATCTTGACTTCTACTAGGTTGGTCAGCAGGTGGGCTAATTAAAGCAAAAATTGGTGGAAAGATTCACATCATACCAGTTTTTTTTTTCCAGAAGAAACAATAGACTTTGATTACACAGAGGATGAAAGGACAGTAACCATTTTTTTCTTTGTTTTAGATACCCCCATTGGAGCACACTCTGCTACAGTCAGGTAAGAATGGAAAAGTGTTGAAAACTATTTAGGGAGTGAGCTATGAAAACAAATTGAAAACATGTTTAAGAGAGTAGTGAAAAAAATTATATCAACATAATTTCCACTGTTTCACCATTAGAGCTATTATAAAATTAGCTTAGTGATGTATTTAAAAAAGGAGCCGCTCAGGTAATAAGTAGCTTTCAAACAGCCAACGCTTTCATTGGTTCAATTGTCCATGTTGGTTTCATCATCCAGTTGGATTCAAACACACCAGAAAGTGAAGCTACTTTTTTAAGGTGAACACATTCAGCTATGAGACGTGTGAAAACAGCACGACACGGTTACCTGGGCGAGCAAAGGAAAAGGATGTTCTCTGCCTCAGGCAAATAAATCATCTGCCCTTTCAGTCTCAGACAGCTGATCTCCACCCCTGTCAGCTCATCCTCATTCTCCACAGTCTCCACATTAAGCAGGCCCTCCTGTCAGGAACACATCACACTGATGAATATTTCATTACACTGTAGGTTCTTTAACAAATCTCCTTCAAATCTACGAGCTGCTGTTTGGATTTTGGGTTTTAATGCATGCAAAACAAACTCATCTTTCACACACAGACGTTTTTAGCATCTGTAGCTTTAAAATGTTTATATAAGTGCAATTTGATCTCTGAATCACTTTGCTCTGTGCCACTGAAATGTATTTTTCTCCAATGCTTTACAAAATTTCAATTCATCACAATCATGTCATCGGAATTAAAAGCATCAATGATGCTGCTTTTAAAAATATCAGCGATCTTATCAATATTTAAGAAGAGGCATTATGCCTGGTCGAGCGCCTTTATTTTTGACTCTGCAACTGTACCAGTCCAGCTTTACTGGATTCATTTTAAGTGTAGAAGGAAGAGAGTACTGTTATTTCTTGAGGTCCATTGCTTGATCATTTAACTGAAACATGCTTTTTAAACTCCAGGCCTTTAAAAGGTCTCTATCTCTTTCTGATTGTCTGCTCTGTTCAGATAAGCAGGTTTAAACGAGCTCTACTTTAAAAAATAAAATAAAAAATGCTGTGCTTTTTTGAACTATTACTCTTTCCTTTCACAGTAATAAATTCTCAATGACTAACAGGTTGTTATGAGGTATTAAATGCATGCCATCCAATATCATAATAGTATTTTTTGTATTTTTCTATAACTCGTGCCATTTGAAATATCAATGCAACGTTCATAAGCTGTATGTAACGCAATTTCGTTCTGTATGCACCCTGTGCATACAAAATGACAAATAAAGAAGTCTAAGTCTAAGTCTAAGTCTAGCAGGCGTGGGTTTTGAATTCAATTAGCTTTTATTTCATTTCTCCTGATCTGTAATGTCTCGCCTATAAGCAGAAATGAGCTGTCAGTCAGTCCTCCACATTCATGTCTCACCTTCTAACGATTATTGGAAAGACTTCACATATGTTCATGCCATCTTTAACCCCCCACCCCCCGAAAAAAATCTACATAAAACACCAGAGCAAAAAACGACCCTAAAATGAATGTAGAAAACACTCTGTTCAATGAGATACATGTAGAATAGCAGCAATTGTGTGTGTTATTTTTCTCAAGCTAATAAAAATACTTACGCAAGTCAGCTGCTTTTGGCTTTCCTTAAAATACTATTACTCTTTAAAAAATGATTCAGTAAAGCTCTATCTGCTCAAATGTTTCTAGTTTGATTATGAAGGCTGAACAGAAGCTGGCAGCGAGCCCGTGTCGCCGGGCGGAACAGGAGAAACATGTCTGTGCATTTAAAAAAGGGCAAGAAATCATTTGATCTTTAAAGGGGTCACACCTATAATCAAGGCTCCATTTCCATTGTGCAGTTTTCCTTTGTTGACTGGATTATAATTACAATGAACTGGATTGCAAATAGTCTAGATGACAGGATTGTCTCCTTCAAAGAAGGCTCAATGGACCCAGTTTAATATGTAGGGCTGGGATCCAGATTTATCAAAAAAAAACACGTGTTTTGATCATTAGCACATTGGTATAAATAGGAAATAAATTGGCATTTTTATAATTTGTTGCGTCTACAAAACTATCCATATTCAGTGTCTGGCAAAAGTATTCAGCTTTTACACATGTTTGCAAACATTAGTTATGTTATTGTGACAAATACATCATAACAAAGCAGCAAATAAATATTAACATTAAGTAAATATTAATATTAAGTAATATATTAATATTAAGTATAATAAAAATCTCGAAAGTGTGGCATGCATTTGTATTGACTCTGTGCACAGCATATCAGTTTTATGTCAAAATTACGTCTTTGTTTTTTGCCTCTAGCTGTTCTACACAGTTTCCCTTTGAAAAGTGTCTCTCGGATTGAATTGAGTTGAATATCTACCTTGCTCCGAAGAACAAAGACAGTGTTGATGTGGGACAGGATGCCATGAAAACTGAAGTCGATGTGGGGACGAACCAAGGAAAAAACGGATGGAAGGATACAGGCACCAGGCTGGAGCTGGGGAATAACACACAAGAGTCAGTTACAAAAAAACAAACAGAAGTACGGCTGTTTAAATATATCTAAAAAACAAAAACAAAAAAAAAACAAGTGCCCACGCGATCAGTTTCCACATCCTAGATAGGAAAGGTGCATAAGAATGGATGTGAATGCACACATGCACACCTGTGGTAGCACCCTGTAGATGGCGTTTCCACATTGTGTGAGCATCAGGTCTTTATCAAACATAAGGTGGAAGGGGAAAGCCTTGCAGAAGGTGTACGGGCTGATTCGAGTCTCCTGCGTGCCGTTCTCCTCAAAACCGTCGAGATCTTCATAGAACGCCTCCTCTTCTGAGTCCTTCTCCTCAATCAGAAACTTGATGTGATCACACTCCTCGCTCTTGGGTTGGATCACCTGCACATAATGAATCCATCACCATCTACAGCACTTTAATGCTTATATCCTTCTGAAATATACCACCCTCTAAAAAAAACAGTCTTTAAATCATTTTACATCAGTATTTCTCTTTTGATTTCACCTCGAAAAAACCAGCAAACCTTTGGTTACTGTCGACCTTTATTGCATTAAACACCTGTTGAATACTTAAAAACTCTGAGTATTTATTACCAGAGAATGCAAGGCAGTAATTAGTACTATCAATAACAAATGAATAGTAGGGTTATAAATACATTGTGAACAGGTCAAAGATTAGCAGCAATGTTATTTTTTCTTTTTCTTTGTGTGTGTTTCTGTTTACTTCAATAAACCTTTTCTTCATGCCATTGTGGTAAAAAATATCTGATTAAAAGGTCATAATACTAATAATGATAATAGCAAATGTGGGTTATGAAATGTATGAACAGTAGAATAAATAAATATATATAAATAAATAAAAACACAAGTTTTCTATTGATTATTGTGAGATAATTTTCCCCCTAATACTACTACTTCTACCTATTTTGATAATTTTTCTATTGAGTGATGCCTGTCTGAAATGAGCTTGGCTCGATCAAGACATGTCAAAGCTGCAAACTGTATTTTTTTATTTTTGGTCCACCTACAAAGAGTTAAAGACAGACATTAAACAAAGGAACATTTTCTGCAAAACGTAATTCAAAGAAATTACTAAATTTAAAAGCAAATTAAAATGATGCACAATAATGTCTGATGGGTTTATGTAAAGGTGCACCCGTAAGACAGCCTTAAATGAAATACTCTAACCATGAACAATTCATCTTCTTACAAAACCTGAATGAAAACAGCATTAATTCCATGTCTTCTATATTGAATCAGGAGGGTAATGAATGGCATTTCTGTGGGTTTATGAGCATAAGGCGCTCTGACGTCGAGCTGCTGTCTCTGCACCCTGTTTCCATAGCAACGGTGGCTAATATTTTCAGAAAATTGGGTGTCACATTTGGAGCGTCTGCCATTTTCTCTTCTTTCGCAGTACACACAACTGTTGGAAAACATTTCCTTGTCTACCCAACAAGATTAGGTCTGGGAGAAAAATGTCACTGTTGTAATAAAGAGCAAAACCAATGCGAGCTCACAGGATGTCTGAGGAGAAATAAAACCTGACAAGCTGCTGTGATTGGAAACACAAGATCCGTCAGATGCACACAAAGATACAATTAAAAATACCAATACCACCTAGCTGAGACATTAGGCGTGACAGGCGCTTGTTGTTTTCAATCAATTTCCAATTAGCCAGTCTGAATATATTTTAGCCAAAGTTATAGACATAGTTAAACTAGATGTGAAGAGCAGAAATAAAACCCCTGAAAAGCCAGTCAGCCTCTTGCCTGAGACTCTATAACTTAGATCTAAAAATATCCTCTGACTCAGAGGCCTTAGCCAAAAACTGAGCTGCATTTATCACAGCGTTTTCCTTTTAGGTTATTCAAGAGGGGATCTGCTGTTTAATCTCCACATCAGAACCTCTTCCATTATATTCTGAAACATAAATCATCATATTTTTATACAAAGAACTGCAGATACTTCAAAGCTTTATTGAACGTTGTGTCATAAATCAGAAAGAAGCTGAGGAAGCTTTAAGTCGGCTTCATTTATCATCATCATCATCACCATCAGCAGCAGCAGCAGCAGAGTAGACCATTAGCGCAGTGGCTTTCACTTGAGCAGGAAAATAACGAGGCTGACCTTCATCTCTATCTCTGTGCCGTGGATTTGTTGAGCGACTGTTTTAATGATGCCAATCACAATATCCTGCAACCCTTCTCTCTCAGAGTAGTAGTGGAGGATCAGGTTGTTTCCCTTCTCAGCGTCTGTGCAGCGAAACGATGGCGCCCTCATCCCGGGGTAAATGGTACCCAGGTGGTCGTGTAGGGCGTCCAGGTTCTGAAAATTCAGTCACAAATATTTAACAAAGTTTGACAAATAATCACAACTATAATAAAGCAAGAATAAACAACAGAGAAGGATTAGAAAGGATTCAGTTTGGATGAAAAGCTAAATTTCACAGTTTTTGGGATAGACAGATGGGGATCTTTGACCGTTCCTCTATGCTTTCCTTGTCTAGATTGATCTGGCTTCTCGGTCCTGTGCTTACTTCTTCCCAGGTTTTCTGCAGCCTGAGACGTCCATTGAGGAATGTAGGGTGTCTGATGAACAACTGGCCGTGTGTGTCAGATCACTGTCCTGATGGACCCAGTGATGACTCGTTTTAGTTTTTCTGACAGGAACACTAACAAGATTCACAGGGACTTTGAAAGAGAAACTGGTCCACATTACCACAAATTCTCCACCATGCTTTGCATTGGGTATGTTTATATACTGATCCTTTTTTGTCCCAAACCCATTTTAAATCCTCAGAATGGGTGTTTTTTAATGACGTTATGTCGCGTGATCTACTTTAGGGTTGTCCTTCCTCGTCATATGGGGCTTGCTTCCATGGCGTCAAGACTATCATTAATTAGCAGTGAGGTATATGAATGTACAGCTGCTTTTGATAGCCATTCCCCATATAGGTAAAGGCTTAAATGCCTTTATAACTCTTTTGCAACAATAAAACATTTCAGTCATATTGGATATAAAGGGGAAAGCTTAATTTTTGTTTCCTTACAGTTTTCTCTTCTTTGAGTGTTTGTAAGATAGGCAGTTTGTATATTTGTTTATTCTTCAAGGTCTGTTTTCTTGGAGCTAGGTACATTTAATTTCATTATATTTTTGTTTTATTATTATTTCTATTGCTGTCTGGCTGATATCTTACATCGTGCAGCACATCCCCTTCAAGGGATTTTAAAGATTGGTTTGAATTGGATTGATGTAGGCCTGATCCGCCCTGAAGCCAAGAGAACGTCTGTTTCAAAGACAGCTAAAATATTCAAGTTTGGCTCCTCATTTACCATCTAAACCTCCTGCATGTGAATGTACAGGTTACTTTAGAAACATTACAGAGATTGGTAAAATAACTGTATTTCTATATGGCATGACAGGAAAGGCTGTACCATTTCCAATCAACAAACTGACACGTGTAAAGCAGCCACCTCAATTTGGATGGAATATAAGGCCCTGAAACTGCATCTTCTGTGGTTACAATATAATGAATGACCAAAAGTATAACAACAAAATCATTAAAGTTATCATTGTCAAGAATTTAAGATAAAAAATAAACCATATTTACCTCAAATCATAGTAGATCCAAATGTTGCTGCTGTGGTAACAATTCCCAGCCACACTGTCTGTTTTAGAGGTTTATAGACTTATTTAGTTTATCACTGTCTGAATAAGTAAAATTTCATCATGAAATTTCTTTTTCAAATATAACTACAAATGGTTGGATAATACCCCATCTCTCACACATCACTCTTTGCTGCAGCCGGGAAAACCAAAACATATTTTTCTGGCTTTATAAATAGGCAGGTTTAAGCCAATTACTATTGGTCACTAAATAAGCAGATATATCCTAGAATGCTTTGCAAGAGTTTTCCTTGCAAAGCATCATGGGATTTGTTTTGTGGCAAAAGAGAATAAAGATGGCGCAAGCACTGTGTGGGGAGCAGGAGTCAGATGACCAACAGGGAGCAAAAAGTAGTGCTCATCTGTCCGAGTGGTCAGTTAACTGAGTTCACTATAAAGTCCACTATATAGTCCCCTATACAGGGATTGAGGGGTTAGGGCGGATGTTTGGACACAGCCCATATCAAATAGTTGTTAAAATTATGCCTAAAAATGTACATTTAAAATAACCTTTCTCAGCTTCTCTAGTGAAAGCACATAATGAAAGTCAGCTGCACACCAACTCACAAAACTTAATCACAGTTTGACTCCTCTGTCTGGGTGTCACTGCTTGCTTTATTTATTTTACGGAATTAAAAAATACCAATCAGAAATGAAAATGTTGCCCAAACTACAGTACAGTAAACTACGTATCGTTTTGTAGTAAAGCTAACATTAGCCATCTGTTTGCTGTGGATGGGTTGCTTTCCATTTGAAAGGAAAACATTATTATGGTAATCAGTTCTAAATCCTTTAGTGCAGGAATTCCTCCATGTTGATAAGAAGAAAAACCTTCTTAAAAAATGATGATATAGCTTTCACAAAGCTATATCATAATTGAATAATAACAAAAATTTGAAGCTTTATTTAAACAGAAGAATTTATTCTAACAAACAAGAAATTCCTCACAGAGTTCTAGAAATACCCCAGCATGTTCCCATGACCTGCAGCAGCAAAGCCTCACCTTTGGTTCTGTGAACACACAGCTAACAGACTAACTACACAGGGGCCAACGTCTAGAGGCCAACCACATAAAACATACAGCACTGAGGGACGGCACTACTCTGCTCCTGTTAGGCTGTGTGACAGGAAGTTGTAATCAACAGGAGGCTTTAATAACATAAACTTGGTTTATTATTGATGATTGAACCACAGAAGTCAGCCTGCTCAGCAGTACAAAGAAGAAGCTGCTCATTAGCTGAAGTGTTTAAACCATTTTCATCAAAAAGATGCCGCTGCATTGCTCGGCACAGTACCCTGTATTTTTAAAATTTTCTGGTTTAGTTTTTATCATTAAAAAATTAAGCAAAGCACATTTTTCATCTATCCTGAAAGACCGAACTGGTAGATCTAGGGATTGTTTTCCTCTTCTTTTCTGTGCAGCTGCAGCGTTTCTTCCCTGCAGTAACTGCTTCACAGTCAGTGAGGCGCAGCATGGAACAGCTCCCTCATGAGTGAGATGTTTGTACATGTGTTGATGTTTCTTGTTACACAATACGGATAATAAGGACAAAAACAATAGAAAGATTTAACTTTACATAGATACAAAGTACCAGGGACCTTGAAAGAAATTTCAATCGCATATTTATCTTTTATTACTGTAACAATTCCCACACTAAAAATACATTGCAGCACTCTAACAGTGTGGGAAATAAATCTAATTCCCTCGCCATCCTTTTCTTTGTTTGTTGCATCTGCATACATGAAGATCTACACACATCTGTCAGAAAAGCTCCTTTATTTTTCCCCTTTTGAAGTCAGACTAAATAAATGCCTCTTGATACTTATACTAAGAAATTACAACTGCTTCAGTTTGATTTACACTAATGAAATTTCCAAGGGTACCAAAACCATGCAGATTGAAAAAATAGAAAATAAGTAAAATCTATAAATAATTTCTGACACAGTATTGTTTTTTTCTGCAAAATACCTGCAAAAAAGGGTCAAAGCTGTAACTTCACTTTTTAATTTCAGCGTCAGAAAGGAACTTCTGGAATAAAATATTTGCTCATTTGAGGGATCTTTGTTCATCTTCAATGAGAATGTGAATACATGTGAAAGGACTGCATGGCAACTAGAATTTTTATTCAATTCCAATTCATTTAGATTCAAACTTGCAGATTTTTTCCAACTACTGCAGAGTTTGTCGTTCACTCATTTATTGCTCCAGCACTTTGGAATTCCTTGTTATTTTCCAGGCTCTCTTTGCTGCTTTGTTATATTTCTAAAAAGATTTGAATTTTACAAAATAAAAAAAAAGATTAATAAAAAAGTTTAATTCATAGTCTAAAACAGGATGACAATAGGTGTTTTTCTTTTATTTCAGACCAAATAATGCACTATTCCTGTAAAATCTGACAGTGGGTCAACCTTGATGGTAAAACACCACCTAGCCACAATGCTTGTCACACTAAAGCCGTCTTCATCTAAAGATAGAGGTTTTCCTGCCCTTGTTATGAGACAAGAAACATAAAGTGATTGCAAAGTGAGAGAGAACCTACCTGCAGGAACTCCCGGACATTTGAGCCCAGCACACGTAATATGGTGTCATAGCCCGACTCCTGGCAAAACTCAAAAAACATCTTCCCAAACATCTGCAAGATTTCTCCTGCATCGACCTCTGAAAAACAGAAATAGGTTGATAAGTCATCATTTGTTCATTTCATTAATTATTTCTCTTTTATTCACTTTTGCTACACAAACAAAACATTTGCAGCCTCTTACTCAGAACTTTACTTGCAGCCGCAACAAGATCGTAGGTTTTAGCATCTTCGTATATGATTCGAACAAGGAACTGACCCTCAATGTCGAGCTGAGCCTCCCTCCTGCAAACAGAAAAAATACTTTTAAGGAAGAACAGCCTGCAGCTTTGGTGTTGTTTACCTTTTAAAAGAATGACTCAACGTAAAACCGTCAGTATTCTGTTGTAAAACCCGGAGCTACGGCCAATAGGTGAACAAATAGCTAACAGAGACTGACCTAATAATTATCCATTTGAAAACAGGTTTCTAAAAAATAATGAGAAAACAAACGAGAGGCCGACGGTGTTTAGATAAAACAAAGAAAACTGAAGGATTTACAGGCCTGACGAGCAACCAAAGTCTTATCAAAATGAGCTACAGCTGCAAAAACATACCAGGCCTTGAAATGTTTTGCAAAGAAAACAAGAATTCAGTTGTGCTTTGCTCAGCTTATGATAATTGAAACAAAAAGAGCAAAACCTTATAAGCCCTGCTCTAACTAACAGTGAGTACCATATGGAGACATTAAACACGTCCATGGTCCATGCATATTCGTTTTTTTTTTTTTTTTTTGTGGCTGACTACTTGGAAAACATTTACATAAGGCAGCTGCTGCTCTAGTTTCCTCTGCTTTCTATTTCAGGATGGGTCAAGCAGAGGGCAGTCAGATAAGAAAAAATAAAAATCGCACTGTGAGCCAAATTTTTCAACACTAAAATATGTTACAGTTATCTGGAAGCATTGGGAGGAACCCACACTGGACCTGGTCAAACCCTACCTTCTATTCATCACACAACTCATCAGATATGCAGCATACAGTGCAGATGCTCATTCAGTCAAACAAAAGTCAGCTTTATGGTAAGTTCTCTTTAAATTGTGTGAGTTTCAGATATTCAATGTTTAAATGCACTGGGAAAAGTATAACCTTGCACAAACTAAAAAAAAATGTCCAGATATCACATCTAAAATATTTGACTTCACAGAATCTGAATTTAATCGCTTGTTATGACCCGATTATATTATGTTGATGTAAACAATAATACTGCACTTGACACAACTTAAAATCTTTGCCCTGTTCCAAATGATTTTCTGAACATTTCAGTTGATTAACCAAACTAATATATTGACATTTAACTAAATTAACAAGAATTAATGTTTGTATAGAAACCAGTTAATTTAAATATAACCAAATTAGATTTTTCACATATCATTTGACTTTACTTCAAAAGAAATTTCCATTTCCCTTCTTACAAACTCTATACACCCTAGACAGGTTGCCAGTCCATCGCAGGGCAACACAGGTATTCACACACACCTAAGGAGGATTTAGAGAAGCCTATTAACCTAACAATCCTGTTTTAGGACTGTGGGAGGAAGCCGGAGTACCCTGAGAGAACCCAGGCATGCAAACTTCATGCAGAAAGATCCTGGGCCAGGAGTCGAACCCACAACCTTCTTGCTTTAAGGCAGCAGTGCTAGCCACTGCAGCACTGAGCCACTTTGTCATGGTCTGGGACTTGGACTTCATCACGTGCTCTGACTGCATGCAAAGCGCCGTTCACATTTGACTCAAACAAAAAAACATTACCTGCAGGCAATGAATAAATATATAAATATTGAGAGAAATCAAAAACTTTGTTTTGGGTCCTTTTTTACGTGTATTTAGTTTTCGGTTAAATCAAACTTGATGTCACAAAATCCAAAAAGAATGAGTTACACAATCAAATCAATCATTTTATCAAGTTTAGAGTGAAAAGCATTAGTTTGAATGAACAGTTACATGTTACACTTTTGCAGTGTGATTCACCATCAAATCAGATAACGATGAAAAATATTTTGAGATAAACATTTAAGACAGAAAAAGTTTATGATTATTTCTTTACTAACAGCACTTGTTTATTACCTCCACCATGTTTTCATCTGTGTTGGTTTGTCTGTTTTCAAAATAACTAAAAAAAAAGTTATGGATCAATTTTGCTGAAACATTTCAGAGAAGGTTATGATGAAGAATGATGAACATTTTGGTGATGATCACCATCTGGCTCCAGGATTTTTTTTAAAGATTCTGTGAATACAGATATTGACTTAAGGTGGAAATCACAAAACTTAGGGGGAAATTTGCTATTTGGCGGAGGTCTGGGCTCTCTGAGTGCTTTTCTACTTTGCCAAAGTGTTAAGTAACTAAATACCATCACCTTAAGCATTTAAGGCTTTTATTCATTTGGACCACCTGCCAGTAAAGGAGCTTTTTGTAACTTGAAGCTAAACACTATTGCGCACATTTTTTTTTTAGTACAAATAGAAAATAAAAAAATTAACAGAAAAACATAAGAACCTACCAGATAATAAAACACAATGATACCAACTGGGGATCAAAAAGTTCATTATTGTTTTTTTTTAGGAAGGGAGAGGAGTTTTAATTTCGGATACTTTACTTACTTATAATGACCGGTTATAAACCTTGATACACTGACTTAAAAGGTATTGAACATCTGTTATATCTATTTAAGCATTTTTCTTTATTTTAATTCTGTGTTTCATGTTTTAAGGTGAACTTGTTGAAATTGTGTAGTTGCAATGTAGACAAAAAAAAAAAACAATTGCAATTGTTGGATCTGCAGTTGCATATTGTGTTTTGATTGAACATAATTTTTCATGCTCTTAAAAGTTAGAATTTTAAGTAAAGAAATCATTATATAAAAAGTCTGCAAGTTTGATTCATTTTAATAGAAACTGAATTTAATCAGTCAGTTTCCTTGTGAAAACAGGTATCCTAAAGAAAACAAAATAAGCATGAGTTCACAAATGTGAATCAATAAAATACGTAATCACTGTTTTCTTGTGCACGGAGAGACAGATTTCATGTTTAAGATGATAAAAACACCAATTGTTCCAGCTGAGCTTGCTGAATCACATGGATAAGAGTATTTTCCACACCAGTCGGCTGTCCTCTAAACCTAACTTCACAATCTGTAAACCTGTACAAGTCAGAGGACTAAGGGAAACCAACAGAAAAGATATGATAAAATAGCAGGATTGTTTCCTCTGGATTATGTTTGGTTTTAAGTGATGAAATCATTTTGAAAGAGATGTGATTGAGTTGTGCTCAAATAAAGTTACCAGACACTCTTCATTGCTGCAAAAGTAAAAGTTGTTTTGCTACCAAAGTATTAATTTTAAATTAAGTGAATTCAACCCATTCTATGTTTTTTAGCGTATAAATTTAGCATTTCCCCCTGTAGAGTAAAACTACGGAACAGTAACAATGTAGGATCTCTCTCTTTTTCTCTCATAATTAAGAAAAGTGGGATGATGTTTGGGCCTTAGACCTTTTGTGTCTGACTTTGATAGTAGCAGAACTATAATGAATTGTTGAAGAATTAAATGGATTGAATCAGTTTGTGTTTCCTCTCACTCATTTTAAAGTATGTGAATAAGAACATTGTGTCATTTTATTTTATTTTTTTCTGGTTGTTTTTCCTGTCATCCCTCCGAGTTTTAAGATTATGCAGTATCACATATTTGAAATGAATAATGCAACTGAATTAGTGAATCATCATGGCCATTCCAAAATGCTGTTGCTTCTTGCTTGTATTCTAGTGTACAGTTCTTTGTGATGCCATCCTTTAGCGTGAAAACTTCTGTTTAAATAAAGAATAATAGGTCGAAACAGGGACAGGGAAAGTAATTATGCTGCACTGATAATGAGCAGGAATAGGCCAGCTTGGTGAGTGAGGGTCTAGGCTCCCTAAAGCCAATTTGTTTGAAAAGAATCATCTCTTTTTGAACTAATTCTACATATATGCCCCTGACATGACTGCAGCATAGAATTACACTCTCTATTTCAACTTAGAATATTGCAGCAAAAGGATTATCAGTAGACCTATCTTGTGTTTTTTTTTAGTTTGAAGTTATGCTGCTTGACTAAATAATGCCCCTTAATTACTTTCCTGAGTTAAAGGTTTAACAATTCCTTCTTATAACTAATATAAACCCATTTACTTTCTATTTGTTTATCTCCTGTTAGCCTCTGATATGGGAGCTGGCTTAGAGCTCATCTGCCTGGTCACGTGTTTCCTGTACAGGGTCGCCTCCATTGCTGGTTAACCCTTAACTTTTGTATCGCTGCGTCTTTTTCTGCTGATGGACGCTCACACTGAACCCGATTCTGCTGGAGGTTTCTTCCTGTTAAAAGGGAGTTTTCCTCTCCACTGTGGCTACATACACGCCCCGTGTGAGGGATTACTGAAGAGTCAATGACTAAATGCAAGTGATAATTGTCGCTGCAAGTTCATCCAGGAGAAGCATGTCTTGCAAGTCATTGACTCGATGCAATGAACTGGTTTCCCCTGATAAAAACGGAACGGATCGACTGTATGATATTGTTGAATTCTAGGTTAAGTGCATTGATATGGCGTGTTGTGAATTGGTGCTATACTGTAGAAATAAATCAATTGAATTGATTTAAATAACCATCAAATAAATCAGTAACTGAATAATCGATTGAAAGCAAATTAAATTTGCTTGTTGTGAACCTTCTGATTGAACAGTCGACTCAAAGCAAATCCTTCAGAATTCCCCCAAAACTTTCAAAGAAAAATCTGAAAGTTTAAAAGTCTATTAATACTTTAAAATAAATCTTTCAAGAACAACCTTATTGCTGAGATTGAATAACAACAATCTTTAGTGCAAACAAAAATAATGTCATAATGTTTGATGCAGAGTTACACTTTGAATGTTCATCTTCATGTCAATTAGTGATTATTTATTTTCCAGCTGCTGAAACAAGATAAATATCTGTTAAACATTTATTTCAAATGTCTAAAAAAAAATCAAATAAATTCTACATTATAAATTGATTTTAAAATGCAGCAACTTTCCCAAGTTCTAAACTACATCTAGACCTCCATAGTAATTTATTTTTATTTTCTTCCACAGCTACTGAAAAGGCAAGTGTGTTTACACATTAATTCAGTGCAACTGATGAATCTTTTGCACAGCAGCATAGACACATGCAAAACTCACTTTATGTCTTCCCACACTTCTGGGCCGTAATTCCTTAAAACCAAGAGCTCCAGGGCGTGATTCACAAACCCGTACTGGAGACGAAGGGGAAAGAGGGTCAAAATTAATTAATGAAATCAGTCTCGAACAACCAAGCTAATATACAGCTTGAATGTGGCGCATCTCTGCTGTTTATATAAATGCATATATCGTGTACACCTGTTTACAGCGGTGCTGTGGTGTTTGTCATCCAATAAAATCAGTGCAGGCTGTGTAACCGCTATACTCGCAACAGGAAATGTCAAACGCTGCACTACGACGACAAAAAAAATTAATTCTTTAGCATTTAGAGAGTAGAGAAAAGACCGAATGTACGTACCATCGTAAGTGTCGCTTTTCTCCTCTTTATTTATCAATTACAACCGTAGAATGAAGCCAAACCGTCATGGTTAGGTCCAGATGCTGAGAGCCTCTGCGTCCATCTCAACTGTTTTTTTTCTCAGCGTCTTTACGCTCAGCGGATCTGTCCAATAGCATATCGCAAAGGAGGTGACGTAAGCTGTGTTCGACCAATCAAACAGAAGATAAAGGTAGCGTCGTGTTAAGTGATACTAGTCAACCTGATTCCCCCAGATGTTTTTTTTTTCTTCTTTTTTTTCCTGCTAAACCTTGAGATGCGTAAATTTAATCTGAATAAAATAAACATTTTAGTTGGAGATCATGTTTCCCTTAATGTCCGTAATACAAAATGTAAGATATTAAATAAATACGATATACAGCAGTTTGAAATTTCAAATTAATTATTTTCGATACATTTAATTACATTAGAGTAACAATATGTTTTAAACGATGTTTGTGAATTAGATAAAAGTTTGTTGTACAGGACAGGCAAAAATAAAAACAGCTGTACTGTGCTATATATAGTGTATTATGCTATATTCAGGCCAATAATCATAATCCAGCACAAAAAATAGCTTTAAAAGGTCACCAAGTATCTGAGTTCTGTTTGATCTCAATATAAATTATTTTTTTCTGGGACTTTTACAGGTTTCTTATGGATTGAAAATTATTGAGACTGAGTAACACATGCAGGTTCAGGGATGAAGTTGAAGGGAAGCTAGGGGAAGCTTATCACAAGATGTCTTAAAATGTTTAAACCAATTTCTGACAATGGAAAGACAATGACACAACTTTTTTTTCTCCCTCAACCTGTTTTAGGAAAGATGAAAGTTTAATGAAAGCTGGGGGAAAGTAAATGCAGAGGCAACACTGGAAGAAAACATGTCTTCACCAAAACGCTATATAAGATGCGGTTGTTTTTAATGCTTCAGTTACAATGAAATTGTTGGTGCAAATCAAAGTTAAAACAGCTCAGTGAAAGTCCAGATTCCAGCCAAGAACCCCATCCAGAACCTGAAATCTGATTTTCAAAGTTGAGTCATTCTGACTTAGCAGGAAGCGATGGTTAAAAATAACAATCAAAACAAATGGGGGGAAAGTTTAGTTTCTAGAAGCACAAGGCTAGAAGAGACACAGCCCACAAGACTATAAACACAAAAAACTGACTCAGAGTTGTAATATACAGCTATATAACATATTTTCTGATTTTTACTTTTCAAAATAAAAAAAACATGTACCAACATCATTCTATTTTAGCATCAGCACTACTTAATACTGATTACCTAAAAACCCAATATGAAAAAAATATATTTTATACAAATCTGTTTTACAAGGCATTGTGACGAATTTCTATAGTTTCTGGCAGGTAACAACAAACTCGACCACTTTAGTCTTTTCATGACAATATTTATTGCACCTCGATAGATATCAATAACAGGTAAAGCACATTGTTGTGAATGGTAGAAAGACATTAGTTGAACTTGTTCTGTATTTTATCTTTATAATATAGTAAAGGTGTGTTTTACAACTCATAACAAATAAGGTACAGATGTGCACAGTAAGACTAGTACAAATACAAAGCATACTTCATTAGGAAACTAGTATAAAGACAATGCTCTGTGTCAACAAACTACACACATTTAGATAAATACTTCTATTACTCTGTTTATGGGAGAAATGTCATTCATCCGGTATACTACTGTACTCTATTTCAGAATGAATATAATTTCTGTTGATTATATGCATGATTCATCTAGTTGGCACATGTCTGTGAACTTCCCATAAGGCACCTTAATCTGCTCGGCATTGACAGAATTTCATAAAAATTAGAACAAAAGATATAGAATTTTTGGTAAATGTCTTTAAATGAAACATCATCAGATATATTTCTTAGAACACAAATCCTCTAAAATGTATGTTGAATCACTGCCATTAAGAGAAGTGCGATTTGCAGGTAAAATAATTATATGATGACTTTGTCGGTATATAAAGTTAAAATGATGCGTTGTATTTTTTCATGGAAACAAATAGTTTTATTTAAAACCCACTGGGAGTGTCATTAACCTTGGTACTGCTAACAGTAATTTGCAATTAAATACATTTATTTCTTTTAAATGTTAAAGAAACATGTACATACATTTTACAGTACTATGTGTCCTTTCCTATTATGATTAAAAACAAATCATTTGTGCAGTTGTAGCTATGCTTAATAGATAGAAAAGCCATTTAGGGTTATATAGTTAATCAAATAGAATAAGAATTTCTTTTCTATTAAATGTTTCCAAGATAGAAATTGAAAATTCTGACTTTTGTGTACAAATCAAACGCACCATTATTTTATATTCCGACTGTATAGATATTTTTAAAAGCCTTATACAAAAGCAAATTAAACATTTGAACTGTTAAACACAAGTCTGTAGCTACATCAAAAATTTATTTTTGTATCAAATTTCACTATATGATAAAAACACATGACAATAACAATCATACTGTGCAAGATGCTTAAAAAGAAATCCTGTGCTTTTTTTATTGAACACATTTTATTTTTAAGCTTTACCTTGCTGCTTAAAAAGAAAAAAAACAGTCCCTAAGTCTTGCCCTGACTATCAACATCTCTGATATAAGCACAATATGACAACACTTGCTTGAAAGATCTCAAAAATGCAGAGATGACTCATTGTGGAAGAAAGATGAACTGGGCTTATCTCTTCTACAAATGGGTACAGTGAAGGCATGTTTGACAATAAACTGTCATTTTCACGGTTTAACAGCTGTGAAAGTTTTACTTGAAAACAACAAAGATTCAAATCAAATTAAACAATACAGCTGTGTTCTTCATTGAAGCCTTTCCTTATCTAACATATAGGCCTCATAAAGTTGTAGGTCGGGAAGTTTTGGTGGCCGCCTCCAGAAAGTAACAAACACCAGGGACTTCTTCTGGGAAGTTGGCCGGAAGCTCCTGTCTGCTCCTGGGAACAAAGACAAACTCTGGACGACCTCTCAGCAATCTGGGATGAAGAACACACAAATAAAGCATCAGGCTAAACACAATGTGGCAAATTATTTGACACAAGAGAAAACGCAGCTCCCTTTTAAAAGTTACGCATCCTGCCGAAAGCAATTTATTTCTTATTTCCTCTGTTCTTTTCCATGTGTCATGTGAATATAAGATGGTAAATGGCTTCGGTCTACATCCATTCATTCACCCCTTCACACACACACTGATGATGGCAAGCTACATTGTAGCCACAGCTGCCCTGGGGCTCAGTGGCAGAAGCAAGGCTGCCATACACTGGCGCCACCAGTCCCTCTGACCACCATCAGTAGCCAATGGGGGTGAAGTGTCTTGCTCAAGGACACAACAACATTGAAAGCCAGAGCCAGGGCTTGAACCTACGACCCTCCGGTTACAGGGCAAACTCCTGCCTCTGACGCCATAAAATATACTACATACAAAAATGTAAATATATAGTAAAATAAATGTCTTTGAGACTTTATATACAACAATGCCTTTAGGGACAGGTGCAAAGATTCAGTCTGAGGATGGGTACTTGAAACATATGTTCACCTGTGGGTTGTAGGGCTGATGTTGATTTTCCTCGGCTGACTTCCCGATTCAAACTTATTTGCCAATGTAACATTGTTCCCAAAAAGGCAGTAACGTGGCATCTTCACTCCAACTACACCTGCCAACACTGAGCCACTGTGGAGCCCAATTCGCATCTGGAGGACAAAATAAAAAAAGACTTTCCTTATTACATCTATTGGTAATTGTAGCTTTGCAAAATAATCTATTCTGATTAAACATTCTTTCTTATTTTGACAGATACAACCAAAAAAATATCTAAATATGCTCGTTGCACTGCAATCACAGCACAATACTAGCTTTGCTTAACAAGCAATAGAAATTTCCTCTAGAATTTCTGTCCAAAATAGCTCACGCTCAGTCAGATTGGTTAATTTGGTCATCAATTGTTTTCTTCTTGCCATTCTTCCATATAGGGTAAAATTGTAGAGTGCATAACTAATAACTTTTCTTTTCATAAATTCTCCAAGCTAAAGTTAGGAATTTTTGCCTTTACCACTGGCCTTTAAGATGTTTCTCGGAATAGTGCTCTCCTTGCCTTCCCTGTGGAGGCTGGTGGCTTGGAAGCTTTTTAGTTTTTCCAAAGTCTTGTTGTGGTAGCTTGTAAATCACATGTCATTTAAGTGAAGTTATACGCTACTTTGCGTTATTCTAATGCGAAATATCCCAATAGGATAGCAATAACATTGTGGCCAGAAACATGGCACAATGCGCAATGAATGTAGTGGTACAGTATGAATACTATTGCAATGCAATGCATTACATATGAATAAGCTTCAAGGTTGGTTCAATCCACATTTCTTTCAGATAGTAAAGTCATACTCCAGCAGGGTGATTTGGAAACACAGCAGTCAACATTGCTAGATCTTAAAAAATGGAGGGTTAATTTAATTGTTTTAAGTAAATGAAACAATTGGTTAGCTTTCAAGGACATGCAAAAAATTTTAAACAGCATACAAAAAAAGGTTAATGTCTTAATAACTGTCACCAACTCCAAGTAATGAACAACATGAGCATGATAATCTGGTTAACCTCAACATCAAGCTAAGATCACGGCTCTGGAGACCCATAAATTGAAGATCAATGGGTATGTCTAAGGCATAGGGATGGAGCTGTAATAAAAAAATAAAAAACTCTAGAATACTATTTATAAAGCATAAATCTTACTTTTGTATCATCATTTCCATGTTTAGTATTTTAACGTTATCACTCATGGCCCTAGCGGTCTAAGGATGTGGTATTTTAAGTGGAACTCAGAGAGTGATAGTGACCATTAAAGAAATGTCACTGATGGCATGTAGGATAAATATGTAGCCTGAGAAGCAGGGAAGTGTGAGAACCCAGACTTTATTTATTCAGATATTCAAAAGGTCTTGCCTCTCCCAGACCAAGTGAAATGTATCCATGAAACATTTGGATATCTTTTATTTTCTAGGACACAGTGAGGTGATATTAATTGTTTTTTTTATCTGATCTTGGAATCATTTGCTGAACTAAAGATTCATTTTCATTAGTCTGGACAGACATTAC